AACCGCTAGAACAAGCGGGAAAGTACGAGGCGGCTGAAGCTGGGATCCGTGAGCCGGTAACGGAAGAATTCTGCCTCCGGAGAGTTGGATCACCAGTAAGATGCGGAACTCTGCTTAGTCCGTGTTACAGCTTTTTTTAAGTGTTTAGCTCTTAGTGATCCAGCAGCTCTATTATTGAGAGAAGACTGGGATATTTATACCATGGGGGTAGTGGTAAAAGCTTTGGCTGATAGATACTTTGTGAGACATTCTATTTGCATATGGAAGTGGGTTTCTGCCATGCTGCCAGACTGCTGACTGCCTGAAAAATCACACAGGAAAGCATGGTATTCCTAGAGCCAGAGGCCATGTTTATGTTAGGGCATTTGTGGCGGGCACTTCAAAAGGAGAGTCAGGAAAAATGCCAGGAAAGCACCCTGCTATGAAAGGAGTCCCAGCACATGGTTCCGAGCTCGTGAGCTATCCGGATATGAAGAGACTTCTACTTTACACAACAGAGGCCCCCAACAGCCCCATATACACCCCTAGGTATTAGGCCCACCTGGACATCCCCCCACCCCACCAGCCTACTGTGTTAGCTATCAGGCTGGCCTAGATATCCTTCATGCCCATCACCCAACATACACTACTAGGTATTTGGATCTCTTGCACCCCCTGCCCCAATGCCATCCCATATAAACTTCCAGGTCTCGCCCTGCAGACACCCCACTCAGGGCACCATCCTGCATACAGTACTAGGTAAAGGCCCTGCAACACACTCTCCCATCCTGCTGCCACCTCACATAGCACTGCTGGCTCTCAGGCTCTAGTGGACATCCCCCAAGCATCCCATTCACACTCCTATGTATCAAGTCCTGTTGGGGAACCACTCTCTACACCATTTCCCAAATTCATTGCTTGGCATTCTGCCCTGCTAGGCACCATACAACCACCGTGGCCACGCACTGCTAGGTATCAGACCCTGAATGATCCCTACCCCACATAAACTGCCAGGCATCAGGCCATGTTGGAAGCTCTTCCTTCTGCCACATCTCACAAAATTGCTAGGTATTAGCCCTGCTAGGCACCTTGCCTCTGCAGACGCCCCACCTACACTGCTAGTTACCAGGTTCTGCTGGACTCTCCTCCCCCCTCTCCGCTCCATTTAAAGTGCTACGTATCAGGCCCTACTGGACATACATCCCAGTCCCACTGATGCCCAAAATACACTGTTATTTTTCATCCATGCTGGACACCTTCCTGCCACTGCCTAGTTGTGTCTATTGGGTGGGAGACGCCTTTTAGGACCTGACACCTAGCATTGTACATATTCATGGCTGCAATCCAGTACGGGGTGTCCAGTAGGGTCTGAAAAATAACAGTGTACGTTGGGTAGCAGCGTACTGGGGGAAGGGTGTGTGTGCTGCTGCTGTGGGCGTTGGGGAACATTCAGCATGGTCTTTTAAGAACTAGTGTATGTGGGTGGTGGCCAAGGGCAGGATGTCCAGCAGTATGTCATGCATGCTAGTGTGGAAGGTGACAGTAGGGCATGATACATAGTACTGTGTACAGGGAGGTACCAGGTGGGAGTGTCTAGAAGGACCTGATACTCAGGTGGTAGTGGGGAACATGGCGTCAGGGATGGTGTCTAACAAGTCCAGATTCCTAGCAGTGTACATGGGGTGGCACAAGGTGTCCAGCATGGTTGATACGTAACACTGGACGTATGGCTGTAGGGGGCGTCCTTCAGAGCATGGAAGGGATACAAGGCTACAGGTAGCAGTGGTGTGAAGCAGAGCCTCATACCTAGCAGTATATGTAGGGAAGCAGGGGGAGTTGGTGGGAGTCGAGTAGGATCTGATAGACAACATTGTATGTGAGGCAGTGGCTTGAGGGGGTGTGGTTGTCCAGCAAGGCCTGCACCTAGAAGCTTAGGTGGCGGAGTGGCAGGAGAGTGCCCAAAATGGCCTAAGAAATATCAGTGTGATTTTTTCTGGCAATGAGGGGTGTGTATCTCTGAGGGCCTGATACCTGGGCACAATATGTATGGTAGGTGGTAGGGGTCCAGCAGACCCTGATGCATAGTAGTACATATGGGGCAGTGGTGGTGTGGGGGGCGGGGGTTGTCAACCAGGGCCTGATAACCAGGAATGTGTGTGGTTGTAGCAGGGGGGGTTAAGAGGTGTGCTGCAGGGTCTCATACCTAGCAGTGACTGTGGGCCTAGGAGCAGCAGGCCAGATACCAAACAGTTGTTTTGGGGTTTGCAGCTGTGAATGTGCCAGTTTGGTTAGGTACCCAGAAGAGGCCCCGACCAAGCAGGACACTGGGAGGCAGGGGAGTTGGTTTCTAGTGGGATGAGGGCTTCCCAGCACATAGAAACTTCTAGGTATCAAGCCCTGCTAATACATAGCCCCCACATACACTGCTAGATATCAGGCTTTGCTAAATATCCCAAACCCAGAGCCAATGCTCCACGTGCACTGCTTGATTTCAGGCCCCCCTGTTACCCACCTTGATTCAAATTCACGTCTAGCCCCTGTCACATCCCATATGCATAAAATATTTATCAGGTACTGTAGCCCCAGCTGACCTGGAACTCACTATGTAGACCAGGCTGGCCTCGATATCACAGAGATCTGCTTGCTTCTGCCTCCTAAGCGCTGAAATTAAAGGCACACCCAGCCTACATTATCTTTCTTAAAAATATATTTATTGTTTTTATGTGTTATGTTTTGCCTGACTGTATGTAAGTGTACCACATGCCTGCAGAGGCCAGAAAAGGGTGTCGGATCCCCCAGAACTGGAGATAGAGATGGTTAGTTGCCATGTAGGTGCTGGGAACTGAAACTTGGTCCTTTACTAGAACAGTGAGTGCTCACTACTGCTGAACCATCTCTCCAGCCTATGGAGAAGAAAGCATGAGCAAATCACAGAAGCCTGCTTAAGATTCTATCTTGACGCTGGTCGTGATGGTGCATGCCTGTATTCCTAGCACTTGGGAAACTGAGGCAGGAGGGTTACAGCAAGTTGGAGGCCAGCTTGAGCTCTACCAGTCTCAAAATGCCACAAAAAAGAAAAAAAAAAGCAGTGAGGTTTTAGTTTGTGGAATGACATAACAGATTTTCATTTTATTTTTTTTTAAATATTTTATTATTTTTATTTTATGTATAGGGGCGTATTGCCTGTGTGTATATGTGTACCTATGTTGTGCAGTGCCCACAGAGGTCAGAAGATGGCATCAGATCCCCTAGAACTGGAGTTACTGGAGTTATGGGCAGTTGTTAGCCACCATGTGTGTGCTGGGAATCAAACCTGGGTCCTCTGCTAGAGCAGCCAGTGCTCTTAACCACTGAACCATCTCTCCAGCTCTGAGATTTTCACTTTAAAGAAGTCTTTTAGACGGGCATGTCATCACCTTTAGTTCCAGCACTTAGGAGGCAGAAGCAGGAAGATCTCTATGAAATTAAGGCCAACCTGGTTTACATAGTGAGTTCTAGGCCAGTTGGGGCTACAGAGAGACATGTCTCAAAAAACCCAAACAAGTCTTTTGGTTGTGGGATAGACTCTATGGAGAAAGTTCATTTTCCTAAGAGGTGGCACTAAATCTGAAGATAAGAACAGCCTAGCCTAGTAGACACTATAAGATTTGGATGTTAATTTGAATGTACCAGGAAGTTCCTGACTTTAAACAAGGAAAAACAGGATAATGCTATGTGAAGAAATGAACTGATGTCAAAGAAAAAGCAGTAATCTTAGAAATGGGAGCAGCTCAGAAGCAGAGTACATGTTTGAGGCACTCAGCTCAATCCCCAGCACCTAACTGGGGGTGGGCTAAAGTCTGTATGAGATATGAGGGCTGGATCAGAAAAAATGGTGAGAAGTATTCAGTTGGGATTGTTTTTGCAGGCCTTGCTGATGGACTGGGTGTGAAGTTTAGGAGTCAAGGATAACTTCGCAGATTTCGAGATTGAGCATTGAACAATCCAGTGGACGCTGAAGTCACTTATTGAGTATATACTGTGTGAACATGTTATGTGAAGCATTTTTCATGTTTAATACAGGAGGACTGGGGTTCAAACACAGGGACACTCACAACAAAAGTAATGCTGAGTATTATAACTTGGTTTGAGAACTACTGATATTGAGAGAAGACGTGGGAAGACGAAGTAAGAGCCAAACCAAAGTCTTGATCAAAAGAGTTGTTTGGGGGGGGGGGGTTCTGTGTTGGGGAATTGAACCCAAGGCCTAGCACCTAAGTAAATCCTCTACCACCAATCTACACTCCCAGGCCCAAAAGTTTGAATTTTATTCTAAGTCAAACACAAGACCACTGGTGGATGAATGGTAAGCAAGGAATTACCTGATCAGACTTATCAGTGCAAAAAGATAAATCTGACTTCTGTGTAGACTGTAGAGAGACCAGAGTGGACGTAGGGAAAATTGCATGAGGTCAGAGAGGAGACGAAGGTGGCTTGGGAAGATGGTGACAACGGCAGGTGGAGGAAAGCAGGCCGACTGCAAATACATTTGCAAGGGGTCTCTGCGGGAACTTGTTTAAATGCGGCACCATCTACGACATCGGTGACTATCCCACATGCTCCCTTGTTCCCTGAGTGTCTTCACATTGCAGGAACTCATTATCTAAAGTTGCTACTCGTGAGGCGGTGAGATCACCGGCGCCGAGTGAGGTGGGCACTAGGTGTGCGGCCCGTCCTGAAGCACGAGGGCAGCCGGGGAGGGCTGGGCCCTGCCACGAACGCGGCGTTGGGAGTTTTGCGGGCGGAGGTCCCGCATTGTCACCCGGACGCTACAGGGCCGCCCCTGCAGCCGAAGACTGAGGTTCCCCCAGACGCACTTCCTCCTCTGGGCACTCGGGCCGGAAGCGGTCCGTCTGCCTTAGCCGATCCCCTGTCAAGCCTCTGGGAGGTTCCAACCGAGGACCCAACAGATGCGCTTGCGCGAGGGGCGGGGGGGGGGGGGGGGGGGGGGCTGCACGCAGTCACGAGGCACCGGCCGCTTCCGGTGCGCCGCGAGGGCCGCCGGGACGGGTCTCCCTGGCGATAGGTGGTGTGCAGTCGCCACTTCTGCCGAGGCCATTAGTGCCCCGGGGCTGCGGAGTTCGTGTCCTTGCTGTCTTCTTCGGGCTCTCCGGGGCCTGAACCCCGGGGCCCTCGACTGGCTTCGGCGCGGACCTGCGGTCCTCCTCTCGCCCTTCACGACCCCGCAGCACGACTCCGAGGGGCAGCTAAGGCTGTGGCGACTCCGCGCCGTGTGCCGCCGGGCGGGGCCGCGGGGCCGGGGCTCCTCCAGCCCCCGGGATGCGTGCGCTAGCTCTCGCCTCCACTTCTTTTCTGCCGCTGTCACGACTGGAGCCGCCTCTCGCCCACCGCGGGGAGCGCGAGTGCACAGGCCAGCACCCTCGTGGAGCCCCGCGGCCGGGTTCCTCCGGGAATGTGAGCCGCGCTGCTCGCACGATCCCCAGGGTAAGTCACGCCCTCGAGGCGCTCTGCTCGGTCGACCTGCTGGGCAGCCTCCCTTCCGGGCGCTGCGGCTGGCTCTGCAGCTTCTGTTACCTCTTGCACAGTGAGCTTCCCCCTTCTAGTCTGTGCCTTTGGGACAGCCCAGAGAGGGAAAGAAACCAGCCCGGAGTCAAACGGTAGCTGAGCCATTAAACGCCGTCTCCTGAGGTTCCCAGGATCTCCTTTCAAGTGTTGCACATGAGAAAAAAGTAGCTTGCTTGAGGTCATAGAGATCTGTAGTAGTGCTCTCTAGAGGCCCTAGCCCCGCTGATACTTCTTTTTTGTTTTGTTTTGTTTTGAGACAGGGTCTCCTGCATCCCAGGGTAGTCTCGACTCACCATGTAGCTGAGGCTAGCCTTAAACCCCCTGTTCTCCTGCTTCCATTACCCAAGTGCTGGGACCACAGGCTTGCACGACTATGCCCAGCTGTTGTTTATGACTTTCATATTATTCTGCATCTTTCTGCTGCACTAAGGCCTAGGATCCGAAGACAAACTTGAACGTAGGTGTAAGGCATGGTACAAAACACAGAAACAGCAACCCAAGATAGTCCCCCTTCCTGCCTCCACCCCAAGGTGTAATGACAGGTTAATTTGATTGGTCCTCAGTGCTAAAACATGATGTACCGTTCTTTACAGGAGGTCCCCTGGAGTCGCTGCTTTCTGCACGAGGCTTTCAAGGGCCAGGATATCAGTCATATGTAGGGCAAAAATCCTGGTCTTCATTTGCTCCTGATTTGAACTGTGGTTTCGTTTACCAGTTTGCCTTCTGCTTATAGAGACAGATTGTCTGTTAGAAAGCAAGTTTTTGTTTTTCTTTGTAAGGTTTTTAGGGAAGCATAGCAGAAGAGGAATCATTTAGAGCTTACACAGAACTATAAAAGACTTTAGGAATATGTTATTAATCCAGAGTATATCTTTAAAGTTAAGAGTGAAATGAGCCAGGCATGGTGGCGCATGCCTTTAATCCCAGTACTTCGGAGGCAGAGGCAGGTGGATCTCTGTGAATTCAAGGCCACCTGGTGCTACATGGAGATCCTGTCTCAAAAAGACAGAAAAAATAACAGTGAAATATTGTGTGTTTAGATTTTGTAGGTGGTTTTTACCTTTTACATTTGTCCAGAGGGTTCTTTTGGGACTGGGGAGATGGCTCACCATTGAAACACTTGGGAGAGGATGGGAGTTTGGATCCCTACAACATACGTGGGTAGTTGCGGTCAGTCTGTAATTCTAACCCTAGAAAATGGAGTCAGGATACTCAGAGTTTAGCTTACTAGCTGTATTGTGGAGCAACCTTCTCTCAAGAATAGATGAAAGTGTGCTTTAGAGGGACTGGAGAGATGGCTCAGCAGTTAAGAACACTGGTTGTTCTTGCAAAAGATCCAGGTTCGTATCCCAGCAGCCACATGGCAGCCAACAACTGTCCATAACTCCAGTTCCAGGGGATCCAACAATCTCTTCTGTCTTCCGTGGGCATTGCACAACATGAGTGCACTTACCTACATCCAGGCAATACACACATACACATAAAATAAAAATAATAAGTAAAATAAAAGGAAAGTGTGATTTAGGATTGCCAACATCAACCTTGGGCTTTGAAATGGTGCATACACCATATGAACGGGCATGTGCCCCTCCCCATGCTTATGGAATGAAAAAAAGGGGGTTTTGCCTCTCAAAAGCTAGTCATGGCTTAGTTCATCTTCATCTCCTAGGAGAAGTAGCTGAGATTTAGACTAGTGTGAAATATACTTGTCTAGGGTCCTGTGGTGAGAGTTTAGAAGCCAGATCTCCTGGCTTGTTAGCTGCCTAGTCATTTGTCCAGTGAGGTCTGGCGATGTGTGTGAGCCTGTGCTGCACTTGCCAGTCCTGTTTGTGTTGACTGCTACAGTTTCCTTTCCTAGTTCTCACAGATTTTCAGGAGCAACTGCATTTCCAGTGGTTTTTTTGCATCTTTCTCCCTCCAAGGAGTCAGATGGTAAAACTCCAGTCTAGAACTTGGCCACAAATCAATGAGCTCTTCTTGAATTAGTCATTCAGTTTTTTTATGCCAGCCTTTTCCTAGATTAAAAAAAAAAAAAAAAGCTGGCTTTTTTTTTTGTTTGTTTTTTTGTTTTTGCTTGTTTGGTTTTTAGGCTAGCACCAGAGAGGGTTCACTTTGGTTTGTCAAGTTACTATTTTTTTTTATTTTAATTTTTTTACTTTGGGTTCATGAGGCAGAGTCTCACACAGTCTGGTCTGGCCTTGAACTCCTCACACTCCTGCCTGTGCTTACCACGTGCTGGGATTATAAGCATGCCCCAACACATCCAGCAAGGTTACTGTCTAGGTCTGTGCTGACACTACAGCCACAGAGTTACATACTAAGGAACTAAAAATTAGTCTCAGTTGTGAGCCCCATTTCATGTGCCTAATATGCAGCTAGTGGCTACTATATTGGAGAGCACTGATAAAGAGCATTCCCCTCGCTCTATGAGTAGTTCTGGTGTAGAAGATTGCATCAGGTTGGGTGGCAGTGTAGCACTGTAGAAAAAAGGACCAAGGGTTGGATTTTTAAATTAAAAACTGTTACTTTTCAATTCCATATCTGGGTCTCATAGCTTTGGGCAGGTTGTTAAGCATCTCAGCTACAGATAATCTTTAGCAATGAACTCTTTCATTTGTATAGCACTTGACTGTTCTCAGATAGTTGTGTATATAATATTCTTTGAGTCTCCCCACGGTGAAACTGTGGAAATGGGCTGGGGAGATAGCTTAGTTGGTAAAGTGCTTACCACAGACAAGCATGAGGACCTGAGTTGTATCTCCAAAGCTTACATTTTTTTAAATATAGGGAACTGAAGTGATGCCTTAGTGGTTAAGAGCACTGACACACATGGAGGCTAACAACCATCTCTAACTCCATTTCCAGGGATCCAGTGCCCTCTTACGACCTACATGCGAATTGCACAGCATGAGTGCACTTGCATACATGCAGGCAAAACACTAATACACATAAAATAAAATATTTTTAAGTGGGATCTACTGGCACACTTGTAATCCAAGTGCTGGACAGTTCCTGAGTCTCACTAGCTAGCCAGCCTAGCCTATTCAGCCTAGCTTCAGGCCAATGAGAGAGGCCTTGTTTCAGAAAGTAAGGTGAACAACACCTGAGCACAATACTGAGGTTGACCTCTGCTACCACATTGCATACACTGCACCCACACACATGTGCACACACAGTAACATTATCCTGTCCCCCATACAGACTTCTTTTTTTACCTTTTAAAAAAGTGTGTATTAGTGTTTTGCCTGTATGAATGTGTATGTATCGTGTGCATGCCTGGTGCCTTCTAAGCCAGAAGAGGTTGTTGGATCCCCTGGAACTAGAACTACAGACAGTTGTGAGCGACTGTCCTCTGCAAGAGCAACAAGTGATCTTAACTGCTGAGTCATTTATACAGCTCCTACCTCCTTTTAACATACAGGAAAGGAGTAACAGAACCTAAAGTAGTTAGAACACCTGCTCCCAAATCACATAAGCCAGCAGAGTAAAGAAATTCTGTGCATATGTATTCCTGATTGTATATTTGAATGAATCATTGAAACTGTTGTTTAAAGTGATAAAATGATAAGAGTAGGGCCAGAACATCTTGCTCCTGGCCAGTCATATATATAAATAATGCGTATGCGTGTATTGCCTGCATGTAAGTAAGTGCACCCATGTCGTGCAGTGCCTGCGGAGGACAGAAGAGGCTGTTGGATCCCGTGGAATTGGAGTTATGGATGGTTGTTAGCTGCCATATGGGTGCTGGGATCTGAACCTGGGTCTTCTTCAAGAACAACCAGTGTTCTTAACCGCTGAGCCATCTCTCCAGCCCCCAGGCAGTCTTTTAAGAAAAAAGAAAAGAAAAAGTTCCCAAATGAACTTCTAGTAATGTGGAACTAATAAATTCTTGAGTTGAAGGATTACTGTATTCTATGAAGGAATGTAAATGAAAAAGCTGTCTAAGCCCAGATCCAAATTTGCCTGAACAAAGGACTCACCTGAGGCATTTAAGTGACTAGATTCCCATACCTTCTAGATGTGGTGATTCAGGAAGACTGAAATGGAGCCTGGAATCTATAAGAATCAAGTACTCACGTAGGATCTGTTGAGTTTGGGAAATGACTAAGCATTTAGGCACTGACAGAATTAAGATTGTTTGATCTGGAGGCTGCTGCTCCTTTTACATTGAATACATAAAACTTCCTGTTGACTTACTTCTTCCCCAGCCATGGATGCATCTTATGATGGTACTGAGGTAACTGTCCTGATGGAGGAAATTGAGGAAGCTTACTGTTATACTTCCTCTGGGCCACCTAAGAAGAAGAAAAAGTACAAAATACATGGAGAAAAGGCCAAGAAACCCAGGTCAGTGTGTATATTTTGTTTGCTGTTAATATTTATAAGCTGATTTGCATAGAGAGCTGTGTTGAGGAAGACTTTTAAGATTCATTGAGAGTCAGAGTCTGAATGGTCATTGAGGTGGGGGCAGGGAGAGGGGGCAGGGATTTGGCATTCTTGCCAGAATTTGCTCATATTTCCATGCTGTTAAAGGGATTTGCATCATCCAGATGCTAGAATCTGTGTGCAAAAGAGCTACATTATTTTTGTTATGCCATTTAAAAATATTTAAAACAGGCATTAATAGATGGTGCGTGGGGGTACATATCTTTAATCCCAGTACTCAGGAGCCACAGGCAGGTGGATCTCTGTGAGCTCCAGGCCACCCCAGTTTACATAGGGAGTTCCAAGCCAGCTGTGGCTACAGGGAGACCCTGTCTCCAAAAAAAACACAAATAAAAGCCAAAACAAAGCAGGCATTAATAACACTACAGAATTATAATACTGTGATTTCTACAGAGACTATTCAGAGTATGCTTTAATTTCTCCCCTTAACTTTGAATGCTGAAGACTTGTTGCTGAGGTTACCAGCATTAGACCACTTTGATAAATCTGCTTGCTTCTTTCAGCCTTGATGAAATACCAGAAGAACTACTGTTTCCAAAATTCTTATTCTTTCCCCCTCCCTCTCATTCTTTGCGCTTCTAAGTTTCTGAGTGGAAACAGCCATGCTGTCTTTACCATTCATTGTGCTCACTTCCAGGACATCTCATCTCCAGGGTGTTACAAATGGTCTTTGCTTGGCTTCGTTTCCTGTTTAGAGACATGTTTTGAATTGAGAAGCTGGGATCTATTTTCTTTTGCTTTGTTTTTATCAACTCTTGACTGTCCGGCCTGTAACATTGCAGCATGTGCTGGCAGAAACAGCAGTTTTTGCTTCTTCAGGTCTGCATACCTCCTGTACTACTATGACATCTACTTGAAAGTGCAGCAGGAGCTCCCCCACCTCCCACAGTCTGAGATTAACAAGAAGATCAGTGAGAGTTGGAGGCTTCTCAGTGTGGCGGAGAAGAGTTACTACCTGGAGAAAGCTAAATTAGAGAAAGAAGGTTTGGATCCTGTAAGTAATTTTTTTCATTGGTTTAATGGGGAAGACCCTAGGGAGATCAGTCCCCTTTTTCTCATGTCTCCTTTTAAGTTTGTGGGGAAACTTTTTAAAAATCATTTTTTTTAAATTTTATTTGTTTATTTTATCCGTACAGTGTTTTATCTGCATGTATGTAAGTGCACCTGAGCATGCAATACCTGCAGAGACCAGAAGAGGGTGTCAGGTCCCCTGGAACTGGAGTTTGGGTAGCTGTTAGCCATTATGTGGGTGCTGGGAACCTAACTTGAGTCATTTGTAAAAGCAGCAGGTGCTCTCAACTGCTGAGCTCTCTCCAGCCCCCATTTTATCTTTCTTGAGTCTTGTATCATGTCTGCTCCCATTTGCATCATGCCCTGGACACTCTTGTCCTCTGTGGTTGCAACAGTGCACAGAGCTGACACTTTGGGAATTTCTCTGTAGTGAGCCTTAGTTTCTTTTTCTGAATTATACCGTAACCCTTATCCTCACAGTAACATTTTCTTTAGTATAGAGGCATTTTTTTCTATACCAATGAATGTAGTCTATTTTTTTTTTTAATTTGTATCATATTTAGCAATTAGGAATTAGGCTTGTGTGGGAAGAGGTAAGATAATGCTACTTTGTGTAATACCATGATTTTTTTGTTACTGCTGGTAGTTATGAACAGTGCCAGAACAGAAATCAAGGTTAAAACCAGAGGTGGGGGCTGGAGAGATGGCTCAGTGGTTAAGAGCACTGGTTGTTCTAGCAGAAGACCCCGGTTCAAATCCCAGCACCCACATGGCAGCTAACAACTGTCCATAACTCCCATCTCAGGGGATCCAGTGGCCTCTTCTGACCTCCATGGGCATTGCATGACACGGGTGCACTTACCTACATGCAGGCAATACACACATATGTATAAAATAAAAATAATAAAATTTTTTTAAAAAAGGTTTTAAAAAACAGGTAAGTAGTGGTGACTGAGGCTTTGAGTGTTTGAATTAAAGCACTGGCGAGGATCTGGGCTGGAGATATGATGACTCAGCGATTATAGAGCACTGGCTGCTCTTGCAGAGGCCCCAGGTTCAATTCCCAGCACCCATATGGTCCTTAACTCCAGTTCCAGGGGATCCAATGCCCTCTTCTGGCCTCCATGGGCAATGTATGTAAGTGCTCAAGGGTGCACTTAGATACATTCAGGCAAGACACTCATACACATAAAAGATTTTTTTAAATAAAAAAAGCTCAGCATGGTGGTGCATGTCTTTAGTCCCAGCACCCAGGAGGCAGAGGCAGGCAGATCTCTGTGAGTTCAAGGCCAGCCTGGTCTATATAGTGAGTTCCAGGCCAGCTGGGGCTATAGGGAGACCCTGTCTCAAAAAGACCCCCCCCCAAAAAAAAATTTTTTTTTAAAAACTGGCAAGGATGGATTTAGGTTTATGTCTGTCAACCAACCGTTTGTTGTCTCCAGTTCACAGTGACAGCATACACTGATGGCCATTTAAACTGCTAGTTTTTTGTTTTTATTGTGCTGGTGCTAGAACCCAGGACCTCACTAAGCAAGCACCCTGCCAGTGACCTGTACTTCTACCTGGGTTTTCTTAACCTGAAATTCTTGCAGAAAAAATCTGTTGCTACTGGAAGCTAAACTTTAAACCTGAACTTTTTTTTCAAATTTAGACAGTTTCTAACACCTTTTTTGGTAATACAGAGAGCAAAGAATCCTTAGGAAGAGACAGGCAGATCTCTGTGAGTTGTGAACTGAGCCAGTTCTCAGTTCACAACTATGCTGTGGCTGAACAGGCTGTATTTTTATTTAATGGAGTCTGTCTGCCAGTACGAGTTAAATTATTTTATCCATACTGCTTGACATTCCTCTTCCTTCAGTGCTTTGTGTCACCTACAGTCTAGAAGATACTATTTAATATTCCTGCCCCTAGATGATTTATTTATAGCAGTGAGTCTGAGAAATAACCCCTGCAATGGGAGGGAGAAGGTAGAATCTAAGTTTTCTTACCTTTTCCCTTTGGCATCCATATTCTAAAATAAGCAGTCTTAGAGGTTGGAAGTATGCCTCAGTGGCAGAGCATGTTCTTAGCATACCTGCTTTGGGTTCAAGAACCCCCAGCACTCACTTCTTCTAATCTTACCTAGTTCTGGAATGATTTGATTTTTAAAACCAGATAGATCTTTATTAAGACTTTAAAATGTTTAAAATCACTTCCAATGACTTTTTTCCTTATTCAGATGCTCATATTTACCCATTTTCACCACTACCAAGATCACTCTGATACTAACTAGCTACATGACCTTGGAAGAATCATTTAAATTTAGAATCTTGGTTTATCTCCAAACTGGAACTTATAGCGAGTCATAATGTTTAAAATAAATAATGTAAATCTATTTTACATGGGCTGAGTTCTTGGCCCATTCTCATCTGGTCCATGAATATTCTTGTTCAGTAAATCAAAAATCCAATAGCCATATAATAAGGAAAGGTGGCATTTGAGCATCTGGAATGTTCTCAGACTGCTTCATATACTGAGTTTATCTTCTTCCAGATGCCTGATGTGTGGATGAGACCCTATGGATGGATCTTGAGAGAATGTTAGAGCCCTGTGGCAAATTGTCTTCTTGGAGGCTCTTCAGGTCTCCTGCCAAATGCAGGGCCTATGGTTCCTTTGCCTTCAAGTCTGTGAAATTCATGCCATCCAGTCCTAGTTTCTGTTTAAGTCCAGATCATCCTATGTATTTGCCACCATTTAATCTGGTTCCCCTAATGTGTTTTCATCAGAGGGTGATTTGGAAATGCCATTTTCCTATTTCCTCTCCCATATAGGTTCCATAAAGGACTCAGCTCTGCCTACTTTTATATTTCATCTGAATGCTTTTAACTCTTAACCTCTGAGTGCTTCTGCCTTTGAGCCTTAAGTAGTGTCATTGACCTCTCTTGCCTTTGCTTTCTCTAAAGATTCTTTTGTAGTTGATTTTTAGTGTTCCTTTAAAAAGGCTTTTGAAATTATGTTGGTACATTTAATTTTAGTTCTTACTTAATCATTCACTTTGAACTTCTGTTCTCCTCCTGGATGACTTTTAGTTTAAGCTGAAAAAAAATTCTAAATTCCCCTTTTTTGGTACCAAATTGTTATGCAGGGCTGTTTCTAGTACCTGGTCTTTTTGATCTTTTGAAGATCGGGTCTGGAGTCCACGTTTTTACTTCTTATTAATTTTGGGTTTCAGAAGTTTTGCCTGATGAGTTTTGGCTTTGATTTCTTCTTTCATGTATTAAATGATAATGTTTATAGTGTTTTTTTTTAAACCTTTAATTTTTATGTGTATGAGTGTTTTGCCTGCATGTATGTAAATGTACTACTTGCATGCAGTGCCTGCAGAGGCCAGAAGAGGGTGTTGGACCCACTGGAACTGGAATTACAGAAGGTTGTTAGTTACCATACGGTTCTGGGAGCCAAACTTGATTCTCTGGTTAAGTGCTCTTAACCTCTGAGCCGTCTTTTCAGTCCTAAGAGTCTTTATTTTTAAGATAAAATTAAATCATGGGTTTCAAAGCATTTTTAAACTTTTAAGATACTAGGTCTTTTTACTGATTAATATATACAAGACCTTATCAGATAGTTCTTTGCCACATATATTTTCTTCTTAGCTTTTTGACCTGCTAATTTTCTTTGTAAGTCTGGGAGAAATTAGTGAGGTCAGACTCCTGAGGGCCCTCCTTCAATTCTAACTGGATCTGTAGAGTTGCATTTTATCCTTTCTTTTATTTATTTATTTTTTTTGAGTTTTTATTAAAATTCTCTCTGATAATTTAAATTGTTTGCAACTTTGGAATCCTAAAGCATCAAAGCTTTAAAAGGAACTCATAAGTTGCCAGATTCCTTGTTTTATACATGTGCTCACTGAGTCTTCAAGAGGGAAAAGAATTTGCTTAAGACTATTCAGACCTGAAGTTCTAACTCGCAGTTTTTAGATGAATGCCCTATCCAGAATTCAATCCCCAGCCCTTCAGAAAGACAAAACAACAGAGTTTAATTCATGTTATGGTGTCTCATGAGATTGAGCAAATAGTGATTGATTCAAATGAAGATGACATTGACAAGAGGCAGAGCCTATCTAAGTTAGGTCAAGTTAGCAGTGTCTTTCTGGTTCCTTTGGTAGGGGATAAAAACCTGATAAATATGACTACTTATGGTCTTCGTCCATTTATCTCTCCTCGTCGCCCTCTTCCTGGCTTTCTCATCCTCAGAACTCTAAACTTTCTGCACTGACTGCTGTGGTTCCGGACATCCCAGGTTTCCGAAAGATCCTCCCCCGCTCAGATTACATCATCATTCCCAAGAACACCCTGCAGGAGGACCGGAACTGCTCTCAGCTAGAGCTATGTGTGACTCAGAACCAGATGTCCCCCAAAGGACCTACTCTTGTATCGAACACTGTCCCAGATACGGTAGCCAGCCATGCAGGCATGGCAGAGCAGTGCCTGGCTGTGGAGGCGCTGGCTGAGGAGGTAGGAGCCCTTTCTCAGCCGGGTGCCGTACAGGAGATTGCCACCTCAGAGATCCTTAGCCAAGATGTGCTCCTGGAGGAAGCATCCTTGGAGGTAGGGGAGAGCCACCAACCTTACCAGACAAGCCTGGTAATTGAAGAGACCTTAGTAAATGGCTCACCAGACCTCCCTACTGGAAGCCTGGCTGTACCCCACTCTCAGGTTGGGGAGAGCGTGTCAGTGGTAACAGTCATGAGGGTAAGTAGCTTTGTACTAATGTTTTTTGCTTTGGTGGTCTGTTCTAAAAATGCAGCCAGCACCATGCTTTGTGCTTTTGGAGCAGTGGTCATTAAGGGTATGAGTGTAGTTCTGTTGAGTGTTTTAGACCCTGGACTTGCCCTAGAATTCTCTTCACTTTCTTAGGCATCTTACTAGCTCTTTTGATGTAGCTCAGAGAGATTATGTGTCTTTCCTCACATAAGGTAGTAAATGAGGTACATTAGCAAGAGAATTGGAAATGGTACTTAAGTTATCTGTGAGTCAAAGCCAGGAACTTCATGGTATATTGTGCTAGTTAGGATTTTGTGTTCCTGAAGTCTTTTTCAAGAAACATAATGGCACTTTGAACTGTATATGAAAATTATTGAAAGGAATTCTTGGCTATAGATGGGAATAGGAAGAAAAGTTCTTCAAGGCCTAGTAGCTAAGAAAGAAAAGACAAATCTGGGGCCAGCAAGGTGACTCAGCAGGTAAAAGTGATTGCAGTCAAGCCTGATGATCTAAGTTCAATGCCTAGGACCTATGTGATAGGAGACAGCCAACAACGTCCACAAATTGTCCTGTGATCTCTACATACTGTGGCCTGGGTATCCACACCCTCATACCCCTACACACAAGTAAATAAAATGTATAAAAATTTTAAGTTAAAAAAGGTAAAGGGAAATAATCTCCAGTGGCCCTAGTCTTCTCAGTTGAGGCAAAACCAAAGGTGAACTGCAGCAATCCCATAGTCTGTAGTTTTTCTTGTTTTACCCTGGATAGGATAACATCCTAGAGAAATGGAGTCCTCCTACTCAGGATAAGAAGGCCAGTGTGCTGTCACATACTCTGTGACCTGGATAAAAGAAAGCAGGTATCCCAAAGAAACACATCCTGGATCTTCTCTCGCTCTTTTTTTTTTTTTTTTTTTTTTTTGGTCTTTTTGAGACAGGATTTCCCTGTAGCCCCAGCTGGTCTGGAACTTACTACGTAGACCAGGCTGTCCTTAAACTCACAGAGATCTGCCTACCTCTGCCTCCTGAGTGCTAGGACTGAAGGTGTGTGTCACCACGCCCAGCAATCATCCTATATATTGTGGCCTCAGTGCTGTTTATGATAGTGAAGCATGTCACTGGCTTGGTTGAGGCAGCTTAATAAGGTGCCTTAATAATGTTTGATAGGATCAGAAGAATGGGATTCTCTTATTGGGTATTTATGTGATCTTGGAGTCCCTGGGCTCTTAGAACTTTAGGTTTCTCACGTGTAAATAAAGATAGCACATTTTTCTGTGGTAGTAGCTTTGTCCTTCATTGTTCCTAATTTATCTTTATTTTTTTTCTTTTTAGATAACCACAGATTTATCTTTTTATTTTGCTAAGCATGTTGGATAAGCACATTGTCCATATGTTTTGTACTGGATCCAGTCCTCCAGTGTTGGGGGTGGACCTCAGTGCTATGCATGCTATTTTAATGAAAGTTATCTGTCCACTGTCCACAGGACTCCAGTGAGAATAGCTCTTCTACACCAGCCACTCAGTTCATCATGCTGCCTCTGCCTGCTTACTCAGTTGTGGAAAACCCCTCCTCCATCAAACTGGTCAGTACAAAGAGAGTTGATGGTAGTTAGGGCTTCATAAGCACTCTCTTCTAAAAGTGGTTTTCTGAAAGTCTTAGAGTCTTAAGCAAAGGAACTATCAGTGGTCTCAAGGATTGGTCCAGGTGTTTATAAATGGGAGTTCTATAGATTCAATTCCACAGTATCTCTGAACTTCACGAATATGTACTGACTTGTAAGATATCCTGGGTTAGGTTCCATGGCTTTATCAAGTTCTCAGCATGTATGATTTCAAAAAACTAAGGAACCACTGAACTAGTTAGATACTATTATTGTGTAGATGAGAAAAAAAGCCTGGAAAAACAAAAGACGGACAGGGCATCTAGACTAAATACAACCAGGGTTCTGTTTTCTTGACTCAGTTGCTGATTTTTCCGTCACACACTGCAGCTTCTGGCTGAGAGTTATTTCTAAATACTTCATGGTTTTAAATTCTATTATAAATGGTATTTTGAATGTGTGTCTGCTTGTTTCCTGCTAGCATGCCATAATACAATTTTAAAAAATTCTGAATTTTATTTTATGTGCAATGATTATTTTGTCTACATGTGCGGAAGTACACCACATGCATGCAGTGCCCACAGAGGGAAGAGGGCCTCCCTGGAACTAGAGTTACTGATCGTTAGCTGCCATGTGGGTGCTGGGAACCGAACCTGGGTCCTACACAAAAGCAACCAGTGCTCTTAACACTGTTGAGCCAACTTACTAGCCTCTGACAGTTGATTATTTTAATACAAAACTTGTACTTTACAACTTTACTAAACTCACTAGTTCTAGTATTTTGCTTTAGATTCAATAGGATTTTCTACATATCAGTCATGTTGCCTGTGAATGAAGTTTCAGTTTCAGTTTAGGTTTATTTTTGTTTTCTTTGCGATGCTGAGGATCAAACCCAAGGCCCAACAACACAAAATAGGCAAGTGCTCTGCCACTGAAGCTACATTTCTAGCCCCTTATTTCTTATTTTCCTTATTGCGTTATCTAGGTCCTCTAGTACAATGCTGAATAGAAGGACTAAGGACAGCCCTCTTTGGCTTGTTCTGCACTTTTGAGGGAAAGGAATCAGTCTTTTACCATTAAATATGATGTTAGCTGTAGGTGTTTTTATAGTTACCCTTTATCAAGTTTAGGAAATTTCCTTCTATTTTTGATTTGTTGAGAGTTTTTATCAGGAACATATGTTGCTTTTTTTTTTCCCCCAATGCTTTTCTGTGTTTATTGAAATGGTGTTAGGGATTTTCTTTTCTAGTTGGTTAATGTGGTAGCTTTCATTGTTTATCAGATGGTAAAGCAAACCTGGCCATTCCTGGGATGAACCCACTTAATCAGTGATCTTACATATTCTTTGATGTGCTAAAACTTTGTTCAGAATTTTTGTGTCTTAAGTTCATGAGGAATGTTTGTCTCTTAGTTTTCTTGTGTGACTTGTCTATTTTTCTTATTAAGGTGATATTTGCCTCATAGAGTGAGTTCAGCAGTGTAATATTTTCTGGAAGAGTTGATGTTATATTCACATTATTTCTTCCTTGTTTGATAGAATTGCCAATGAAGTCATCTAGACCTGGAGCCTTCTTTATAAACTGTTTTTAATTACAAGTCTTAATTTTGAATATACATACAGGACTTGATTACTTGTCTGTGTGTTTGTTTTTTTGTTTGTTGTTATGGAGTGTTTTGAAACAGGGTCTCATTTTTAGTTCAGGCTGGACTTGAATTCACATAGCAATCCTCTTCCAAGTACTGGGATTATAGGTATGGGCCACCATGTCCAGCTCTCGATTACTTATTTTTGGGGTAAATTTTTGGTATTTTGTCTTTTTGGAAATTTCTCATTTAAGTTGTTGATTTTATTCATTTATTAATAAATCATTCAGACAAAGTTTCACTCTGTAGCCCAGTCTATTCTGGAATTTATGTGACCCAGACTGGCCTTGAACTCTTATCCTGCCTTAGCAGTACTGGGATTACAGGTGTGAGCCACCATGTCCAGCTTTACTTGTCAGTTTTATTGACCTGGAGATGTTCTTAACATTGCCTTACTGCCCCTTTAAATTTGTGGTGCCAGGTATGGTGGTTCACACCTTTAATTAATCCCAGCACTCTGGAAAAAGAGGCAGGTGGATCTCTGTGAGATCTAGGCCAGCCTGGTCTACATAGTGAGTTGCAGGCCAGCTTAGGTTATTAGGAGACCCTGTCTCAACAAACAAACAAAAAAATCTCACTTGCTGCACTTGCAGAAGACTCACGTTTGTTTACTAGAACCACCTGAAACACAACCACCTGTAACTCTAGCTCCAGGGGAAATCTGACCTCTCTGGGCACCTATACTCAGATGCACACACCCACACACAGACAACAGACACATAATTTGAAATAATAAAAATAAAATATTTAAAGATTTATTTTGTTTTTAATTATGTGTATGCATGTGTATTTGTATGGGGTCTCTGCACATGAGTACAGGTGCCCGCGGAGGCAGGAGGGTGTCATCCCCTGGAGCTGGACTTTTGGGGCTATGTGAGCTGCCTGATGTGGATGCTGAGAACTGAATGCTGGTCCTCTCCAAGAATAGGACACACTGTTATCTGCTGAGCCATCTTTCCAACCCCAAAAGTAAAAATCTTTAAAAATATATGTGTATATATGTAACATAAAATTTGCCATTTTAACCATTTTAGAATGTACCACTCAGTGGCAATTAATTATTGTACAGTCATTGTCTATATTCATTTTCAGAAATTTTTCCTTGTCCCAAACAAAAATCCTGAATAATTTAGTTGGGTTTTTTCCCTACCTCCTGTGATGCTGGGGATCAGACATAAGTAATAATTTCATTAAATAGCAATTCCCAGTTCTTACCCAAGTCTGATGATCTTCTGTGTTTGCATAAGTTACCCTTTCTAGATCTCATGTAAGTGGAATCACAGGAATACTCTATGTTTGTTCCCTTAATACTTTCATGTGCTTGTTCCCTTAATCTTTTCAGGGTTCCCTCATCTTGTCATGTGTATCAAAATTTTGTTTTTTGTGGTTGGGTTCCATTGTATGTATATACCTCATTTTACTTACCTAGTAACTGACTGAGAATGCTTGTAGACAATACTGCTATGGATTTGGGTATGAGAGTATTAGTTTGAGTCCCTGTATTCTGCTCTTTTGTATATGTAGTTATTAGAGGAATTGCTGGATCACATAGCATTTCTTTGTTTATTGTATTTGAGGAAGTTTGATCCATATCTGTATAATTTGTAGTATCCCAGTTACTGGTAATCAGGTCTTTTCTGGTGATCTTGGCTAGAGGTTTCTCTACTTCATTGATTGCAAGAAGGCACCTCTACATTGTATTTGATATAGTTTTTGTTTATTATTCCTTTTTCTAGTTTCTTAAGGTGAAAGCTGGCATCATTGATTTAAGACCTTTCATTTCTAGTGAGGTGCTTATAGTGCTCTAATTTCCCTCTAAGAATTATTTTAGTGGCGTCTCACAAATTCTGATACAGTATGTTATCACTTCAGTCAGCTCAAAACTTTTCTAGTTTGCTTTTTTGACCCATGAGCTACGCAGAAATATGTTGCCTATTTTCAAAATATTGGGGAATTAGAGCAGGCATGGTGACGGACACCTTTAATCCCTCAGGAGGCAGACACAGGCAAATCTCTGTGAGATCGAGGCCAACCTGGTCTATGTATGGAGTACCAGGCCAGCTGGGGCTACAGCACCCCCCCATCCCCCCAAATGGGGAATTTTCCATATGTCTTTCTGTTACTGATATAATTTAATTTCACTATGGCCAGAACTTTATGGTTTGTAAAACCCAAGTCTTTGAGACTTGTTTTATGGCCCAAAATATGGTCTATATTGATAAATGTGTATTTGAAGATAGTGTATATTCTGCTGTTTGTAGAATGTTCTGTATGTACCAAATTAGGTTGAATTGACTGATAATGTTCAGCTCTTTTATGTCATATTGGTGTTTGATCTACCTGTTCTGTCTGTTGAGAGACATCAGCCGACTTTGACTGTAGATTTTCCTATTTCTTTTTTTAAAAATATTTTTTTATTATTTTATTTTATTTTATTTTTTTGGTTTTTTTGAGATAGGGTCTTCCTGTAGCCCTAGCTGTCCTGGAACTCACTATGTAGACCAGGCTGGCCTTGAACGCACAGAGATCCGCCTGCCTCTGCTGGGATTAAAGGCGTGTGCCACCATGCCCAGCTTTTTTATTATTTTTATTTTGTGCATGTAAGTGTATTGCCTGCATGTGTGTAAGAGCACCCGTGTCCTGAAGCGCCCACGGAAGTCAAAAGAAGGCATCAGATCCTCTGGAACTGGAGCTACAGATGGTTGTTAACCACCATGTGGGTGCTGGGAATCAAACCCTGGTCCTCTGCAAGAGCAGTCACTGCTCTTAACTGCTGAGCCATCTCTCCAGCCCCAGATTTTCCTGTTTCTTCGTAGAGAAAAAGGAAAGTTCTATTAGCATTTATGTTATACATTGTGACTCTTATTAAATACATAAATATTTATGTTGGCTATGTCATTATCATAAACTGGCCTCTTTATTTTTAAGAAATGATCTTCTTTAGTAATATTCCTTGCTCTGAAGTCTACTTTGTTGATGTTTAGTTTTGGTTTTAATAGTTGTTATTAGCAAAGCTAACTTTTTTCTGTCCTTTTAACCATTTTATAACTATATTTAAGGTGGGTTTTGGTTTTTCTGTAGGCAGCATGTAGTTTAGATATAAAACGAATATGTATCTGACAGTCTTTTCTAAAAGACTCTAATTTCATGTGTATTATCAGTGCTTCAATATAGACATGTGGATACCAACAACCTTTTCAGGTGCTAAGTGCCAGTCTTTTCTGTACATCTTGATTTTTTTCCCCCCCCCTAACAAAAGAACAAATATAGCCAGGCCTTTAATCCCAGCCCTTGGGAGGCAGAAGCAGGAGGGTCTCTGTGAGATCAAGGCCAGCCTGGTCTACATAGTGAGTTCCAGGCCAGCTGAGGATACTGGGAGACCTTCTCTCAAATACAGAGAGGAAGAGAGGGAGGGAGGGAGGAAGGAAGAAAGGACAACCACCACAACAACAGAAACACGCAAATGATCAGATATAACACAACTGCAGGAGATTAGGATACCATTGTCACAGTTCACCAAATTACAAAAAAGAAAAAAAAAATTAAGGGCATACTTAAAGCCATGTACATTATTTCACCCTTTCATAAAACTTTTTAAACTTATATGAATTTCCTCAGTATAAAAGACTCCTCAGAGCTGGGTGTGGTGACTCATGCCTATAAGTATTTGAGAGGTAGAAACAGAAGAATGTGGAGTTCAAGGTCATCCTATGTGGCTGGGTCAAGGAAATCCCTGTCTTAGTAAAACAAACAAAACTCTTCAGAAACTGTAAGATAGCATTAGACTGTAAAATTCACTTTTGAAATGTAGGGAATTGTTTTTCTAATTTTGGCTGTAAGTTTTTTTAATTATAAAATGAGTATATTGAGAGATGGGAAGAAGGAGCTTCTGGTTTTCTAGTTGTAACTATCTTTGGACAGTTGAAGGCATTTATATTTGATATGGTTAGGTTTAGATCTGTGAATTAGTTACTTTTCTCATAGCAATGATAAAATACCTGACAGAAGTAACTCGAGGTTTTATTTGTGCTCCCAGTTTAAGAGGGGATGTAATCGTTCCTGATGGGAAGGCGACTGTGAGGCTGCTGGTTACATGGCATCAGAGTCAGGAGGCAGGCAGACATGAATGCTGTCACTTGGCTTGCTTTCTCCTTTATCCATTTTTATTCAGTACAGGACTCCGGCCACGGAATGGCACTGCCCACATTCAAGGTGGGCCTTCCCTTAGTTCAGTGTCTGCAAATGCTCTCAGACCGCCCAGAGATATGTCTTCTAGGTAATTGTAAATCCAGTCAGGTTGACAGTGAAGATGAGTCATCCCAAGTCGACCCCTTGTCAGTATGACACCCAAACACAATCACTTAACTCATGACATTATGTTTGTGGCCCTCAAAAGGCCAATGGCCATCTCACAATACAAAATGTATTTAGTTCATCTCCCATAGTACCCAAAGTCAGTAACAGTTCTGACATTGTTTACAAGTACAGTGTCTGTAGTCTCTTAGGACTCGAAGCAGTCTCTTAATGCGAGCCCTTGTAAAAATCAAAACACAAGTTAAATATTTCCAATATAGAATGGCACAGAGTGAACATGCCAGTTTCAGAAAGGCTGAGTGGAAGGATAACAAGGAAAGATTGGACCAAAACCCAGCAGGGCAAACAGTGTATACTGCAGTCCCATGTCCAGTAGCTGGGGTTTGTATTGGCATCATCATGGCTCCAACAGACTTAGGCAGCTCTCCTTTTCCAGTTCTGCTTACAGTACTTGTAGCCCCTCTCTTGGACTGGATTTGATGTGTGCCTGCAGCTTTTCTCAGCAGACATCCCATAGTTGGCATCTTGAGCATTCTAGGGGTCTCCATTGCAACTTAGTGCTTCATACAAGAGGGCCTTCTAGCAGGGAGTCCAATCTTGCTACATGTTGCCTGGCCTCAGCAGCCTTTTGGATCCTTGGTGCAAGGCTCTGTGACCATATAACTTGAATTTTGCACATCTACAAAACCATCTGAACAATGCTGCCAGGTTTTGTGGTCAGCTCAGGATGTAGTCTGGACTGCTTCTGCTTTAGTGGCATCTGTGTCCCTTGGCAGCTGAACCTGGGGAAAACATTTCCCTAGGTGGTATTGTTGAGTAGGGAACTACTTCCAAGTTCTCAGTCTAGACTCTTTATTTTCACAGGTTGGAGCCTTTGATGGGTGAGGCCTTACCTTCAGGGCATCTTTCCTCTACCCCAGGGTAGAGTTCCTGGTTTCTCTTTAATGATGCTAATCTCTAACAATTACAATTGCTTTCTCCATACCCACTTTTCTCATTTTCTCACCAAACTGTATGTTTTTTCCTGTCTTTGCTCTTTTATTATAGATCTGACAAAAGCAATGAGCAGTTAGGGCTGGAAAGATGGCTCAGCAGTTAAGGGAACTTGCTGTTCTTCTAGAGGACCGGCGTTTGGAGCCATATGTTTGCAGCCATATGTTTTTGCTTAAATATAATGAATGACCTCTAGCCCAATTCCCAGTATAGTTCTTGGTCCCCTCTGAAACCTATGAGCCAGGCCTCCACTGCCTACATTTCTGATGGCATACTGTTCTTCTGAACTCCGACCAGAATTACCCAGTGAGCTCTGACTACAGGATTCTAAGGCTTCTCTCACAAATCATGTTACTTTACCCACTAAGCATCTCCCCAGTCCAGAAAGTTGCAGCATCTTAAAATAGGACTGTCCACCTTAGCTTGATTCATGGAGAAACAACTTATTTTCCTGGAGCCCTTATGCCCCTGGAAATAGCTGTTGTATAAAGAGCCAAGCTCTTCTAGAAAAGTGTTTTTATAACTAAAAAACACTTGGGACTGCAACACCAGCCTTGAGCATCAGTATTTATATCTGAAGTCAGTTTCTTCAGACTGCTGTTTAGGAGCCTAAAGTTTCCAAGTTTATAATAATTATTTATAGAACTGACTCACCTTATATCTTTATTCTGTTTTCTGAGGATATTTAATATGAGAGTCTCTATCGGATCATGATCTGGGAAAAGACCAGAGAGATTCTGTGTTCTCTTTATAAGAGTTGTAAAATCTTCTACAATTTACTCCATGTGAATGTTTTCCATTCTTTACTGCATTTGCTTCTTGATGTACATCTGTAAAATAGGAAGAGAATGTGATTTTACAGAGGAGGAAACCCAGGTAACTTACCCCTGGGTCATTCAATGTGTTAGTGTCAGCGTTGGAACCCAAACTTGGTGTCTTTACTCATTATCACTCCACTTGGCATTCATTCTTGACTTGGTCCCATTCCAATGATTCCTTGGGCTTCCTGGCAGAGGTAGGTAGTGGCAGTTTAGTGATTCCCCAAGAAAGATTTTTTGCTTTTGGCTAGGCTAGGGAAGTTAGGATTAGTAATTGAATAAATATTTGTAAATGATAGAAAAAAATAAGCATAAGGAAATACTTTATTTCCAGCATTAGTCTAGAAATAGAGCATAGCTCATGAGTTATTCGTTTTGTTTGTGACTGAAACATAGTAAACCATAGAATAGGTTTTCTCACGGGGTGATTTGTTGAACATCAGAGGACCTGGTTTCTATTCTTAAATGTTCTTGTCATTTTTTTTCTTCTAGTGACCACAGTTCTCTTTTTGCATCTCTGAATCCTAGATGCTGGGTTCTAATTTTTAGTTAATAAGAATGAAGATGAAGCATAATTTTTAGAGGTATGAGGAGCCAGAGGGATAGCTAGATACACAGAAGCAGTATTGAACCAAGAGTAAAGTTGATCTGAGTTCAAGCCGAGCTCTACCCTTGGGTCACTATATGATTTGAGGCAAAATGTTTAACCACTGTAAACCTCAGTTGTAGTAATGCCTACTTAATAGCATTGCTGAGAGGAGTAAATGAAATGCTGGTAAAGTGTTGAGCACTGTGTGGTAGTATGTTTAATAGCACCAATCACTGATAATTGTGTAGTCCTCGGCAGTGGTCTTTTTCTCCATTGGAACTCAGTTTCTTCATGTCTAAAAAGTGAGTTTGTACCAAATAACCTTTCTAACTCTGACCTTTTGTGGCATCATGAATGTTATCCTTTTATAAGCTGATATCCTCTCATTGTTGTACTTAATGACAAGTCTTGGATTAGGGTCTTAATTCTTTTTTTCTTTCTTTTTTTTTTTTTTCTACAGACTACTACATACACCCGTCGGGGCCATGGGACATGCACAAGCCCAGGTTGCTCCTTTACATATGTCACCAGGCACAAACCACCAAAGTGCCCTACTTGTGGTAACTTCCTAGGAGGAAAGTGGATCCCAAAGGTGAGGTCCATTGGCATTGCTGCTTTGGAAACGCAGCAGAGTGGGCTTTTCAATTCCTTTGGAACAGATGACTTTTTTAAAGTCAATACTTACATGTTTTTAATTTTCATGTATGATGTGCATGGGTACATGTGTACTGGTGTGTGGATGTGCAAGTACATACATGCTGTGGCACAAGTGTGTCAGAGAGCAACCTCTGGGATTGGTCCTCACTTTCTACTTTCAGACAATGTCTTTCTTTTGTTGTTTGCTGATGCATACACCAAGATAGTTGTCCTTCGAACTTCCAGGAATTGTTTCTTCGTCCCATCTCTCCATAGAAGCACTGAGATTATAGATGTGAGCTACCATACTTGGCTTTTGGTAGGTCCTAGGCATTTGAACTCAGGCTCTCACACTTGCACAAGAGCCTTATTTACCAAGCCATGTCTCTGGCCCAAGTAAATAATTTTCCTTATAAACAGTTTGTTTAATGGAAAGAAAAATAGGTTGAATATCATCCAAAGAAAAATCATTAATTAATTAATATTTTGATGTGTTGTTTAGTTTTTCTGTGATTAAGTTATTTAACTTTTTCCCCCATTTACCTTAAAGGCATTATATATTTTTAAAAATTTGGGGCTGGAGAGATGGTTCAGCAGTTAAGAGCTATTCTTGCCAAGGACCCAGGTTGAGTTCCCAGCACCTACACGATGGCTAACAACTGTCTACAACTCCAGTTCCCGGGGATCCAATGCTCTGTTCTGACCCCCCGAGGGCACTACATGACATAGGTGCACTTACACACATGTAGGCAATACATATAAAAAAATAATAAATAGAATATTTAAAATCACATTTATCTTGTGTGTATGTGTGTGGGCTCATGTGCCACTGCACATGTTTGGAGGTCAGAGGACAACTTTCAGGAACTGATTCTCTCCTTTTACTGTGTACAACCAGCAGGTAAAACTCAGGCCATCAGACTGAACTATCTTGTTGGCCCACCATTAAGTATTCTTAAAAACATCGTCTTTGAGGTTGAAGAGATGGTTCTTCAGCTAAGAGCACTTGCTCTTACAGAGGACCTAGGTTCAGTTCCTAGCACCCATATGGTGACTAACAACCATCTGTAACTCCAGTTCCAGGAGACCCAACACCCTCTTCTGGCCTCTTTGAGCATTGCACGACATGGGTACACTTACATACATGCAGGCAATACACTCATAAGAATAAAAATAAATTTTAAAAATTAAAAAGCAACACCAGTTTCTTTAATCAGGTATAGTGGTGCAACCTGTTATCCCAGCACTTGGAGGCAGAGGCAGGATTATGAGTTTAGAACCATCTTGGGCTACATAATCAAGTTCAAGTCTACCTGGATTATATAGTACTTGCTTCATAATTTCTCATAAATAACTACACCATGGTAGTTTACTCACTTCTTGTTAAGACTGAAATTTAACGCTCCATACTAACTGCTTAGTTACTATTCTGATTCATGGCTTATGTCTTTTTCACTCAAGCTCAAAATCGTGTGTTTTTGAATAGCTCTATTAAAAATGAAAGTCTTTAACCTGGTTGATATTCAGAGTTTTCTTTCTCCTCTTTTTCTTTCCCTCCCTTCCCTATCAAGACAGGATTTCATGCTAGCCTCAAATTGGTGAACTTCTTATGTTCCTGCCTCTACCTTAAGTGTTAGTGTTACAAGTGTGCATCATCACACCCAGTTTATGTGGTATTAGGATCAAATCCAGGGCCTTAGGCATGCTAGACAAGCACTGTACCAACTGAGTTACATCCCTACCCCCGATAGATACTCGATTTTCTATAGTTGAATTCTAACTTTACAATGTACACCCTTCCCTCCCCACCCCCCAGCCAAATTAGTTGGTTAGTCTATGTTTAAAAAGGAATGCAAAAGGGCTGGAGAGATGGCTCAGCGGTTAAGAACACTGACTGTTCTTGCAGAAGACCTGGCTTTAAGTCTAGCACCCACATGGCAGCTAACAACTGTCTGTTACTCCAGTTCCAAGGGCTCTTCTGACATCTGTGGGCGTTGCACAACACGGGTGCACTTACTTACATGCAGGCATAACACTCATACACATAAAATAAAAATAATAATAAAATATTTTTTTAAAGTTAAATTAAAAAAAGGAATGCAGAATGATGAATCATGACTAATTGTAATGCTAGTCCTTCCTCAAAACATCTCTAGATCTCCTTAGTGAAGAGTGAATGGCTCTCTCTTCCCTAACACTCACCAGTCATCCCCATGTAATAGTGCTTCTAATTTTCTTTGTTGGGAGCTCCTGGTGATCTTTGAATCCTGCACAATAAATGGGCATCAAAGTTTAGCTCTGCGTGTTTTGCTGACTTCCTACTCAGTTGGCCCTGACTTGCAGTGTTTTTTATACAAGATTATTAATTTTGGGGGTCAGCGAATAGAGTAGACAGTCATTTCTTAGTTCAGAGAGAAGTAACATTTAGAAGGAACTAGAATAGACAGGGAAAGTTTTTAGAGAAGATCTTCTCTTGAAGGATCAATAGCATTTGTGTAGGTGGAAAAGGAAAGAGAAGACATCATTTTGTGAAATCTGTGAACCATTTACCTCATGGCCAGGAATCAAGACAGAAAGAACTGGGATCCCACAGCCCGCTTCAAAAGCATGCCTGCAGTGACCTAAAACTTCCCTCTAAAGGCTCCACCACCCGATCCTGGGGGCACAGCCTTTATTTGTCTCATGGACTTTGGTAATGCCTTGAGATCCAAATAGTAGCAAAAATGCAACTCTAGGTTGGCTCATTGAGTACAACCCTTGTTTCACAAGTTGGTAGCTATGTAACCTTGGACGGGTCATTTCATATCTCTTCTATAAGTTGAAATTAATAGTACGTACCTGTGGGGCTGGAGAGATGGCTCAGCAGTTAAGAACACTGGCTGTTATTGCAGAAGACCTGGGTTCCAATCCCAGCACCCATATGGCAGCCAACAACTGTCCATAACTCCAGTTCCAGGGACTCTGACAGCCTCTTCTGTCCTCCACGGGCATTGCATGACACAGGTGCACTTACCTACGTGCAGGCAGTATACACATACACATAAAATAAAAATAAAATATTTTTAAAAAATAGTATGTACCTGTGATAGTTAATGTTATCAATTTCACAGGATCTGGAATCACTTATGAGACAAACATCTGGGCGTGTCTATGAAGGCATTTCTAGATTGGATTAATTGAGGTGCAAGATCCACCAGGGTGACACCCATCCATGGGCTGGGGATTAAGCCAGGGGTGGTGGTGCACACCTAATCCCAGCACTTGGGAGGCAGAGGCAGGCAGATCTCTGTGAGATTGAGGCCAGCCAGGTTGAGTTCAAAGCTAGCTGGGGCTACATGGAGACCCTGTCTCAAAAATAACCAAAAATACAACAACAACAACAAAATCATGGGCTGGGGTCCTGGACTGAATGAGGAGAAAATGAACTAAGTACCAGCATTCATCTCTGCTTTCTTTCTTAAATGAGGGTGTAGTGTGAGCAACATACTCAAGCTCCTGCCACCATGCCTTCCCCACTGTGATCGACTGTCCCTCCCACACCTTTCCTTCCTTAAGTTGTTTTTTGTAAGGTATTTGGTCACAACAATAAGAGAAATAGCTAGCATCTGGCATGGTGGCATATGCCTTTAATCTCAGCACTCAGGAGGCAGAGGCAGGTGGATCCCTGTGGATGGAGACTTTCTTGGACTCCAAAGCGAGTTCTAGGCCAGATGGGGCTATAAGGAGACCCTGTCTCAAAAAGATAGACAGATGGGGGTGGAGGAGAGGAGAGGAGAGGACATTAGTATAATTGACAGTATAATTATTATCTCTATTGCTGCAATTCAGTTACCACTTCTAGGGTCAGGACATAAAAGCTGGAGCCTCAGGAGATAGTGTCAGGTTTCTTGTGTCTATTTTTTTCCTGTTTGCCTCTGGGAAGCCATCAGTTAATTGCACTCCATTCCCCCAAAATGTACTTTGCCAGCTGCACTAGGGTTACTGAGTTGGTTGGCAGTTGGAATCCTTGATCCCTCTTCACCACTACACAGCATTTCTATGAAATGACCTTACTTCCTATGATTGTTCACAGAAAGGTATAAGTGAGCGTGGTGGGCTTCTCTCTCCTTGAGTTCTGGTTTGTTTGTTCTGCTTGGATTGGTTTGGTTTTTTTAAAACAGGGTCTCCTTATAGCCCAGCTGGCCTGGAACTCATGTAGACCAGGCTGGCCCTGATTTCTCAAAGATCTGCCTGCCTCTGCCTCCAGAGTGCTGAGATTAAAGTTGTGTGCCACCACACCCAGCTGATTTTAAGTTTTAACTTTATATTTTGTGGGAGGCAGTTCTCTCCACCATTTGGGTATGAGGGATTGAACTCAGACCCTCAGGCTTGGCAGTGAACACCTTTACATGCAGAACTATTTCCCTGGCCCTCAGGTTCTGTTTCAAAATACATTTTTTAAATTTTATTTTGTGTATGAATGTTTTGTCTGCATATATGTAAGTGGACCACATGTGTGCAGTGTGTGAGGCCAGAGGAGGGTGTCAGATTCACTGGAACTGGAGTTTCTGATGGTTGTGGGTGCTGGGGACTGAACTTGAGTCCTCTGTAAAAGCAGTCAGTGGTCTTAACCACTGAGCAATATCTCTAGCCCCTCAGGTTCTGTTTTAATTATGACATTTTTTTCATTGTATATGTATGCCTGTGTGCCCACTTACTTGAAAAGACTGAGCCATGGTTCTTTTACTGTCAAGCTCATCACATGTAACTCTTTTTAAAGCTTCTTGATCGTTGTTTTGACCTGCTATAATTTTAGACATAAAAATGCCTTTGGTGATCAGCTACTTCAGTTTACATTTTCTGGGAAAAATTAAAGAGAAGTGACTTGCTAGGTTCATACAGCTAATTATTCCACACTTTTCCCACTAACCCACACTTACCAGGCATTGCTATGCACTTTGGCTGCAAAAGTGTAAATTTTTTTTAAAGTTCCGCATATATGCATATTTTTTATAAAGTGTTTTTTTAATTTATTATTTTTATTTTATGTGTATGAGTGTATTGCCTGCATGTATGTGAGCGCACCTGTGTCATACAGTGCCGCAGAGGTCAGAAGAGGGCTTCGGATTCCCCTGGAACTGGACTTAAGGACGATTCGTAGCCACCATATGGGTGCTGGGAATCGAATCCGGGTCCTCTGCAAGAGCAGTCAGTGCTCTTAACTGCTGAGCCATCTCTTCAGCCCTATATATGCATATTGGAAACTCCACATGCATAACATGTCAATCAGAAAGTGACTCACCTTTTCTCATATTGTCTTAGAGTTCAGAGTGACCAAAATTATCTTTAAAATGTGTAGAATAGTTCTCAATGAGTTGACTGTGATAAAAGGTAGTGAGAGAGGCTTTGTTTACTCAAAGCTTCATTTTTCTGTGCTCTGACAGTGGTGAGTTTGCTGAGCCACTGGTTGTATTTACCTCCATCTTAAAGTAGCATCTAAAAAGCACAGGTTGAGTCAAGAATTACTGTGAAGTTACCAAGTAGACTTTCTGATCAGATTGCTTCATTATCTTCTCTGCAAACAATTTGGAGTAGCCTGCTTAGTAGACAGTGTACTACTCAAAGATTGCATCCCAAGAGATGAGTTTATTCTGCTGTGTCTTTTCTGAGAGCACTGAATAAGTACTGTGTAATTTATTTGAGATTTTTCTCCTTGTTTGCTCATCTTCACGAGCTCTTCTGTTTTAAATAAATCTGTGAATACTTTACTGAAGAACTCTTAACAGTCAGCTTAAAGGTCATCTGTTACTGGTTCTTACCCAGGAAAAAGGATACCACCTCGATGTCTTTAGAATTTTGAGGAGATTGTGATCGGCAGTGACTGAGACGGAATGCTGAATTTTAATGACATTAGCTGCAGGTGCTGCTAGCTGCAGTTGCTGCAGTTCATGCAACACCCAGACAGGTCCTGGGCAGTGAAGAATTGGGCCACCCAAAGTGCTGTCTTGATTCTGTTGGATTGTTGGATTTTTTAGTATCCAATTCAAGGTTTTTTGAAACTGAAGTCCAGAGACATGAATTAACTATGCCTATGGTCAAACAGAAACCAAAAACAACATGAACTAAATGCCTAATCACCAGGCAAGGACTCTCTAAGGGTTCCACAAAAAGGCTTCTCTTTCTAAATCTCATATTCAGGATTGGTAACGCATAGGTTTTTTTTTTTTCTTTGAACTTATTTTTTTAATTATTTATTTAATAACCACATGATTAGAAGAAGCATTTCATTACAGCTTTAACATAACAATTCCCAGAGCAAGAGCAAAGATATCTCTTTCAAAAGTGGCTGTAAATTTTTAGGTTCACAGTTGAATTAATACAGTTATACAATATTGAACTCAGTATAAACCCTCAGCAAGCAAGATTCTAACAGCTACTGTATGGAGAACCCAATTTTGTCATTTATAAAGTGGAAATGATTCAGATAAAGCTTGCCCTAGAATACACAAATAATTAGAAGTAGAGCTAAACATAAAAGGAACCTAGCTTTTAGTTTTGTTTCCTATCTTACATACCTTTCGTAATACACATGGAGGGAAAAACACTAACCCAGAGAATCACTCTTTTATAAAACAAAAGTTTTAATGTCTATATTTATAGGAATACATATATATATATATATATATAAATGCTGTTTCCACAGCAGTAAAAGCTAAGGCACCAAGACTGTTAAAGGGAGATCTGATAGGCTTGGTGGCACATCCCAGCACTTGAGAGGCAGAGGCAGGTAGATCTGTTAAGTTTGAGGCCAATCTGGTCTACATAGCAAGTTCCAGGCCAGCTTGGAGTACATAGTGTGACCCTGTCTTTTAAAAAAAAAATTTGGAGTAGTAGCTGCAATTTTTAGTGAGTTTGGATATTTTCTAATACATACTGTGTATGAGTTAATTTATCATTGTGAAATATGTGGCGTATGTCATTCATATACAACTCATCTGAAAGAACCTGGAACTAAAGACTTTCTCCAGGGTCCAAGAAATGAAAGCAATGTGAAACTGACCACATTGCTATTTATTGAATCTCATAAAAGGACCACCAAGGTAATCCACTAGTACTGCAAGATGTCAGTTTCTTTCCAGATATGAAGAAGTTGGCTTGGAACAGTCAGAGCTTAGCTTTTTCCTAATTGAAGCATCTAGTGAAAGGACCCTGGGGCAAAAGATGTAGATTAAGGCCAATTTTATACTTGGGATTTTTTTTTTTTTTTTTTTTTTTTTTTTTAATGCTATACTGGCCAAGGCTCAAGCGATTCTTCTGCCTCAGTCTCCCAGGTAGCACCACTGCTCTCAGCTGTGGTAACTTGGGATTTGAAGGGGGGGTGGGGACAGATCATTCCAGATAAAAACAAGAACAATTAAAAACTAACATGTGACAGGCCATGGGATCAATAGCAAGTTGTTTTGGCCAGAGTGTGTTTTACATGAGGGCTTCAAAAGGCATGTGCCCCTACGCCCAGCATACTTGGGATCTTAAGTTAGCATATTCTGTGAGCTCAGTTTTCTTACTTATTGCCTATGCATTATTATTTAAAGGATCAAATGAGAGAATGTTTGTAATATCACTGTCAGCTGTAAAATGCCTTTACAAGCTATTCTTACTCTTCCAGGAAAAGCCAGCCAAAGTCAAAGTGGAATTGGCTTCAGGTGTTTCATCCAAAGGTTCTGTGGTTAAAAGAAATCAACAGCCTGTCGCCACTGAGCAAGATTCCTCTAAGGAAATTGCCTCAAAACTGACTCTGGAAAATTCAGAAGCTGTAAGCCATCTCTTAAATGTAGCTCCTCCAAGAGAAGTAGGTGAGGAGAATGAATGGGAGGAAGTGACTGTCTCCGATGCTCATGTTTTGGTCAAGGAAGCTCCTGGCAATCATGGTACAGCAGTCTCTAAGACGCCGGTGGTCAAGAGCGGTGTACAGACTGAGATCACCCTGGGGACAACTGAGACTGACAGTCCTGGGCCAGACATACCACCAACACCAGAGGGGACCAGCATCTCCAATGTATTCCCTGCTCATAAAAAACCACTTCCAGGGTATGTCAGTTTGTATTATTAGGACTGTATTTAGAATAGCAGCTAAGTAAGAGCCTGATGTTTGCTTTATTACATATCCTAGTAGCAGTCCTGAGAGAGGCAACAGAGCCCAGTTAATGGTTCCTGTGGAGATTCAGAAGCCAAGACCTAGAGAGATAAAGTGATTGACTTTTCCCCTTACGCTGTCATCTACGCATTACTGTCACAGTCCTTGTACATCCTATCAGTCTTCTTAAAGCAGTTGTTAGAATCTTGCTACTATAAAATGTAGACAGTATTAAAAATAATCAGTTATCAATCCTGAATATGGGATTTAGAAAGAGAGGCCTTCCTGTAACAGCACCTTATAAAAAGGGTCATTGTCTGGTGGTCAGAGACTGAATCCAAGTGTCTGTCTTCAGTTTGACTTTATGCATGTCTTTTGACTGTAGTTCTAAAAAACTTTGATTATTTAGACTAAAAATGATTACTTATAAGGCATTCTGGCTGGCACCTTGCAAATAGGATGTCAGTAAGTTTGGGCTTTTCCTCCCACTTTCCTTATTAAAGGCTTACCTGAATTCTATATGTAGCATCCCAGGGACTGTTGTGTTCTTGTAACTGCAGGTTTCTTGTTTATATTAGTAGTTTTCAGCTGGGAACAACTGTGCCCACAAGGAATATTTTGGCAGTGTTTAGAGGCATTGTTGGTTGTCACAACTAGAGAGAGGTTTACTGCTAGCATCTAGGGAAGAAGGGCTATTAAACATTACAGTGCACAGAGTCGCTGCCTACAGTGGAGAATTGGCCTGTACAAAATAATTGATAGTACCGCAGTTGGTTTCTGTTATAATTTTTAAGGGTTTTGTTGTTGAATGAGTAGGAAATATATTTACTTAGTTCAAATTTTAAAAGTACAAGAGTTTTTTTTAAAAAAACTCTCTCCTGTTCCATTATTTAGTTATTTGTTTCCCAGGGATAGTCAATATTCCCACTTCCTAGTGTTTCAAGAGTTAATTTTAAACAGTTATAAATGTCTATGTGTGTGTATATTTTTCCTACTTTCTTTACACAAATGATAGCTACCATATGGGTGCTAGGAACCAAACCTGGGTCCTCTGCAAGAGCAGCCAGTGCTCTTAACTGCTGAGCAATTTCTCCAAGTCTTAATATGCTTTAGAACTTTTTTATTATTATTTTTTGTTTGTTTGTTTTTGTTTTGAGAGAGGGTCTCCCTGTAGCCCCAGCTGGCCTGGAACTTACTGTGTAGACAAGGCCGACCTCGATTTCACAGAAATCACCTGCCTCTGCCTCCTGAGTGCTAGAATTAAAGTTATGTGCCACCAAACCTGGCTAGTTCCTATGTTCTTAATCTTTACAGTACCAATGTTAGGCATAAGGCCTGAACCATGCCTGGTTAAGGTGATTTGGGTCTCAGACAAAAAGACTAAAGCCCACAGCTTTACTCTTTTGGCATATTAAATCATCTCTTGGGACTGGAGAGATGGCTTAGCAGTTAAGAGCACTGGTTGCTCTTTCAGAGGACTTGGGTTCAATACCCAGCACCCACATAGCAGCTAACAACCATCTGGAATTCCAGTTCCAGGGGATCTGATGCCCTCTTCTGACCTCTGCAGACATTGCATGTCACAGGTACATTTACATACATGCAGGCCTACTAGGTTTGATGGCACACAACTTTAATTCCAGTACTCAGGAGGCAGAGGCAGGTGGATTTCTGTGAAATCGAGGCTGGCCTTATTTACATAGTAAGTTCCAGGCCAGCTGGGGCTACAGGAAGACCCTCTCTCAAAACAAAACAAAATATCCAGAAAAGAACACAGGAACTTTGTTGTCTAGGATCTCTGTGCTGCCCTTGGTGGGAACTTGATAGACTTCAAACAACATTTGTACAAATTAGATGTTAGAACTACAATACCTGTTGGTATTACACACTGTAGACATTGCTTTATACTGTTGTGTTATTTAGTTAGTTTTTTGAGACAGGGTCTAATGTAACTTTAGCTAACCTTGCACTCACTGTGTAGCTGAGAATGTCACTGAACTCTGGATCTTCCTGCTGGGATTACAGGTGTGTGCCACAAAACCTAGCTAGTTTGTATTTTTATGGTGATCCAGAAAATATAATCACTTACCCATTTTGTGTATTACAAACTTGAGATTAACAAAGGAGTGATATTACTTGATCAGAGCCCTGCAGATACATAAAGGCTAAATTTGAACTCAATTTATTAAAGCCTGCTGGCTTAACCATTGTACTATTTTAAAAAGTACTATTTGGGAAAAAAAAAAAAAAAAAAAAAAAAAAAAAAAAAAAAAAAACCCACAAACTTATTTGGAGATTGCACTTTGGTTTTCTTCTCCTTAGTCTAAAATTTCCAGAAGATTTCCTTCTATTTTTGCCTCCCCAGATTTGACCTGCTCACCACTGGACCCAAAGCACCAGAGCCTAAAGGAAGAGCACGAGGCAAGCCCTCATTACTGGCTGCAGCAAGACCCATGAGAGCAATATTGCCAGCTCCAGCAAATGTGGGGCGGGGAAGCAGCATGGGACTGCCCAGGGCCAGGCAGGCCTTTCCCCTAGGTAAGAGCTAGTTTAGAACTTTAAGGAAGGGTTGTGTCTGATTTGGAGAATGGGGAGGAGAGACCTGGGGAAGCTGCATACACTTGAGTTACCTAGTTGGCTTCTGGTTCTCACAGATAAGACTCCCTCTGTGAGGACTTGTGGCCTGAAGCCAAGCACATTGAAACAGCTGGGCCAGCCAATCCAACAGCCGTCTAGCTCTGGTGAAGTGAAGGTAAGGCAGATTTCCAAGAGGAGCACTGTTTGGAAATCTGGTCACTGTGTTTAGTATCAAAGCCATTAGGCATAGGCAAATGATAGGCACCGATTCTTACAATGGTGGACCTCTAGGAGGATGTTAACATGAATTATGATTTCGTTTTATAACATGAATGTTTGCTTGATTTCAAGCCTTTTAGATGTGTAAATTTTTAAAATAGGCAAAAATGAAAACACTGTAAAGAGCAACTAAAAGATCTTTACCCAGAAGCACCTATTAGCATATGAGCCCAGGGCCAGTGCGATGTCTCAGCAGGTAAAGGCACTTGCCCACAAACCATGAGTTCAATCCCCTGGACCCACATGGTGGAAGGAGAGAACCAATTTCTGAAGGTTATCCTATTACCACCAGATGAGTACCGTTGCACTTGTGCATGCACAAGATAAATAAGTAAATTTTTTTAAGGTGTCTATCTGGGTGTGGGGGGTTGCGTGTGAGTGCAGGTGTTTGCAAAGGTCAGAGGCCTCAGATTCCCCTGTAACTGAATTACAGGTAGTTGTCAGCTACATGTTATGGGTTTTAGGAACCAACTCAGGTTCTTTGCAAAAGCAGTATGTGCTCTTAACCACTGAAGCATCTCTTTTTACTTCTAGATACACCTAATTTAAGAGTTCTTTTAGTCAGATGTGGTGGTACACACTTTTAATCTTAGTACTCAGGAAGCAGAGGCAGCTGGGTCTCTGAGTGCAAGGCCAGCCTGGTCTCTGTAACCAGTTCCAGGACAGCCAGGGCTACATAGTGAGATCCCCCCCCCCAATTTTTTTTAATAGAAAATTTATAAGCTGTATCATTTGTGCTCTTGCATGTTTCTCCTGACTTGTGCACACATATGTATAAAATGTACATAATGAAAGGGAAAGCAACATGGTCCTTTACTCCTTAATGCTTCTTTGTGTATTTCCTAAGGATGGTGTTTATTTTGTTGTTGTTGTTTTGGCTAAATGTTAATGCACTATTTTAATCTTCATGATCTAATTTTGTCTGATTTACTCAAGCATATTACTTCTTCCACATAGGATCCAGTCTAGGATCAGTCATTGTGTTTAGTTCTTTCTCATGGCTGCTTAGCCTCCTTTAAAAATTAATGCCTGGTGGGGGAGGGGCATGTCTTTAATCCCAGCACTTGGGTAGGCAGAGGTAGAGGCAGGTGGATGTCTGTGAGATTGAGGCCAGCCTGGTCTACATAGTGAGTTCCTGGCCAGCTGGGGCTGCTGGGAACTCACTATGTCTCCAAAAGACCAAAAAAGAAAAAGAAAAAAAGAATGTCTGACTGTTAGAGAAAATTGAGCTGGGAGACTGAAGATGTGGCTCAGCAGTTAAGAGCACTGGCTGCTCTTGCAGAGGAGCCGGGTTCAATTCCCAGCACTCACGTGGTAGCTAACAGTTGTCCATAACTCTAGTTCAAGGGGATTTGATGCCCTCTTCTGACCTCAGCTGGCATTGTACAACTGACACGGATGCACGTACATACATGCAGGCAGTATACTCATACACAAAAAATAAATTTTAAAAATATTTTTAAAAAATTGAGCTGGGCGTGGTGGCACACAGTAATCCCAGGACTTGGGAGGCTGAGGTAGGAGGATTGCAAATTCAAGGCCAGCCTGGACCACATAATATAATGAGTTGGAGGTTATTGTGGGATACATATTGAGACCCTGTCTCAAAAAAGAAAAAAGAGGGAAAGGGAATGGGATAAAAGGGAGAATGGGGAGTAAATAAGATGAGATACGTCATAAGGGTGTGAAAGTATCAAAGAACAAATTTTGAAATAGAAAAGAAAATTTAGGTAAAGAAAGAAAAAAACCCCTCATTGCCTTCCACCTAGAACTAACCAACTTTTAAAAATCAGGTATGCTGAATTTCAGTGTTCAAGTCTTTTCTTGAATGTGTGTTCGTAATACAGGTTTTATAAACCCTAAACATGGCTTTTACTCCATTTCCTAGTTTGTGACGTATAACTTTCCTTCAATTTGATGATAATTTCCCCTATATAATAATTCCATGTATTAGGGCTGGAGAGATGGCTCAGCAGTTAAGAGCACGGATGCTCTTGCAGAGGACCTGGGTTCGAATCCCAGCTCCCATATGGTGGCTAATAACCATTTGTAACTCCAGTTCCAGGGGATCTGATGCCTTCTTCTGGTTTCTGAGGACACCAGGCACACACATGGTATACATACATACACATGCAGGCAAACACTCATAAAATAAAATAAAATAAAATTTTTTTAATTCCATGTATTTAAGAACATTTATTTGTTTATTTTTGAGATGGAGTTTTACTAGATAGCCCAGGCTGGCCTAAAACTTGAGATTCTGCTGCCTCAGCCTCTCGGGTCCTGTAATTATAGGCATGTGCTGCTGCTATACTTAGCTTCCCTCCCAGCCCCCACATATCTAGAATAGTTACTTCATTTTCCTAAGCTTACATTTTTCAAACTTTTCTATGATTGTCAGTAACAATTTTGTATTACAGTTCAGCCAGTGATTAAACATTTAACGAAGCTTTGTACTTCTGTGCATGCATTTTTCTGTTTCCCATTCTTATTTGTGAAGTATTGTATTCACCCCTGGCTGGCTTGTGACTGATAGCTTGAAAACTGCCATGAGCCAGCCCCAAGTAGGAACATCCATTTGCCATCTCCCTGGCTGTATGCTGTTTAATAGGTAGCTTTCTTGACAGATCTACATTTGTCTTGATAGAATTAACTGGCTTTTACTTGAAAGGCTGTTTTGTTTACTACCCAGTGTGGCTCCTGTATAGTTACATGTGTGATGTTGGATAGAGACAAGTCTTGTGAAATTCCAGCTCTTGTCATCCTCGTGTGTGTTCTGTTGTTTCGACAGACCTGCAGCATTCTTTGTAAATAGTTTTTGTTCAGCAACATTGTTTAGTTTTAAAAGCCACAAATTTTTTGCTAGCATTAAACCAGTTAACAAATTAAATTCCCTGTTAGAGAACAATATTAATTTAGAATGCCTTATCTTTTTTAGTTATATAAGTAATCTGTATATTTCTTAAAGAACATTTAAAAAATTTATAGATAGTGGTAAAGGGGGGAAACAATCATAATCTCTCTTCTAGCCCATGACATAGCAGATAGTCTTCTGTGCTAACATTCAATTGTATATATGAATATATAGCTATTATATGCTTTTATTGCCTGATAGTAGTTGTAAATCTGACTCATGGTGTTTGTAATACATATTGTTCAAAGTTACAAAGCAAAGTATGGGGCTTGAATTCAGTCTTTGTTGTGCTCATGACTGCCGACTAGCAATCTAGAGGGTTCATTTGGAGCTTAGCTTTACAAGTTACCCAGAAACTATTTCCTCAAGTTATTTTAAAACCCAGGAGTTTGTCTGTGGTGTAAAAGTAGCACTAACTGATTCGTTTCAATCCATAGCTATCAAGTTGCCCAGACAACAGGATGCCTCAGGTAAAAGTTGTAGAGGTCAAGCCTGATATGTTTCCTCCATATAAATACAGCTGTACTGTCACCTTGGTAAGTGAATTGACATGGAAGTTGTCTTGATTTTTGTGGTTGAAGGTCTGTAGGAGGCCAGGGAGTGGGTAGTATAGCAGAGAGTGAGGGCAGGATCAGAGATGAATGTAAATATCTCATCATTGATAAAAATGGTAACTGCTGGGGAGTCTGCTGGGTTGTGTTAGGGATTTTCCAGGTAGCTGTAAAGTGTGGGCCAGGACATTTTTTTATTGAGAGTAGTCATAGATCAGAGTTCAGTTCACAGTTACAGCCTAGAAAGTAGGTTCCACAAATGAGTTTAGGCAGGACTGCATTTTTTTCCTTCCCTTAAAATATAAACACTCAAAAAGATAGTCTTAAAGGATTTGAGAAGTGTGCTAGTAAAGCAACACATTTGGTTAATGAAGCATTTCCCACAAGGGTCCCCCTCAACCCATTTATTTATTGTTTTGTTTTACAGAACTAGGGATTAAACCCAGACTTTCTCACACACTAGGCAAGTACTCCACCACTGAGCTACATCCCCAGCCCTTTTAATTATTTTATTTTGGAGCATGGTCTCACTAAGTTGTCTAGGCTGCCCTTGAATTTGCTCTGTAACCCTGGCCAGCCTTGAATTTTTGATCCTTCTATCTCATCCTCCTGAGCAGCTGGCTGTGCCCCTGGGACTAGCTTTCCTTATATTTTTGATATTATAATACACTAGCATCTCAATATAGGAATGTGTGACTCTGAGGTCATTGTTTTGCAAGGTAAGAAACATGGAGAAGTAGAATAAACAGTAAGTAGTCCAAAGACCTAGTCCAAATATAGTTCTGGCTCTATTGCTGGTATGCCATATGACCATAGGCTGTGTGGGTGTAGGTATCTTTAGGCTTCTGTTTATCCATTCTTTTGTACTATTGACTTTTTTTTGTCTTTTTGAGTCAGGGTCTCCCTGCAGCCCCAGCTGGCCTGGACTCACTATGTAGACCAGGCTGACCTCAGTCTCACAGAGATCTGCCTACTTCTGCCTCCCGGGTGCTGGCATAAAAGGCCTTCGCCACCACACCCAGCTGTACTATTGACTCTTAAAGTAACAATCAGCCAGATGACTTTTGGCATTTTGTCTGAGTCAGATAAACAGGTCTTATGAGTGCAACTAGATTTTATTTATTTATTTTTATTGTATGTGTATGAGTGTTTTTCCTGCCTAGTAAGTGCACCTGTGTCCTGCAGTGTCTGTGGAGGCCAAAAGAGGGCATAAGATCCCCTGGAACTGCAGTTTTGGACCATTATAGACGCCTGTGAGTGCTGAGAACCAAACCTGGATCCTCTTGAAAGGAGCCAGTGCTTTTAGCCACTGAGCCCTAGATTTTTTTTAAGTTCTTATTTAATTATGACATATTTAGAAAAGGTCTTTCATTCATTCATTGAAAAGACATTTAGTGCCGGACATGGTGGCACACACCTTTAATCCCAGCACTTGGGAGGCAGAGGCAGGTGGATCTCTGTGAGTTCAAGGCCAGCCTGGTCTACATAGTGAGTTCTGGAACAGCTGGGGCTACAGGGAGACCCTGTCTCAAAAAGACCCCCCCAAAAAAGGGACATTTAGTAACTAAGTATGGTGGTCCAAACCTACAGTCCTAGCTGTGTGGGAACCTCAGAAAAGGAGCTCACTTCAGTATAGGAGTTCAGGGTCAGCATGGGTAACAGTGAGACCCTCGTCTAATAAAAGAAGAAAAAGAAAGGAGGGAAGAAAGGAATTTATGTTGAATATCTCTCTGTATAGTAAACAAGACAGCTTAGTAGTAGATTAATGTCTAGTCTCTACTGACTGCTGAAGAGAATGTGTCTCTTGGACTTCTACTTAGATGTTTTTCCCCAGTGCCCACCGTGGCCTGTTTCTAAGAGGCTGTATTAGATTTACCATGTGTTGGGAACTGTCTAGGGTTCTTCGTTGGGTTGATTAGCTTATTATAGGAATCTAGATGGAACAGCTTTGAGCTTTAGTAGTTCAGAAGTTACAGTTTATCTTTTAAGCACACATTTTCCCCCCAGTGCTAGGGATTGAACTTAAGGCCTTGCATATGTAAGCACATCTGTAGTTCACCTTAGTGATCTCGTTGGAACAGATGGTTTCACTCTGCCAGCTACCTAGAATCTGTAAAGGCATTTGAATTTTTAAAATTTTGTTGCTGTTATTTTTCTTTTCTCTTTTTATTGATACATGTGTCTGTGGTCTGTATATATGTGTTTGCATGTGTGTGGATGCATGTGTATTTACAGGTGCACATGCAAGTGAATGAGTGTGAGTGTGGAGACCTGAGGTTAATACTAACAATTTTCCTCAGTTCTCTACTTTGTATTCTCCTTGAGGTAGGGTCTCTAATCAAACCCAGAGCTCACTGATGTGGCTAGTCTTGTTACCAAGCTTGCTCTGGGCAGGTCTTGTCTCCGCCTTCTAAGGCTGGAATTCCAGGTGGGCTGCTATGGCCACCCAGCATTTAAGTAGATTCTGGGGATCTGAGCTCTGCCCCACTTGCTTGATAGTAGGCAGTTTTAGTCACTGAGCCGTATCACCAGCCCTGTTTTTTTTCATGAAAGGATCTCACGTAGTTCAATCCAGCCTTGAACTTACTATGGAGTCTTCAAGGTTGGCCATGGCTTCTTCCACCTCCTCCCTCCTATCTCCTGAGAAGTGGACTACAGATGCCCCACCACACCCAGACATTTGAATATCTGACCCTTAGGAGTCAACTCACTTGTTTCGAAGATAGAGAAGGACTAGACTTGCCAAGTTGTGTGTGTGTGTATACTTTAGCCTATACTAAAATTGAAATGGCTTAACTCTAGAATTGGGATCTTGCTTCAAGAGTCCTTAGAAGTTAAGCTAAATCTAATTTGTCATTGCTACTTTTTTCTGTAGTGACATATGACCTGCTACTCAGGTTTAACATAATTTTTATAGTTTAAACATCTTTCTTTTTTAGGATTTGGGCCTGGCTACATCAAGAGGACGGGGAAAGTGCAAAAATCCCTCTTGTAGCTATGTCTACACCAACCGCCACAAACCTCGGATTTGTCCCAGCTGTGGTTTTAACCTTGCCAAAGACAGGACAGAGAAAACCACAAAGGCTATCGTGAGTTTGTTCCCCCAGCACTTGATTTGGGCTTTGTTTGTGAACCTGTTTTGGCTGAAATAAAAGGTTTTAAATATATGATTAGTGGTTAGATCAGGATTGTAACTAAGCTATAGATTCTGAACCTGAGGAAGTACCTTCTCTCTGGATTGACAAGGTAGGGGGTTGGTCAGTGTCTTAATCCATTTTCTGTTACAACAAAATACTCAAGTGGATAATTTTTAAAAAATATTTATTACTTTTATGTGTATATTTCCTACATGTATGTAGGTGCATCTGTGTCATGCTATGCCCGCAAGGTCAGAAGAGGGCATCAGATCCTTTGGAACTGGAGTTACAGGTGGTTGTTAACCACTATGTAGGTGCTAGGAACCGAACCCAGGTCCTCTGCAAGAGCAGTCACTGATCCATCTCTCTAGCCCCAAGACTAGGTAATTTATAATAGAGGTAAATCATGTGCTTATAGTTCCACGAGGCTGAGAAATCTTAAGAACCTGATACCAGTTGCCATCATCTGATAAAGATCTTCTCACTGTATCATAACATGGCAAAGGGCATCAGAAAACAGAACAAGGAGCCAGAAAGCACTTACTTTCATAGCAAAGGCACCTATAATAACCGATCCATTAATCCAGTCATGAATTAATCCATTCAAAAAAGACAGAGCCACTCTATACCCCCCCCCATAAAGAAAAAAACACCTGTGTGTTAAGTTCCATTAATATTTGAGGATTAAGTTTCCAACACATGAAATTTGGGGGTGCACATGGAAACCATACCAGCCCAGTGCTTTGATCACTGAGAACCAGACTTAAGTCACTGAAGAGAATGGCAGAGTAAGCCTTAAAAAGAAGAGATGAGATGCCCAGCACAGACCTGAGAGTTGATGTACCTTCTGTAGATAGTGACTGTCAGCCCAAGGCCAGAGAGGGGAGCGAAAGTGTCACTTAGAACAGGTTAAGAATCCAAGGTGAAGTTTGGCCACCCCAGGTCTACATTGGATCTCTAAAGAGGGACAGGATTTTGAAGGAAAGGGAAGCCATTCTCCAGGACAAGCATTTTGGGGGGTTTTATTGGTTATGCTAGGGATCAAATCTAGAATTTCTCAAATGCTAGACAAGAACTTAATTGAACTCTAGCTTCAGCCCAGGGACCCAGTATTAAAAGTAAAGAGAATTCCATTTGGCTCCAGGTAGGGGTAACATGTTTATAGCAAGGGCACAGTAAGAAAAATAAGACCTGAAAAATATACTGGGACTGAGTCATGGAGTATCTCAGCCAGGGAAAGAGGCCTAGAGGAAGGTTATTTGAGAAAGGAGATTAAACCATATTAATTCAACTGTGAACCTAAAAATTTACAGCCACTTTTGAAAGAGATGTATCCTTGCTGTGGAATGTGTTACTGAATGTGTTAAAGAGGTAATGAAATGCTTCTAATCATGTGGTTATTAAATGTAAAAAAATTGAGAAAAAAAAAGATTTAACAAGTTTTGGGAGTGCACAGGACAGGTGAGGACACTGCTTCAAGCTTCAAGTTTTCTGCATATGGAGAGCCTTCATGGTGACAAATCTTGCTGTCTAGATTCTAAGTTTGTTTTTGTGCTTGAGGTGGTATTCTGGCGTCATTGACCTTGTAAAAATGGATAAGATAGTAATGAGAGTGGGAGTTGGGAGACCTAGCTGGTAAAGACTTCGAGTTGGAAGCTTCTCTTTCCTGAGCCTTGTTTCTCCACCATCCTGAGCCTTGTTTCTCCATCAGTAAAACAAAAGTGAGCTGGATAGAGCCTTGTTTCTCCATCATCCTGAGCCTTGTTTCTCCATCAGTAAAACAAAAGTGAGCTGGATTAGACCTTGCCATTTTACTTAGAGAACCAGGAGCCCAAGGGAAGACTCACTTGAGCTCCAAGGAGTCACTCTACTGTAAAGCCCTGCCGTGGATTCTCTTGCTCAACCAAGCGCCCTCTGCTGGAAGCGGCTTTCATTGTGCTCTCTTCTCATAGTGCCGATCACACCATGTTGTCTGCTTCCCTTAACTTCCTAGAGACCATAATCTCTTCTGGGCAGGTGTTTCCTCCACACCCTCTACCTTTTCTCTCCAATACACATGTATATTCAAAAAATAAAGAATAAAACAGGTCAGAAACCAGGACTTCCCTTTGGGGCCCCCTGCTGGCAGTACATTCCATTCACTGTGCAATTGAGATGCAACATCTCTTGGCTGGAATGTCCTTCAGTCCTCCTCATCTCCTCAGTCCTCCTTATCCCTAGCTTCCAAATGAGTGTTGCTGTTCACATTGTCTTCAAGTTCATGGTTCTGTAGAGTTGTGGCTGGGAGCATGTAGTTTTCCAGAACAGCTTATTCTGTTGTTAGTTACTCTTCTTCCGCTATTCATTTGCTCATCAAGCATGTTGAATGCCTCCTATGGGCCAGGCCTTCAGAGATGAATTGGATGCAGTGCTTTCCCTTGAGGAGCTTACAGTGAGGGAGAAAGACAAGTAACCAAACAGTTACAGACAGGGAGACAAAAGTTGTTAATAAAGAAAGGTCAAAAGGGAGTCCCCTTTTGTTAAGCATTTAGCTCTTATAGAGCAATATTTAACCTACTTAGCAAATGTGAGTCTGCATCTTTAAACCAGGCCTCATTCTCATTGGTGAATAAATAAGTAAGTAGATACCTATCCTCACCAACAAGGGGGATAGTGATTGTGTTAGTTAACTTCTTTAATTTTCCAATAACCTGGCAAGAAACAACTTATGGGAAGAAAGACCAGGTGTGGTGACATATACCTTTAATCCAGGACTCAAGAGGCAGAGGCAGGTGGATCTGAGTTCAAGATCAGCCTGGTCTATATAGTGAGTTCCAGACCAGTCAGGGCTAAATGATGAGACCCTGTCTCAAAGAAAAAAGGGGGAGGGGGCATATTTTGGCTTAAAGTTTAGGGCATACAATCCATTCTGGCAAAAAAGCCATGATGGCAGGTATGGCTTAAGGTTGTGTTATTGGGATCTTGCTCACATCTGGGCAGATGAGGAAGTAGATGAATGCTGGTGTTAGCTGACTTGCTCCTTTCTACAACTCCTTTCTTTTCTTCCACCATGTAGGTCCCAGGGATCAAATTCGGGGTGTAAGGCTTAGTGGCAAGTACCTTTACCTGCTGAGCCATCTTGCTGGTCCCTTTTTTCCTATTTGTTCAATGTAGGATTCTAGCTCATGGGAGGATGCTGCCCACATTCCAGGTGGGTCTTCCCTCCTCAGTTTAACTTCTCTGAAAATACCCTCAGAATTGTCCAAAGTTGTGTCTCCTAGGTGATTCCAAATCTGGTTACGTTGACAATGGAGATTAACAGAGGAGGCAGCAGTTCATTCTGTGCTGGTGGAAGACTGAGGCAGGAATCTCCTGAGTCACCTGAGAAGGGACTATTGTTAATGAGTAATTCAAAACCTTGTTCCTAGAAGTCTCTGGCTAGTGTATAAAACTCTATTCTACCCTGAAGCCACACAAAAACTTTGTAGTGCAAACATTCATGTATCAGTATTGCCATTCATTGTCTTTGCAGTATTTCATTTAGTCTATGCAGTAATTGTTCTGGAAGGTTACTAGAAATGTTTCTTTAAAATGATAGAAATTTGGGCCAGGCATGGTAGCGTATGCCTTTAGTCCTGGCACTCTACATAGTGAGTTCTAGGTCTGCTGGTGCTACAGGGAGATCTTGTCTCAAAAAGACAAAAAAAAAAAAAAAAAAAAAAAAAAAAAAAAAGATAGAGATTTGTTTCTTAGAGTTTTGAAGGCTGAGACAGCCAAGATGCTAGCAGATTCAGTGTCTGGCCAAGGCTTTTTGGCTCATAGATGGCACTTTCTTACTGTGTCTTCCTATGATGAAAGGTAGAAATGAGCTCTTTTTATGTGTGTTTAAGACAAGGTCTTGCTATGTAACTCAGAATAGCCTTAAACTTGTGATCCTCCTGCCGAGTGTTTAGATTATAGGCATGTACCTCCACACCTGGCCTAGGAACACTGATCCCCATCATGGGGCTCCCTCATGTCCTGATCACCCAAGGCCCCAGCTTCCTAACATAACTGAGGAGTAGAATTTTTTTTTTTTTAATCTTTTTGAGACAGGGTCTCCCTATAGCCCCAGCTGACCTGGAACTCCCTGTGTAGAATGGGCTGACCTTGAACTCACAGAGATCCTCCTGCCTCTGCCTCCCAAGTGCTGGGATTAAAGGTGTGTGCCACCATGCCTGGCTTAGAATTTCAAAATATGAATTTTGGAAAGTTGTAAACATTGAGAGCATAGCATAGAGATGGCAGACCCAAGAGATTAGGTAATGAACAAAACCTGCTTTGAGCTTTCTATGGTAGGTGTGGAAAAAGTGGCTCAGTACCTCAAGACAACAGTGAGCTAAGATAAGAAAACCCCTCCATTCAATTCATTTAATCTCTCTGGACTTGCCTGCTCCTCTTGAAGGTAGGTGCTGGTCTGTGGTAATGTTCAGGTCTCACACAGTCTGCAGACCTTCCTTAGGTAAATGCTACTTACACATTGTAGTACCAGCAGTGTGACACCCTATTTTCCATACTTAGGTGGAGCCAGGAACCACCAGAGAATTGTCATCATTTCTTTTCTGGTTCCTGATACTAGTTGCATTTTTTTCCTCTATTTCACAGATTAAATAAATTGAGGCTCAGAAAAAAATCAAATAAATTGCCTTGGGTTCCACATGTATAGCCACTAGTGTTAATCTCCAGATCTAAACCCAAGTTCTGTTATCTTCCAGTTAAATCCATTGCCAAGAGGTGTGTTTTACCTCTTGTTTACTGATAGAAAAGCTGAGCTCCACAGAGCCTTTAGTGGTGCAGTGAGCTACTGGCTGAACTGAGCTGACAGGTGCTTCTTTTTCCTACCCCTCAGTCGTGGGTGTATCCCTCTGCTCCTTGCAGACCAGTGACTTTAATCTGGTGCCTCATTATACCCTGGGTGCTTGATGATTTGATCACTCTCTTCCCAGGAAGCCAGCTCACCACTCCCAGATGTACTGAGCACCACAGAACCCCTGAGCTCAGCCCAGCGGGAGATCCAGCGTCAGTCCACACTGCAGCTGCTGCGTAAAGTCCTGCAGATTCCTGAGAACGAGTCAGAGCTGGCTGAGGTCTTCACTTTGATTCACGAACTCAACAGCTCTCGACTTATCCTGTCCAACGTGAGTGAGGAGACAGTCACCATTGAACAGACTTCTTGGTCAAATTATTATGAGTCTCCATCCACGCAGTGCCTTCTTTGTAGCAGCCCATTGTTCAAAGGGGGGCCAAAGTAAGTACCCTTTGCTCTGCCCCTAGCTGTTTCAGCCCACTTGACTCATGTTGCCTTTTTTAAAGATAGCTTTAACACTATATTATTTTGTGCTTTCCTTAGGCTTCTGTTACCTTCTTAGATTCTGATGATAAAATAATGATCATTTTTGAAGATTTTAATCATTTTGAAGCTTATAATCACCAGCCTAGGATTTAGATTACATCTGGCTTGTCCATCTTTATGTTTGGGAGTTCAGTGGGATTGGCTAAAACTTGTGATAACTTGAGAGTTGTATTACAATTACAGGTACAGTTTCATAGCCTAGATTCCAATGAAATGGAGACATCCAGCTAGAAAACCTATCCCCAGCACCTTCCTTTGCTGTAAAGTCTGGAGTAGAGACTGGAGAATGTTGCCTCTGACCACTGGGAGACTGAATTCCCTTCTGGTTTTTTGTTGTGTTGGATACTAGCTCCCTGGCCGGGCCCCAGGAGTGCTGGCTACTGACAGCCAACCGGCTGCAGGTGGTGACTGCCCAGGTGAAGATTTGCCTGAACCCTCATTGTTTAGCCCTACACAGCTTCATGGACATCTACACAGGTGAGTGCCAACCTTCTCTGCACTCAAGCACTCCAAAACAGATTTGAGGATCATCTTCATGGGTTTGAGCTCTGGTCCTCTGTATACTGTACTTTGTAGCTTCTGAAAAAGAGGGTGTTGGCTCCTGAATGTTACCCAGAGGTGAGTGGTAGGTTTTTTCTCTAGAGTCTTTACAACAAAATTAGTGTTAAAATAGCAGGCCAGGTGTGGTATTGCATGCCTTTAATCCTAGCACTTGGGGAGGCAGAGGCAGGTGGATCTCTGTAAGTTCAGACCAGCTGCAGCTACAGGGAGATTCTGTCTCAAACAAAATAACAACCAAACAAAAAACATCTTCATTGTGGAAAAGCTGGTCAGACAGACAAGAAAGAAAACTGACAATATTGATCCTGGCTGAGATAAACACTTCACACCACACACTCTTGTCTTCACACATGCCATTTGTCTGTACAGAATGTTGGGAGTTAGGGAAGGATTTATAAGATTCTAGGTTTTCTTTGAACAAAGGTGGATTTTGCTAGATGTTTTCGGACATGTTTTAATTTAGCAATATATCATGGGTATTTTTCTCTGCCAACAAGTCGAGAAATAATCTTTTTTAAAGGGACTATCTATGTATGTATAATATATATGTTATATATACATATCTCCTTGACTGTTTCTTTTTGACAAATTCTCTACAGAGAAATTTCTGTATTTTTACTTTCCTGTTATTCATCTTCATTAAACCTTGTGCAGCCTTTTTCTTCTGTCTCTGTTCTGTTCTAAGCATGCTTTCTCTGGTACTTTGTGGTTCTTTGCTCTTTCTCTAAAGCTTCCTGACATGTGGCTTGTCCACCGTGTGGCCAGCCTACCTCCATGCCAGCTTAGCTCATGATGTTGTGCCTCTTCTTCCTTTTCTTCATTCTCTTCTTCTGGGCAGCTGCTGAGATTTACAGTTGGCCTGCCCTAGGTTTTGTCTTTAAATTCTAATAAAATGGCTCTCAAGTTTCAAAAACCACATATCAACTATTTTGAGAGTTTGGTTGAGTCCTAAATTTTAATGTGTAGTACTGAAAGTATTAAAACTGTTCTTTGTCTTTAGAACTTATTTGCCTTATTTTGGATTCATGTTAAATCTTGTACTGCCAGTTAGTGCTCATATTATTTTATGTCCTTGTATACAGTTAAGTACCCATTTTTTCTTGTAATCTGTGTAGGCCAGTGCTTGGGATTATATAGATGTTGGTTTGGTTGAGTTGGGTTGGGTTGGGTTTGGTTGGGTTCTGTTGTGTTATTGTTTTGTTTGTTTTGTTTTGTGTTGCGTTGTGTTATGTTGACAGGATCTCACTGTGTAGCCCTGGCTGGCCTGGAGCTTGCTATGTAGAACAGGCTGGCCTTGAATTCCAAGAGATCTGCCTGTCTCTGCCTCCTCGGTGCCAGGATTAAAAGGCATGCACCACCGTACCCAGCAGTTGTGGGTTTTTTTTTTGTTGTTCTTTTTGAGACGGGGTCTCTCTGTAGCTCCAGCTGTCCTGGAACTCACTACGTAGACCAGGCTGGACTTGAACTCACAGAGATCTGCCTGCCTCTGGCTCCCGAGTGCTGGGATTAAAGGTGTGCACTACCATGCCCGGCTTTTTTTTTTTTTTATGATTAAATTTCTGTTTACATTTATATAGAATAAGTTTTACTCTGTTGTGTGGTTGAGTGACTTGCAGCAAATGCACTGCGTCCTGTAACAGTTATCAAGTCTAGACTAGCTCCTCACCCCAGACATGCTCTTATTCTCTCCCTTCATGGAGCTGTTTGTTTTCTTCATCCCTGCAGTGTTCTCAACAGTACAGTGGAAATGCAGCGGTAGTATGGAGTCTTCTGAGCCTCCGTGTTTACTGTGCATCTGTGGCTTATTCCTTTTTATTGTTGACAAGTTTTCCTTCGTGTGAATATGCTAGTTTATCTGTTCACCTGTTGGAGGGTGTTTGAAGTGCTTATAGTTTCTGGCAGTTACAAAAAGAGCTGCTACAAAGACTTATGTACAGGATTTGGTGTGAGCATACATTTTCACTTCTCTTGAGTAAATACCCAGGAATCCAGTTGCTAGTCCAAATACAAGTTTATGTTTAAGAAACTGCCAAACCGTTTACCTCAGTGTCCATAGCATTTTGCATTCTTTCCTATGTGAGAGTTTTAGTTTGCTCTGGGTGCCAGCTCTCGGTATTATTTTTAGCCACCCTTATTTATGTATGCAATGGTCTTACACTATAGTTTTTAATTTTATCTCTCCAGTGACTAATAGTAGGTATATGTTTGTGTTCTTTGATGAAGTATCTGTTCATGTCTTGAGTTGACTGAATTATGTTGACTTTTTTTTTGAGACAGGGTCTCTCTGTAGCCCCAGCTGGCCTGGAACTCACTATGTAGACCAGGCTGGCCTCACCTCACGGAGATTGCCTGCCTCTGCCTCCCAAGTGCTAGGATTAAAGGTGTGTCCCACCACACCTGGCAACATTTTTTTAAAAATCTTCGCTTATATGAGCGTGGGTGGGCATGTGTGTGCTCGGTGCACATGTGGAAGAGGATAAGCTTGGATGTTGATTCTAGTCTCTTGTTAGCTGTTGCATAGGCCAGGCCAGTTAGCGCATACGCTTCCTAGGAATTCTCCTGTCACTGCCTCCTATCTCACTATAGGAATGCTGAGATTATACGGTGCCCATCTTGGAATGGATTCTGGGGATCCAGATCCAGGCCCTCACACATGTACTGTACCCAGGGAGCCACCTTTCCAACACTTATGTCTCTCACTAGCCTGGGGTTTGCAAGTAGGGCAAGTGGATGAGGTTGGCTGACTAGTGAACCCCAGGGATCTGCCCGTTTCTGCTTCCCCAGTGCTGGGATTTCAAATGCATACCACCATGCTGCTGCTTTTTTCAGATTTGTTTTTATTTTATGTTCGTAAGTGTTCTGCCCCCAAGTATGTGTGTGCACCTTGTGTGTGCCTCTTACCAGTGGACACCAGAATACCCTGGAACTTAGAGTTACAAATGATTATATGCCACCATGTCAGTGCTGAGAACCAAATCTCCAGGTCCTCTTCAGAAGTAGCAAGTGCTCTTAACTGCTGAGCCATCTCCAGAATCTCCCCACCCACAACCCCTGCTTTTTTAAAAAAATAAAAATAAAATAAAATAAAAAAACATGGGTTCTGGGGATTGAACTCCGTATATCTGAGCTAGCTTCCCAGCCTTTTGCACACACGCGGCGTGTATGCATGTGTGTGTGTGTGTGTGTGTGTGTGTGTGTGTGTGTGTCCAATGAGTTTATTACACTTTCTTGCAGATTTCTTGCAGAGTACAAGTGAGGGATTACTTAGGAGCATGGATGACCCTCAGACAGCTGCATTACCTCAAGTCCCACCTCATCATGGTTTGCAGCCTCATGGAGTTCCCCCATCATCCATTTTTATTGAAATTTTATATAAGGTGTGCGTTCTAGGTTGTATTCATTTGTTGTGTGTGGATGTTCAGTTTTTACACCACAGTCTGTAAAAGAGGTGGTCCTTTCTCCATTGACTTGCCATTGTTCCCTTATTCAAAATCAGTTGGCATTATGTGTGTGAGTCTGTTTCTGGACCTGGTTTGTTTTGTTATCTTTTTCCAGTACACACTGTCTTGATGATTGTAGCCTCAGTAGTAAATGTTATCAGGTAGTATGAGTCCTCCAACCTTGTTCTTCCTGAATTGTTTTGGCTGGCCTCCATTTATCATTATATCTACATAGCCCCACTAGAATTTTAATTGAGATTGTGTTGAATTTTTAGACCAATTTGGGGCATATTGTTTAAAGAATAATGACTCTTCAGTCCAAAAATGTGGTCTTTCCATTTGTTACATTTTCATTACATTTGCTTTCTTTAAGTTTACCAATTAGATTAAAAACAGGTAAACTATTTATTAATTTGTTTTATTTCTTTGGTTAGTCTAGAGGGCATAGATCTTTTTTGTGATCCTTTATAGGAGGGGGTTACCCAATGGTGAACTGTATCTGCAAATGATTCCTTTTTCTTGGCTTTTGGAGAGTTTTCTCCCAGTTTATTATTTATTAAATGTATATATGATGATTTGGCGGCACAAAGAGTTTCATCTGTTTGATTGGTTGGTTTTTTTTGAATAGCAGTAACATTTGATCTTATGGTTTCGGACTTGGCTGTCAGGTTTAGAAAGTCCTTTTCCATGCTCTGACCTTCTGTATTTGGGAACATATATTCTAGAATTTGTTTCTATATACATTTGTGTGTTACATTGTATACAAATATAAAAACACTCTTATTTATCTGAACTTGACTGCATTTAATTTCATCTGAGTGTTTTATCCTAAGATTTAGTGCCAGGATAATCTTAGAGTCTTTGTTATGTCCCCTTCATATCCCTGGGCTACGGGATCTGATTCTTCCTGGTACCGTTATATAAGGTATAGTGAAAGATGGCACCTCTGGTCCTGACACTGGGCTGGAGGGTAGGGAAATGTTTCCTTTTTTAATTAGGAAAAAACAAAAATGTGTCATTCTTCATGACTTTTTTCATTTAGCAGTAGTTTATGGACAGCTTCATGTCAGAACAGTTAGGTCTACTTTTTTTTTTTTTTTTAATGTGTATGAGTGTATTGCCTGTATGTGTGTAAGTACACCTGTGTCATGAAGTGCCGTACAGGTCAGAAGAAGGTGTCAGATTCCCCTGGAACTGGACTTACAGACGGTTGTGGATGCTAGGAATTGAACCCAGATCTTCTGAAAGAGCAGCCAGTGCTCTTAACCGCTGAGCCACCTTTCCAGCCCCAGGTCATTTTAATTCTTTTTAAAATGTATAATGTTCTGTTTTATGAATGTACCATAATTATTCCTTTCAGTGGACATTTAGTTTGTTTCCATGTTACAGTAATTCCTTTGCCTGTTTTTAACCTACAGGTCTCTTTAATGTGGGGAATAAGTTGCTAGTAAGCCTGGATTTACTCTTTGCAATCCGAAATCAGATTAAGCTGGGAGAGGACCCCAGAGTGTCCATTAGTGTTGTGCTGAAGTCTGTCCAGGAACAAACAGGTAAAGGTCTTCTATTTCCCAGGCTTAGTCCTGAGTACTCAGGGAGTTTTCAGTGATAAGCTTTGGTTGAAAGGGTAGTTTTGGGTGAGACTCTGATATTTTGAAAAAGAAACATTCCTGGTGTCCTGATACATTCTTTCTTCTGAATTAAACTAACTTTGGAAAGCATAAGTATTTCCAGGTATTCAAGGACCTTTAGCAAGGGATCACAACTGACTTTTAGAAGCATATCCTTTGGTCATAGGTAAACTTGGCTTTGTAGCACGTTAGACTCATTCAGAATACACAGCTCCTAGGTATCTGCTACCAGTCCCAAGGTTTATGCTGAGACCCAAGGGTAGGGACCACGCTCTTTCCTATCTGGGATTTCTTTGCCCCTTTGCTCTCCATACTTCTGTTTGTTCTTCACCCATCCTATTCCTACAAGCTCCAGTTTTGTGCTTTGCTGTGAGAAAATAAATAGCCATTTAGGCTTGTTGGAAACTTATTTTGAGTAAGTTAGTCCATATCTCCACTTATAACAGAAGACTGTAATAGTTTTCTGATTCATAAAGAATTAAAATGATGGAAGAATTAAATTAGATAATACATTCAAAGCTCTCAGCCCAGCCATCTAGTACCTAAGAGGTACGAGTTGAAGGCAGCTGTCCCTCTGATTGGAATTCCCCACTGAATTTCCACCAGAAAACTTGGAGGCCAAGTGCCTCATGCTCAGGGTAGCTAGTGTTTGGGAGTATTTTTAGGGGAGAATCAGTCTTGTAGGATTGCTGTTCTTGCCACTGGTTCATCATAGTGTTTCAGGGTCCTTTTCTGTGACCTTAATACTCTTGCTGTCCTTCCAGAGAAGACTCTGACCTCAGAGGAGCTGAGCCAGCTACAGGAGCTGTTATGCAATGGCTATTGGGCTTTTGAATGCCTCACTGTGCGTGACTACAATGATATGATCTGTGGGATTTGTGGTGTGGCCCCCAAAGTGGAAATGGCTCAAAGGAATGAAGAGAATGTGCTGGCACTGAAGAATGTGGAGGTAAGTCCTTCTCAGCAACTGTAGGCCCATTTCAGAATTGTCCTTCTGACTTTGACAGCTACCTTCCTGTATGCTGTTCCCAGAGAAGATGGCTCTAGTCCTGTACAGGTAATGCCAATGACTTCTTCCTCCTATAGCCCAGTGTTGTGTTTAAGAAAAGTCAGAAGGAAACAGATCGTTTACTCAGCTACTTTTCACCAGATGTACTGAGCTTGTACTACATCGCTCTAAGGTATTTTATTTTTATTTTATGTGTATGAGTGTATTACCTGCATATATGTAAGTGTACCCATGTCATGCAATGCCCTGGAACTGGAGTTGTAGACAGTTGTTAGCTGCCATGTGGGTGCTGGGAACCAAACCTGGGGTCCTCTGCAAGAGTACTCTTAACCACTGAGCCACCTCTCCAGCCCTGTGTACTATATCACTTTTTAAATCTTTTAGTTTTCATTTTTTAATCCATCCTCTGGCCTTCCTTGCCTCCCTCCCTTTGTGCTGGAGATTGAATCTAGAGTCTCATGCATGCTAGGCAGACTACCAAGAACCCCACCCCCAATCCTTATTTTCTTCCTAAGAATTGAACCCAGGGCCTATGTGCACCCAAAGCTTGTGCTCTATATCTAAACTACAATCCTAGCTCTTGGATGTATTTCTCAGGCTTTTGGAAAAGTAGTTAAACAAACCAAGGGGCTGGAGAGATGACTAAATGGTTAAGAGCAGTGGCTGCTCTCACAGAGGACCTGGGTTTGATTCCAAGCACCCACACAGTAGCTAACAACTGTCTGTAACTCCATTTCCAGGGGATCTGACACCCTCTTCTGGCCTCTGCAGGCATTGCATGCATGCACTTAAATACATGCAGGCAAAACCCTCATACACGTAAAATAAAAAGTAATAAATTTAAAACAAACCCCAATACTTCTGAATCCTCATGAAGCTCACATTCTTTGCTGGTTTATGGAAGGCAGAGAGGAATGTGTGTCCAATGGTAATAGAGCAGAGTGAAAAGAGAGCAGGGTAGTAGGAAAGGGTTTCTTTTTTATAGAGGGTAGTCAGAGAACTCTCTGATTTAGGTGCATTTGAGTAGAGATCTGAAGACCATGTAGCTTTGGGGAGGAACATTCTGCGAGCAGCAGGAATAGGCTCTGAGGCGGTGGTGGAACAAGGAAGCCAGGTGGCAGGAAGGAGTGGCAAAATGTGTGAGGTTTAGAGACATAGGCTGCTGGACTGTATATAGGGTCAATGAGCCATTCTAAGGACATACACAGAGGGAAATGGAGAGCCACTGAGAGTACTAGAGAAAAGGATGTGAGCTCACTTTGGTTCTGAACTAAATTTTTACACAGGTAACACAAATTCATATGGTTTCATAGGTTGTCACAGAAATCCAAGCTATATAGGAAAAATATGTATACAGATGAGGTTTCTGTCTCTGAATTGCACCATAGAGGACTGGACTGGGTTATGAAGGAGTATTCCTTTTTTTTTTTTTTTTAATTAATGTGTATGAGTGTTTTCCCTGTATGTATTTAAGTGCACCTGTGTCATGCAGTTCCCCAAGAGACCAAAAGGGGGCATCTCGGGAATCTCACCCCCTGAAACTGGGGTTACTGAAAAAGATATTTAAAAAGATATCAGTGGTTGCTAGACTTTATTTTTATTTTATGTGTATGCGTGTTATGCCTGCATGTGTGTAAGTGCACCTGTGTCATGCAGTGTCCTCAGAGACCAGAAGAGGGCATCTCAGGCATCTCATCCCCTGGAACTGGAGTTACAGATGGTTGTTAGCCTCCATGTAGGTGCTGAGATTTGAACCAGGGTCTTTTGCAAGAATAGCCAGTGCTTTTAACCATTGAGCCATCTCTCTAGCCCCCAGAAGGTGATTCTTTTTTTTTTTTTTTTGTGAGGGGGAACACATTTATTTTCCCCTCTTGAACTTCCCCGCTCCCCCATATTATTTTTATTTTATGTGTATATGTGTATTGCCTGCATGTAGGTTAAGTGCACCTGTGTCATGCAGTGCCCGCGGAGGTCAGAAGAGGCTGTTGGATTCCCTGGGATTAGAGTTACAGACAGTTGTCAGTTGCCATGTGGGGGCTGGGATTCTGCAAGAATAACTAGTGTTCTTAACCTCTGAGCCATCTCTCCAGCCCCCAGAAAGTGATTCTTAAGGCATCTGACATTTATCTCTCTTGAGAGAGCAAGTGCAGCTCTAGCTTTGGTGTGTTTGGGCACGGACAGCTAGTATTAGGGATTTCTTTTTGTTTTTAATGTTCCTGTCTTAGGTCTCTTAATTAATGGCAGTGGTGGGGGCAGGTGGCATGGAGCAGCACATACTCTGATCCAATGCCAATTTCTATTCAAGGATGGTATGTGTATTAACTTGTCTCATTGTTGCAATAAGATATGACAAAAGCAACCTAGGGAAGGAAAGGTTTATTTTGACTCACCATTTCAGAGCAGTCTGTCATCACATCAGAAGCTTGAGGCAGCTGGCCACCTTGCCTCTGCAGTCAGGAATCAGAGGGATGGGTGCTTGTGTTTAACTTACTTTTTTCCTTTTTATTCAGTCAGGGACCTTAGCTCTTGGAATGATCCTGCAGCATTTAGGGTGGGTCTTCTATCTCAGATAACCTAATCTAGAAAAACCCTCACAGTGTCCAGAAGTTTTTTTATGGCAAGTATAAATCCCATCAAGTTGGCAGTCACAATTAACCTTCAGTATGCATTGTAAGACTTATGAGTAAAGGTATAATATCTCTTGTAGCCTTTTAATTTTTTTATTTGTTTTGTGACTGTGTATGTCTCTGTGTGTGTGTGTGTGTGTGTGTGTGTGTGTGTGTGTGTGTGTGTTTTGCTAAAGATTGAACTTTGGGGGCCTTTTTTGTTATAAGGAAGCACTCTACCACTGAGCTATTAGTGCCTCTTATAGATAAAATTAACTTTATGAAAATTTTTGTGCATTACCTCATCAAGCTTTTTCCAGAGTCATTCCGATTGCTTATGTTAGTGGTAATACTAATTAAAAATGTAGCTAACATTTATTAAGCATTTTATCACATATGCCAAGTTCTCATTCTGCTAATTACTATATGACTTAATTCTTAGAATGCTGTGAAATTTTTGTACTTACTAAAACTGAAACCCAGAGTGTCTGGCCCAAGCCTACCCAGCTCAGTACAAGTTGGGTGAGATTCACCCTTGCCAGGTCTATCCAGCTAATTTCAGAATCAGTGCTCCAAAGTCCTGCCATATTTACCTTCTGGGCCTCCTAGTTCTGATGTTTCTAACCATATCTAGTCACAGTGAAGTTTTGATTTCCAAAATAGGGCCCAGCTCCTCCACCAAAGCCGTATCTCTAGTCTGCACCCACCTTGCCTTTTTTTTTTTTTTTTTTTGTTTAATTTGAGACAGTCTCTTTTGTGTGTCCAAATAAGACCCCTGCCCCCCCTCCAATACCGTTTCTTTGTTCGCCCCCCCCTCTTCTTTTTTTTTTTTTTTTTTGGTTAAGATTTACTTACTTTTATTTTATGTGCATGAGTGTTTTGCATGCATGTGTAAGTGTACCATATACATACAATGCCTAAAGATCCAGAAGAGGGCGTTGGTTCCCCTGGACCTGGAATCACAGACAGTCGTGAACCACCATGTGGGTGCTGGGAACTGAACCTGGGTCCTCTGTAAAAGAAGCAAGTGCCCATAACTGCTACACCTTCTCTCCAGCCCTACCTGTCTTGTCTTAATCAGAGTTCCTCCAGCACAGAGGGAAGAGTATTGTCTTTACTCCATTTACAGTATCTCTTCTGTGGTGCCAGCTAAGCTACTTTTTGTTGACGACAAGAATTTTCTGCCTCTTGTGTGTTGTACTGCCAGAGAGATGGAGGGGCTAGTCTAAAGTCTGAAATAAAACATGAAATTAAAGAAATGGAAAGTGCTCTGAATTAATAACAATAATCCACTATCTGTTGGCATTTCCTGTCCTCTTACTGCTTGTGGAGAGAGTGGGCTTATCTGGCCCTGTTCTTGGAGGAAGATGTCAAATTGTGGGGGAAATGTGTCATTTATTTACAGCATATGCTGACCACCCTGGAAGCAGGAAACAGAGGTGTACCGGTTGGAAGGTACCTTTGTATAGAGCAGTTGCCTAGATTTTGGCAAGTATTGAAACTGCATAAGGCAGTGACTCTCAAGCTTGTCGGTATGCAAGACTTGCTGTCCCTTTCCACAAGGTTCATATTCCATAGATGTGGTATGGAAGCCAAGAATTTGCACTCGCAACAAGTTTCCAGGTGACACTCAGGTTGCTGCTCTGGGGCCACCTTTTGAGACCCATTCACCTCAGGGAACTTTCTAAAATGCAAAGTGAGGGATTAAATTCACATAGGTATTTACATTTCAGGGCTAGAGATCAGAATCCAGGACTTTGCATATGCCAGGCAAGCATTCTGCCACCAAGCAACATTCTCCAGCCCCTCCATTTCTAAGTAAGTCATTGGCTCAAATAGGAATAAGATTGAAGTTATGCTTTAACAACCATGTAAGAATTCATATAAGAAAGATGATGCAGAGATGAAGCTCACTGGTAGAATGCTTGTCTAGCATATATGAGGTCTTGAGGTTGATCTCCATCACTGCAAAAGAAGGAAAATTGAGTAGTAGAAGGACTAGATAGATGCCTATGATAAGTTCTCGTTCCCTGTGGACTAGGCAGTAGCTGGGTGCTGTCTGGATCCTGGAGAGCCTTCTAAAGACGAGGACTCAAGAGACCTAAGAATTCTGATTATTCTTGTTAGCCAAATATAGGAATGGAGGCTTCAGTTTGAGAACGAAACCTAAGTCCACATTCTTGTTCTGTCCCTGGCTCTGTCACTCACTTCATACACTTTCTAGGTAATGAATAATAAGTCTGGTACATAACAGATACTCAATTGGTCGCTCCCCTTTCCTTGTGAGACAGAAAATGACCTGAACAAAGATATAGATGCAAAAGAATTTGGGATTGTTTGGTCTGGGGGAGTACTATACGATGACAGGGAGAGTTGTCAGGTTCAGAGCTGTCCTGGCACTCACTCTTGGCCTTCTCTGAGTCTTGATTTCCTTGTATGTAAAAGAGGGTAAAGACTATCTGTGGTTCCCTACAGTTTGGCGTTTTTTATCATTTGGTTTTTTTCTTTGCCTTTTTTTAATCTTGACTTTTTAGTTTACCTGGCCTGAATTCTTGGGCTCCAGTGAGGTGAATGTGGAGGACTTTTGGGCCACAATGGAGACAGAAGTGATTGAGCAGGTGGCATTCCCTGCCAGCATCCCCATCACCAAGTTTGATGCCTCTGTTATTGCCCCCTTCTTTCCACCACTCATGAGAGGAGCTGTGGTCGTCAACACTGAGAAAGACAAAAACCTGGATGTGCAGCCAGTACCTGGTAAGGCCCCCTCGTGGCTTTTTGGTGTAAGAGAATGGCTCAGTCAGGAGTCTGGGACATTGTTCATGGCAAGACAGAGCAGTGGTAGAGAGAGGGGCAGGTCTTGCCAAAGGACTGCTTTTAAAATTTTAGCAGCTGTTGACAAAATCCCCTAGAAGTTAGTCATGGCACAGTCTTTAAGAGCTACCAGACACATAATATAGGACACACAAGTCTGCCAGCCCTCTGGGATGTACTAGTAAAAATCTAGCCAAAAAATGCTGATGTCTCTAACCTCAAGATTTTCATTGACAAAGTATAGGGAATGTGCATTCAAAACTGTTTTGCAGCGTGTGTGGATTGCATCCTGGGAAGCCCTGGAGTAGCTATGAAGTGCATGTTTCTGACAACATGGTTTTACTTCCTAGCTATGCTACAGCGCAGCAGTGTGACCTCTGCAAAGTTCTTTCATTGTCCTGAGTCTTTGTGGCCACATCTAGAGAGGGTGTGAAGATGTTACTCACCTGCTGGGTTGTTGAACTGATGCAGTATAGTAGCCTTCTACTTAATTTTTTTTTCATGATTTATGGTATTTTATTTTATTTTTTTTAATTTAATGACCACATGATTAGAAGAAGCATTTCATTACAGCTTTAACATATTAAATAACAATTTCCAGAGCAAGGATACATCTCTTTCAAAGGTGGCTGTACTGCAGCTCATGATAAGAAATGCACTTTGCATCATGAGCTAGAATGATATCCACACTCTGACACGTGCCACATCTACAGTTAGAAACTTTCATACTAAGGCTGTTTTTCCATACTAAGTACAATACAATTTGGGGTGTGTTTTTTTGTTTGTTTTCTGACCATGATCCTTTATTGTTGGGGCACTATACTCTCTGGTGTATCTGAAACAAGGCTGGACTGAGCCAGACTCCACCCACAGGAGAAAAGGCAGCTGCATCCCTTAGGCTAGCTACTCTAAGCCACCACCAGCACAGCACAGAAATAGTTTATTTTTTTAATTATAGATATGAAGTATTATATTGATTTTTTTTTTTTTTTTTTTTTTTTTTTTTTTTGTAAGTGCTCTATGTGATACTCTGGTTTTCAAACATTACTTCCCAATGATAGTGAGGCCTATCCTCACTTCCTTCACCTCTGAGCTTCACTCTCTTTAGTAATGTGTGGAGGACATTTTTTAAATGACAGCTACTGCCTGGGGTTAGAGAGCTGGCTCAGAAGTTAAGAGCACTGGCTGCTCTTGCAGGGGACCCAGGTTCAGGTCCCAGCACTTACATGGTGGCTAACAACTGCCTGTAACTAGTTCCAGAGGAGCTGATGTCCTCTTCTTGCCTCTTTGGGCACCAAGCACACACATGATACACACATATGAATGCATGCATGCACTTATGCACATAAAATAAAAATAATTCTTTTTTAAAAAATGACAGCTGGAGCTGGAGAGATGGTTGAGTGGTTAAAAGCACTGCTTGCTGTTGCAGAAGACTGGGATGTGAATCCCAGCACCCACATGGTGGCTAACAACCTATCTCTAACTCCACTTCCAGGGGATGCAACGCCCTCTTCTGTCTTCTGCGGGCATTACATGACATGGGTGAACTTATATACTTGAAGGCATAATACTCATATACATAAAATAAAAATAAAATTTAAAAACTGATAGCTACTACCCCCCTTCTTCCGTCAAGTGTAATAAGCAACTGCACTCTTCCATTTTGAAAAACAGAAGCTATTGGATGAAAAGCTGGCCTGTCCTAGGGTTCCTTACAATAGCGCTGTGCCTGTTATCTCATGTAGATATTTCAGGATGTGTTCCAGTTGTGAGATACTTCAGATAATCAGCAGAAGTTGTAGACTTGCCCAATATCCCACCTCTCCTGGCACCCTGGGGAATGCTGGTCCATGAAGAGTTGGCTTCTGCTCCTTGCCTGCTGCCATCCTGCAAGCCTCGCCCCTCCCTCTTCTCATCCTCAATATGAAGGGCTGGCCATAGTACCACCCTCCCAGCAACGCTCTTGTCTCTTGCAGGCAATGGCAGTGCCTTGGTGAGGTTGCTGCAGGAAGGCACCTGCAAGCTTGAGGAACTTGGCTCCTATGGTGGGGAGGAACTTCGACACCTACTGGAGCAATGTGGCATCCCCTTTGGGCCAGAAGACTCCAGGGTGAGTGTGAGGGGCAGTGGTAGAGACTGGGGCTTTGGAAGCAGGGTGGCTAATCTCTTCCCTGAGCAGAATATGAACCTCTGTGGCTGGGCACCTGTTTTGGACAGAGGGTGCTAGCAGCCAGATGGTGACATGCATTGAGGCCTTGACCTCTATTTGGTCCTCCTCTTGAAAGCAGTGAGCCCAGACAAGAGCCTAGAGCAGTCCTGGCTCTTAGTCTATAAGGCCTTGAATATACGGAATTTGCAAGGCTGTTGGAAAGGATGTGCTTCACACAGCATCTGGTTTTCAGGTTCTTAGAAAGTGGCTGTTGTTACAATACGCACGCTGTGTGTGGATTTTATCCATACTGTACTTCATATTTCTGTGCTGTTGAAAATGTTCTTCCTTCAAATTCAGATTCAAGTGTTAGCTCCTGTTTAAGGTTTCTCTGACCTATAAGAAAATGGAAGGACCAGGCTCCAAATTCTAGCAGCTTGTTCAGTCTACTTTGCCTTGCTTGTGACCTCATCTTTAGGGGGACCTCCTGTGCTTACTTGTACCTAGAGGAAGATGAGCTAGTGAGGCTTTAAGACCCAGGCTGGTCTGGCAGTTGATCCTTTCGCTTTGGTTTTGGACTGAGCATTTGATATTGAGCACCAGGCCTGGTCATTCATGTTTATGTATGCCTGTGGTTTTAATCTTTTCCTTTCTCACCAGGATCAGCTCTGCTTCTCCTTATTGGCCCTCTATGAATCTGTACAGAATGGAGCCAGAGCTAGACAGCCCCCACCCCATCTCACAGGGGGTAAAGTCTACAAGGTGTGCCCCCATCAGGTAAAGTACTAACAGGAGTGTTTGGAGTAAGTTTGTTAAGGTTAAACTGTTCATAGAGAATCTGATTGGTCCCTTGAGGATTGGGATTTTGGTTACTATGCAGCCTGGGGAGTAGTTGCTGTGGGTCAGGTGCCATCCTTAGGCTGAAGAAGAAGCCTGGGTCATTCAGAAGTCTGTATTAAGTACCCTACCACATGCTGGGCCCTAAGTTACCTAAGTATACAGGGGTGAGCAACAAAGATGCCATTCTTCCCTACTTGACCTCATATTTTTCATGGGGAAACTTAAACTACACCTTGTGATGATAGCTCTGGGGGAACCAGACAGAGCTGAGAGGGAGGCATCTGTTGTCTGCAAGCAGCCAAAGGCCAAGACCTAGATATGGGGGGGAGAGGGGGGCTGGAGGAGAACCAAGGGAAGAGTGGCCACTGGGACTTTATTCTGAGGCTGGTCAGAAACCTTTTAGATGGTGTTGAATGGGAAATGAATGGGGTGGTGAAATGGTCTGGTTTAGGCTTGGGGACAGTGACTTAGGGTGTTTTGTAGAAGGATATGGAGAGGATAGACACTGGGATAGCTCTGAGACAGGTTGTATAGTAGATGGCAGAATTGGCCTAGGAAGATACTGGGATGGGAAATCCGGTACTGAGTAGGGTAGGTCAACAGAGCCTCAGTTTACCAAGATGTCAGGGCAGGTTGGCTATAAAAAGGTGAGACTATCAGTCACTGGCTATTCATAAGGGACTTGAAACCTCCCTTTGGATCAGAGCCTTTTCATAAGATGGTACTCTGTGCCTGGGCCATCTTCTGACTCAAGAGCTATCTTGGAGTTATAAGGGGAGCATTTCACTTGAAGGGACAGACAGATGAGTGTGAAGGCAGAGTTTTCCAGTGCACTCAGCTGTTCAACATTGGAGTGACTGGGGAGATGTCAGTAAATGTGATTACTAGGCTGCAGCAAAGGCTATCATCTGGTAGGACGCTTGCTCAAAATACAGGTGGTCCAACCAGACACCCTAATGCCTTAGGGTTTAGATTGGCACACAGTCTTTATCAGTAGCTGGCTCTTAAATGCTAGCACTGTAGAGCTGGAATTGGGAGCCACTGCATGGTTGGTAGAGTGATACGGATGGGGTATGGTTTAGAAATGTTCTGAGGTGCCTTTTAGCTAGGATAAGTCCCCCTGTTCTCAGGAGGACAAGGTGAGCTGGCAACTTCCTTTAGGGACAGAAAGAGGAGGGAAGGGCCATTGAGATGGCTCAGTGGGTTGCTTAACCAAGCAAGCTTGGCAACCTGAGTTTGATCCCTGGAACCCACTGTGGAAGAAGAGAACCAGCCCCCAAAAAGTTCCCTTTTACCTCCTCCATATGTGTGCTGTGACATGCACAAGACTGCACACAAAATAATAAAAATTTTTAAAGAGCTTTTAAATTATATGTATATGTGTATTAAGTCTCTATGTGGGTATGTGCATGTTTGAGTTCAGGTGCCCACAGAATCCAGAAGAGGATGTCAGATCCCCTGGAGCTGAAGTTACAGGTGATTGTGAGCCACCATGTGGGTTCTGGGAACCAAACTCTGGTCCTCTACAAGAGCACTAAGTGCTCTTAACTGCTGAGTCATCTCTCTAGCCCCAAATTTGAAAAAAAAAAAAAAAAAAAAAAAGCCAGGCATGGTGGCACACGCCTTTAATCCCAGCACTCAGGAGGCACATGCACGCAGATCTTTGTGAGTTCGAGGCCAGCCTGGTCTCCACAGTGAATCCAGGCCAGTTGGGGCTACAGGAAGACCCTGTTTCAAAAAGACCAAAAAAACAAAAGTAAATCAGTAACAGGAAGAGGCTGGGCATGATGGCACATGTCTTTAATCCCAGCACTCGGAAGGCAGAGGTAGGTGAATCTGTGAGTTCAAGGACAGCCAGGGCTGCACAGTGAGACCGTTGTCTCAAAAAACCAAACAAAAATGTAGCAGTAAAAGGAGGAGAGTAAAATGTCATGGGCCCTGGCTTTAGTCATGAGACTGATCTTCCTTGGAAGAAGTGAGTTGAGGGCCTTACTTAGGCTGCCTACACATCAACTCCTTAACCCTGGACTATACCCTCCATCTCCCACAGGTGGTCTGCGGCTCTAAATACCTTGTTCGAGGCGAGAGTGCCCGTGATCATGTGGATCTGCTTGCCTCCTCCCGCCACTGGCCGCCTGTGTATGTGGTAGATATAGCCACACCAGTGGCCCTGTGTGCTGACCTCTGCTACCCAGAACTGACTAGCCAGATGTGGGGGAAGAACCAGGGCTGTTTCTCTAGCCCTATAGAGCCAGTTGTGGTGAGTCGCCTTCTAAGAATGAGAATATGTCCCTCAGGCCTGCTGTGTCCCACCCCACTAATTATCAAGGGGGCTCACCTGGGAATCATCTCTAGTATTGTTATTCTTCAGCAGTGTTTTGTCTTTGCACCAGTATTTGCTACAAACATTTTACTGACCACAGTAGGAGGCCATAGCATGTCATTTAGTGTACCTGGGGTGTTCTAAACACAGGCATCTTGTGTTAAAGGCGGTTGCTTTCCAGAGAAGCTAGAAAATTGCTGTCTTTGGGAGTCATTGTGAGTACTGACCACCCTGAGCACAGTTGTAATTCCTAAATCTTAGATTTGATCATGTGAGGGCATGATGTTGAGAGGTAGATAACAGTGGTCATAGAAAATACTCATCTTGCATCTAGAACTATCAGCTAAATAAAGCTCAAAAAAACTTTTAAAGGGAGTTGGGGACTAGGTGTAGTGGCACATACCTTTAATCTCCACACTTGGGAGGCAAAGGTAAGTGAATCTCTGTGAGATTGAGGCCAGCTTGGTCTACATAGCAAGTTCCAGGCCAACTGGGGCTATAGGGAGACCCTATCTGGGAAGAAAAAAGTGAAAATTTTAAAAATGGGAGTTGGGATGTAGCTGAGTGAGGTCTGGGGTTCAGCCCCTATTACTGATCTTCTCTGACCCTCTTTCAGTGGAACTAGAAAGGAAGACCCAGAGAGGGAAGTGGACTTGAACAGGTTCACACCACAGATCAGTAGCAGAACACTTGTGTTTGTGTCTTGGTACATTGTACCAGGAAGTAGTTCCTACTAGAGGCATGCACACTGCAAGGCCTGCCTTTGGCCTTGGCTAGAAGAGGCATTGGAACTGATATTAGGAAGAAGGGAAGATTTGGAGAGAGATGAGTGCCCCTGCCGAGTGCATTCTGGGAGGTGAAGGCCTCTGGCTTGCTTTAGAACTGACATTATTATCCTCATTCCCTGGGGTTCTCAAGCTCTCAAGACCCCCAAAAGATGTCTGAATCATCCCTCAGAGCCACTTCCTCCTACTCCTCTGCACCCTGAAGTGATCAGGTATAGTGATGATGATGCAGCTGAAGCAGTCCAACATCTGTGCTGGGATAACTGGTTTCCCGTTCCCGTTCTCACATGAGGACATGGAGGCACTCTATGCAGGGTTACTAGGACTTCAACAGGGCCACTTGACTCGTGGCCTCCTCCTCCTCCCACAAGGTTCTACCTCAGTTATTCCCTCTTATCAAAGTGGCTTCTCATCTCTCTTCCAGAGTGTGTCCTGCCCTGAACTCTTGGACCAGCATTATTCTGTGGATATGACAGAGGCTGAACACTCTGTCCAGCACCCAGTCACCAAGACCGCCACACGGCGTATTGTCCATGCAGGCACACAGCCCAATCCCAATGACCTCAGTGCTGGCCACCATTCCTTGTCCCTGTGCCCTGAGTTGGCACCCTACGCAACCATCCTGGCCTCCTTCTCGGACAGTAAACCCAACAGTGTCCGCCAGAAGCCCATTGCCTTTGACAATGCCACCCACTATTACCTCTACAATCGCCTCATGGACTTCCTCACCAGCCGGGAGATTGTCAACCGGCAGATCCATGACATCGTGCAGAGCTGCCAGCCTGGCGAAGTGGTCATTCGTGATACCCTCTACCGCCTTGGGGTTGCTCAGATTAAGACAGAGACAGAGGAGGATAGGGAGGAAGAGGGTGTAGCCTCAGTGGTAGAATAAGCCAGGCCGTTATACAGGGCCTGCACCATCTCTCAAGCCATAATATGGCCCTTGCCCAAGGCAGACCTATCCAGGGACTTAGAGAAGCAGTCCCCTGTGGGGAGGGCCTTGGATTGTTGGAACTGACCAAAGAGCTTCCATTTCCTGACCACTGTGGGGGCCTCAACCTCCAGAACTTGGGAGAGGTGCCAGGATACCTCTGCTGACCCTGAGAGAGCATGTGGGAGACTATGCTTAAGGAGAGGAGGATGAGGGAAAGGCTGGGAGCTGGTTCCCTGGGCCTACTGTGGCAACCTGGGGTGGCTAAGGTAGGAACAAGAGTCCCTGTGTCAGGTGGGGAAGCTGTTGAGGCTCCCACAAGGAGAAACTGGTTCCAGCCCTATAATCACATGGGCTGCTTTGCCTGTTGCCTTTGACCAGGGGCCTTGGCCTCATTTGCTGCCAGGGTCCCTTTGGCCTCTTCATTCTCCCCAAAGGAGGGATGCATTTTTCTCCAACTCTTTCTGCACCCACAACTAGGGGAAGCTGAGGAGGGAGGAACCAGTCAGTTACAGCTCTGTATGGCACTGTCCTCTGCCCTGAGCTTTGGGGAAGAGAATCCCCTTCCTCCTTTCTCTACCACTACTGCTGTACTCTACATCCTTTGGGCCTTAGGACCGTCACCACAGAGGGGATGTGGCCCATGGTTGTGACACAACCTGGCAGCAGTAGGAAAACTCCCTTCTGTGAAGGGGAAGCAGACAGGGCCATAAGGAAACAGCAGGACTGGCTCAAGTGCCCATGGTCTGCTCAGGGCCCAGGAATTGGCCGAGTGTTATTTAATTTATTGAGAGGGGTGGAGTACTGGCTTCCCCCACCCCCTTTCTTCCAACAAGAATGAAATTTACTAAATTATCTGGTTTTGATGAAGCAAGATCCAGTTCCCTGGTCATTGTGTTATTTAGCTCCTGATGGGGCTCTTGTGACTTCTCATGAGGGTGATGGAAGGCACTTCTAGGGAATTTGCAGGCACTTGTGTGGTGCAAAGAACCAGGAGCATGCTGGCTAAGTTAATGCTGTTAGTTTAATGTTGAAAAAGATACCCACAGCGTGACTGTTAGTGGGGATGAGTCAGCTTGGAGGAGTGCCAGCCACATGCCAAGGACCCTTGCCTTCAGCCCAGATAACAGGAGACTGGATACAACACTCCTCACTTTTAGCTGCCACTTGGCTCATTCTAACAGTACATGATCCAGGGTGAGGTGGGGTTGTGCAGTGGCCACAGGTGGAGACTAGATGGGCCTGTTAGGTCTTAGGAGCCTGCAGTCTGAAGCACCTATAGAACCTGCTGCCGACTTGATCAGGGGATGAGCCCAACCACTTGCTTATAGCCTTGGGGAGCCTTGTCCTTCCCTTGGGCACAAAATCAGTCTGTTTCTATAGATACAAGAGGATTAGGGAAGCGGGTTCTTTCAAGTGGGAACAAGATCAAGAGAGTGCATTATGAGTGTACCACTTGGCACAGCTTGAGGCCAGCCTTTGAGAAGAGTGGGGATTAGGGGAGGTGGCTCAGCCCCTGATTGGCAGTGATGGCCCAGGCTCTGGGAATGGGGGCCTCCGACCTCCCTCAGACCCCTCATGCTTCCAAGTTTTAGAGCTGGGTCAAGCTGAGGGCAGAGTTCATATGTCCTCTCCATGTCACCTGTCCATGGAGGAGGTGGAGCTGGGAACGGGAGAGCTGCAGCACTCGGCTATCAGACTTCAGCAGAACTGGTAATTGTTGGGCTGCAGTAGGGGCTGCGCGATGTCTGCTGGCTCACAGCAGGCCAGGTGCTCACTGGAGCTCTCCTCCTCTGGCTCGCTGCTGCTGCTGCCGCCACCTCTGCCACCATTGCTACTGCTACCACTGCTCGTCAGGTTGGCATAGTCCTGGGGGTGGGAGAAGCCAGGGACAGGTCAGTCTGGATTCTTGAGACCCAGCCCAGCCTGCTCTGACCAGCCAGGCAGCCACTCCAGCCCACTCACTCACCTGCTCTCTCCTGTCCACTTGGGCCTGCTCCTGAAGGAGGGTGCAGATTTGCTGGAAGGTAGGTCTGCAGGTGGGCTCCAGGTCCCAGCAGGCCTGCATGATGCTATATCTGTAGACAGGACAAAGGTTGCCTGTGTCAAGCTCAGAGTGCATGTATTGCTAGGGAGACACTATCTAGTGGAGCTCCCCAAAAGCTACTCAAAGTTAAGTTTAGGGACTGGATGTGTGGCCCAGTGGTATGCTTGAGGCAGTTGAGTATAGAACCTTTGAGAATCCACTGCAGGAACTGGAGAGATGGCTCAGTAGCTAAGAGCATTCATTGGTTGCTCTTGTAAAGGACCCAGTGTCAATTCCCAGTACCTACATGGTGGCTAACAACTGTCCATAACTCCAGTTCCAAGGGAATCTGACACCTGAGCTCCATGGGCACTGCACAACACTGATGTACTTACATTGTGCAGGCAATAGACACATACACATAGAAATAGTACTTAAAAAAATTTTTTTTTTAAATCCCCTGCAGGGGAGATGAAGCCTGGCACTGGAGCATTCTGCACAAAGCCACATGCTTTTTATCACTACTACCCCCCACACATCCAAATTCTAGGGATCCTTTGGTCTCCCTGGCTGGCCTTCACGTACATGTTCTTTGGGGCAAATGTAGGCTGGGCCATTTGGTATCCATCCTTCACCAGTTTGTAGAACTTGCTGTTCACTAGGATGCCAGGGTAGGGGTTCAGCCCTGCAAAAGGCCAGGATCACATAAGAGATCACACTTGTGTGTGTCACCCCGTGTCCCATAACCCCCGTCCCTGTGTCCCTTCTACCCGCCCCCCCCCCAACTGCAGAACGTAAAGCAGCCCTGAGCTAGCAGTGGGCTTAGGCTTTTGGATGTAACAGGCATTACCACATCACACAAGCCAGCACAGACTTTGGGAGTAATCAGAACAAAGCTTGGGTTATGTACCAGTAAAGTGAAGGGTGACACCAGGAGGTTATTTGGTAGAGCAGTGTAAAGATTCCAGCAGGAGGCTCCCTGCCCAGTACCCAGGGAATGGCAGATAGGAGGGAACTGCCTTAATGGCCTATAGATAGGGGCAGCACCATTTTGGATCACAGCTACTGCAGAGCAGAGGGAAGGACCCACAGGTCATGCACAGTGGCTGGAGAGTATGCAGACTCATGCAGGAGCTGCCACGCTGGGTCAAGAGCCCTCATCCACCCTTTTGCTCCTGCCTGCCAGCCCTTCTCTGTCCTGGACATAAGTCATCTGACTGGATTCCTCCATGAGGTTCAAGACATCAGTAGAGTAACCAAAGACAGGTCTGCCCCAGCCTGCTCCTGAAATGGACCCAGCAGCTCACCAAGTGAGAAGATCTCCCAAAGGAGGATGCCGTAGGACCAGACGTCACTCTGCACGGTGTAGATGCAGTCAAAGATGCTCTCTGGGGCCATCCACTTTACAGGCAGGCGGGCCTGGCAAAACACTTCTGTTACTTGGGGCTTTGGCTATCCACCCTATGTTCAACCAGCCACTTTCTCTCAGTACTCACATTGCCCTTTACCACGTAGTTGGAGTCATTCATGATGTCCCTAGCCAGCCCAAAGTCCCCAATCTTAGCCACATGTCCACTGGTCAACAGCACATTGCGAGCTGCCACATCCCGATGAATGCACTAAGGGAAAGTGTTGCAAAGTTAATCTCTGCCCATCCCCCGAGCCCGAGGACCATAAAGCCATGGGGTTTCTGATGATGGACTTGATGAGTTTTGGTAGTCTACCCTATTCTGTCCAAACCTAAGTGGGCCCAGGGTCTGAGAAAATTTAGTGTGGCCAGAAGCAATGAGTCGCTGTGCTGTGGGCAGTCTCTGGCCCACCCCATTCATAACACCAGCAGCTGCCTCAGAGCTCTGCCGTGCCAGGCCCTTCCCCAGGCATTTACATGCATTATCACCCTATTATACCCCTAAACAATTCTGTGATTATACCCATCTCTATAGACATGGATCCTGAGGCACAGTGAAAAAGTAGTGGTCATTCATACAGCAGCAGAGCCAGTGGTCAAACCGTTGTCTTAAAGTCTGTTCTGAAAGTGGTGGTCTGGGCCCCTGGGCCCTGAGGTGTTCATGACTCATCCCAGGAAACCACATGCTTAATGAGGAGAGACAATGGCTGTCTTGTGCCCAGTGCTGAATAACGGTGGTTAAGCTGTCCATGGTAACACGGGGAAACAGGCCTCCCAAGGCTGGGGGCCAGTCCCAGGAGGAGCCAGCCCTGGGCACAGCTTCATCCTGCTCCCCTCCCAAGGCCCTCTGCCCACTTAATCTCACACATCCACTCCTCCCTTCTCCTTCACAGGGTCCTTCTCGTCCTCATTGATCCAGCCTATAGTTTAGCCTCCACCCTGACCCACCATCCCCGCCCAGACCTGAGTACTGAGCTGGTGCTGACTCACGTTCTTGGAAGCAAGGAAAGCCATGCCCTGAGCCACTTGGCTGGAGAAGTGGAGCAGGTCCCAGAGCTCCAGTGGCCGACCAGCCTCCTTGTCCAGATCTAGGGTAGGAAGAAACATCAGGGCAGCCCTGCCATACCTGTGCTTCTCCCCAGCTCCTAGGCCCATCAGCCCTTCTCTCTTCTGGGCCTAGTACCTCCTCACCTTGTTCAGAGAAGGAGTCATTTGAAGAAGTGGAGACCGGCCTCATCTCCACATAGGTATCCACACCCTGACTGGAGAAGCCACTATCCCTAGGGAGGGGAGAGGGTTGAGAGGTGGTGATCAATGCCCATCACTGCACTGCCCAGCCCCAGCCTTGGCTTCCAGCTGTTCCAGGACTCCTTTAGTTACCTCCTCAACTTGAATGTCCCTTTCTAAGGAGGCCCCTGCTCAGCCATCCTCAGTGCCAGAGCCACAGCCCATTTCGAGCAGCCCTTCCTGTTAGAAAGTTATTTGCTGTTCCTAATGCCAGTGTGCCCATGGGATTCTCCCAGTTCCTGCTATACTCCAGCAGGGAAGAGGTGGCTGGCTCTTAACATCCCTACTGGAATGCGCTCAGTCCAGGCAGACCTCTCTTGAGCTCTCTACGCAGCATTCTCACCCTTGGCTTCTCATTCAGATTACTCAGGGAGGGCCAGCAAGATGGTTCAGTGGTTAAAGGTGCTTACTCAAAGCCTAATGACCTGAATTTCTGGGGCCCGCATGGTGGAAAGAGAATGAACTAACTCACATAGGTTGTCCTCTGATCTCATGCTGTGGTTGCATACGTGTGTGCACACATACACAAATAAATGTAAAAATAAGTTTTAAAAAAATGCCAGGCGTGGTGGCACGCGCCTTTAATCCCAGCACTCGGGAGGCAGAGACAGGCAGATCTCTGTGAGTTCAAGGCCAGCCTGGTCTACATAGTTCCAGGACAGCTGAGGCTACAGGGAGACCCTGTCTCAAAAAAGACCAAAGAAAAAAATCATTCTTGGGGCTGGAGAGATGGCCCAGCAGTTAAGAGCACTGACTGCTCTTGCAGAGGACCTGGGTTTGATTCCCAGCAACCGTCCTTAACTCCAGTTCCAGGGGAATCCAAGGCCTTCTTCTGACCTCTGAGGCATTGCATGACATGGGTGCACTTACATACATGCAGGCAATACACTCATGCACATAAAAATAATAAATATAATATTTAAAAATAAATCATTCATGAAGGTTTTAACATTCCCCCATGCCTAGGGCACCCTCAGAAACTAGGGACAAAGGCATCCATTCACAGCATTAAATACCAGGTCTAAAATAGAGCTTAAACTGACCCGGTGCAGAGAGCCTCTTTTATTTTTATTTTGTATGAGTGTTTTGCCTGCATGTATGTAAGTGCACCACGTGTGCAATGCCTGCAGAGGCCAGAAGAGGGCATAGGATCCCCTGAATTGGAGTTACAGATGGTTGTTTAGGCACCAAGTGGGTACTGGGAAACAAACCCAGGTCCTCTGCAAGAGCAGCCAGTGCTCTTAACCCCTGATCCATCTCTCCTTCCCCAAGAGCCTCTTTCAGTGCAGTGTAGATAGTGTTCTCAGTAGGTTGAGTGGGCAGGCCTGCGATGTGCATTCCAGTGATACCAAGGCATGTGCTTTGGGTGGTAGGTCAGCTGGAGAAGTACAGTCACACCCTGAGCAGCCACTGCAGATTTCACCCTGACACTGCCTATCCCCTCAGGCGCTCAGAAAAAGAAATCATTATCTCAGGAGTCACCTATCTCCTTGTTCTGGAAACTATACTTCTCTAACATAGCCTGGGACCCCATAGGCAGGACCTGTTCATATCCCACTTGCTCCCGAAATGTTCCATTCAAGAAATGCCATACCTGTCCACACACTTTCAGAAGGAATCTAAGGCTTTTTTTTGGTGGGGGCGGGGGTGCTCATTTTGATTTGATCTGGCCTAAGGTTGCAGCCTGTAGAGACCCAGTATGAACCACTTTCTCAGAGAGGTGGCAGAGAACTGGAAGAGGAAGCAGACCCAGCCAGGGTCCCATTTTTGAACACCCCTCTTTGGCTCCCCCAGGCTCAGCAGCTGACAGTACCTAGGATATACACACCCTCCTGTTTCTTTTTTAAATTTTAATTTTATGTCTATGAGTGTTTTGCCTGCATGTATGTAAGTGTACCCGTGCCAGAGAGTATTGAATCCTCTGGAACTGGAATTATAAATGGTTGTTAGCTGCCATGCGGGTGCTAGGACCCAAACCCAGGTCCTCCAGAAGAGCAGCTAGTACTTTTAACCACTGAGCCATCTCTTTGGTTCCCACCCTCCTGGTTCTAAGTGTGGTTCCCATTTGTCTAGTTCTGCTGCCCTACCATGGCCCAAGACAGACTCCAGGATAGCAGCATGGCAGGTCAGTGCTGGACTCCCAAACAAGAAGAGAAGTCTAGCCTGGCTTCCTCTGCCCCACTCATGTGCAACATGAAACTCACTACTTCCTCTCTCTGATTCCTCATGGGGCTCTGTCCATCTACCTCTGATGGCTTCCGGGAATCACAGCATCACAGAACATCAGAAAGACCCTGAGAGGTTCAACACTCAGATGGCTCACCTGGGAAAATCGATGCCTGTGGACCAGCAACCTGGCCACAGGTCAGGCTGTTTCACTGCCTCCACCCAACAATTAAACTGTGTTCTCACTTCCCCATGGGGATGTAAGGACTGGGGTTGCCTGCTTCTGATGGAACAGATCCCCTGCAGCCTCCACAGGCATACTGTGGGACAAACAGGAACTAACATTCCCCTAAGCCCTCCCACCTTTGGTCAGGGGCCTGGGTGGGTCTTTCTACACATAAAGGTCATGAGTTGATGAACACATGATTTTGAGCTGCCCAGCTTTGCCCTCCACATTCCAAGAACATGGTAGGTGCTCAGATATTTGTCGAATGATAGGCGTGTAGTAGGAAAGCTGAGCTGCCATGAAGTCTGGGGTGGTTATTCTCTATGGCACAGACAGTGTGAGGTTAGCCCACCAGGAGGTCTTGGCACAGACCTGGCCCTGCCTCCTGTCCTCGCCTCCTTGCTGTCTTTTGCCAGGGAGCTACCTGCGCACGCATTTCTTTTCCAAGTGGATGTTCTTGTAGCCACAGTCCCCCTCGGAGTCCTGACTGGGATTCAGGCTGGGTCCCAGCATGGCTTCAGCCTTCCTTCGTAGAAAGTTGAGTAGGTCGCCATAGCAGCAGTACTCAGTGATGACCAGGACAGGCCCTAGGGCAGCCAGGAGTTGGGGTGAGGGAGATATGCCCTTGGGCCTCACTCCCCATGTGAACAGGTGCCTCTGGCCGGGGACCCAGCACACCTGACTTCTAACCCTGGCTCTGGGAACAGACTTCTCAGTGCCTCAGTAACCCCATCTGTGTAACGCCAATGAAAACTTAACAAAACTTTCAAAAAACAGCTTAGATGTGGTAATGCTTGCCTGTAATCCCAGCACTCTGGAGGTTGAGATGGGAGGATCATGAATTTAAGGTCAGCCTGAGACCCTGGCTCAAAAAAGAAAAGGGGAGGGGTTGGAGAGATGGCTTAGGGGTTAAGAGTGCTGACTGCTCTTGCAGAGGACCCGGGTTCAATTCCCAGCACCCATATGGTGGCTACAAACCATCCTTAACTCCCGTTCCAGGGGAATCCAAAGCCCCCTTCTGACCTCTGCGGCATTGCACGACATGGGTGCACTCACATACATGCAGGCAGTACACTCATTCACGTAAAATAAAAATAAAATATTTTTTAAAAAGGGGAAAAAACATTTTAGCTCAAGAATTCATTTTTCAGAGGAAATCTATGGCAGTTAAATATAGGACAAAGCTACTATAATGAAGAGGGATGTGGCCTGGAGTCCTGAGACACCTAAGTGGTCTTGGGTGAGGGCCTCTTAAAAGATAGATTTGGGGCTTCATATAAGACCTACAGAGTCAGATTCCCTGTAAGCCTAGAAATCTACATGAGAGTCTGCATCAGCTATTAGTGGCTCCTGCTCACCCTAGGAGTCTGACCTAGGAATATCAGGAGCCTATACCACTCAGAGCAGCTGAGAAGGGGAACTTCGAGCCAGGTGCCCAGGGACCCTTGGGTACCCCAAGACCATGGATCCCCATTCCCAACAGGCTCTTACCTCCATGGGTGCAGGCTCCCAAGAGGTTAACTATATTCTCATGCTGGCCCAGGTGACTCATGATCTTCAGTTCTGACATGAGGGCCTCCTTCTCATCAGCATGAGCCGTGGCTAGGAGATGGGACCACACGTCAGAGCAAGCAGGGGGCACCCAGAGACCAGGAAAGATCAGAGTCCAATGAGAGGAGGAGAAATCCAGACAACAGATGGGAGAGAGGAAACCAGGAGGGAGACGAGGGACTGCCCTGTTACTGAACTGATCTGGAGTGGAAGAAGTGAAGCTGTGATAGGATCATGATCCTTACCTACGTGGCCTCTGTTTACACCATCCTCCCTGGGGCTCAGAAGTCCCATTCCTACTCAAGGGTTTAGAGATCTCAGAACCCAGAGTCCTATGGAGCCTGGAGTTCTTATGGAAAGTCAAGTCCCCAAACTAAATCTCCCAGATTTCAACAGGCTAAAAGTGTGCAAAGTGCCTCTTGTGATAACAGACCAGCCTATCAACAGCACTCCCCAGCCCCCATTCCCACCTCCCCTGTCAACCCCCATTCCCATCCCCCCCACTCCCCATCCCTGGGTCCCCCATTCCTTCCTCCCCCCACTCACACTTGAGCATCTTCACAGCCACCTTCAGCACGGCATCTTCCTTGCCTAGACCAAAGGCTGTGGCCTCTACCACCTTCCCAAAGGCACCAGCTCCAAGAGTCTTACCTGTCATACACATGGACCCTTAGGTTCCTGGGGCCCATCAGTTCCCTGCAGCCCCCAGCAGCCCTATGATGGGAGGGCACAGATAGTGAGTCCCCATCTCACCAAACTGCAGATTGTTCCGGGGGAACTCCCACTTCTCATTGTAGGGCAGCTGGGTGGGGTCAATGAAGGTGTAGTTGTTGCCCTCATAGCTCTCAATGATCTTCCAGCGCACTTGGTACTTAGGCTTCTGCAGAAGGAAAAGAAGGCATAAGGCTCTGGGTCTAGCAGGCAGACTTTGAGCCTCACTTCCCGAGAGCACACGGGGGCAATCTAGAAGCTCTCAGCCTGCCATACACTGAGGGTCCATGGCATCCTGTGGGAAGAGCATCAAAAGCTAGTCCTTGCCTGACACTGTCTTACTATGTGACCTTCCCTTTTCCAAGCCTTAGTTTCCTGGACCAACATGGGGGTAGATGTTGAGATCTGTCCATTCATTTACCCACCTGCCCATTCACTCATCCAAATCTTGTTGGTTTTCTGGGGGTACTAGGAATTGAACCAGGGACTCATGAATGCTTACATACATACTATACAACTGAGCTATCCTCCAGCCCTACTTTTATTTTCAGTTGCTGTTAAATAAACAGAACTCAAAATGTACCATCTCAACCATTTTCAAGTGTACACCTCAGTGGTATTGAGTGCATTCACTGTGATAGGTAGTTGATGTCCAAAACTCTTGATCCTGTGAAACAAGTTCTTTATCCATTAAATAATAACACCCCACTTCTCCCTCTTTCTAGCCACTGGCAGCCATGATTCTACTTTCTGAATTTTACTGTTCTGGGTATTGCATATAAGTGGAGACCTTCAGTATTTGCCTCCTGTGACTGGCTTATTTCACTGATAATATCCTCAAGGTTCATCCATGTTCTAGTCAGAATTCCCTTTCTTTTCAAGGCTGAATCACAGTTCCATCCAAACATTTTACTAAGCATATATTTCTATCAGGTGTGGTCAGTTCAACATTGAATAAGGCAAACTCTTGGCCCCATGGAGTTGGCATTTGAGTGGCTAAGAGAAGCATTCAACTTAAATGAAGTCTTCAAATAGTGCCATGAAAGATGTGTCCATTGGTGCAAATAGGATCAAGCCTGTTATAGGGTAAACAACCACTTTTCTGACTGGAACAGAAGCCTGTGCCACAAAAAGGAATTCACAACTAGGACTAACGTTTTCTCAAAAGCTCCTCACTGGGTGGTCATAGGCCCTAGTGGGGATGATACCGCTGTTGTTTTGCTAAATGGATATGATGTGTTTGTCAATTTTCCTTCCAAATAGTTATGTTTATCCCCATAAATTAATGCTGCTCCCAACTTTAGTCAGAGAAGCTGCTTTTTGCAGTGGGAAGCACAAACTGCAAAGTTTTATAACTTGTCAAAAGTGCTGAGAGGGTGGGCTGGAGTGTTGTGGGATGCTGTCTTCTGAGCATAACATGGCTGTTACCTTCTTGAACTCACAGCAGCTATTACCTGCATAGGACCTGTGCAAGATTACACCTGTCAATATCCTGTCATAAAGGTGGGAGGAGCTCACAAGGTCCCACCCTCCCTGAAGATCTATAAGCAGTTAATGGTTACTGGGGGAGGAAGAGACATTTTCTTCAGTGGTATAGCCCATACTCCTGTGAAAAAAGAAAAACTTCCCGTCTATATTTTTACAAGCAACCCTAATGAAACTCATTGGAACACACACACACACACACACACACACACACACACACACACACACTTAAAATACAATAGTAATTCAGGAAGAGGAAGGAGATCAGTGGACATGGGAGAGAGACAAGAGAGGTCAATGGGGAATGAATACGATATGATCAAAATATGTACATGCTTCAAAATGTCATAATGAAGCCATTATTATGTATAATTAGTATCTACTTAATAAAAGCATTAAAAATAATGCCAAAGACAATAAAGCAGGATAACAGGATAGAGTGATGAGTCAGGAGGGATCATGAGAAGCCAGAAGAATTTTACAGACACAGGGAACACAAATGCTGAACAGCCTTGAAGTGGGTAACATCCTGAAAAATGCAGGGGACAGGAAAGTGACCAGTGTGGCTTAGGGAAGGGGAGCAAAGCTTCCATGCAGGAAGGTCATAAAGGTGTAACTAGTGGGCTCTCTCCTAACTGGAAGAAGGAGCAGGAAAAGTCAAGGCAGGGGAGGAGCCCTCTGGCAAAGGGATAGCCACACATTACATCTGACAGTGGGCTCCAGTTCCTCCTCTGGCTCTCTGTGCTACGTCAACCCTGTTAGCTGGTAGAGCTAAGACTGGGGTCTGGACAGAAGGGGTGACTGCCTCACCCTTTCCTGCCCTGGGGGGCAGCTGCATGGGTGCATCATACCAAGCTGTCCATGAGAAGTGCTGAGGGAAGACTGTTTGGGGGAAAGTGGAAGCCAGGCTGGCGTAGTGAGGACACTGAGACCTTGGGTCAGCAGACCAGTTCTCTGTTCTGTCAGGCCTTGAGGACAGGGACTGGCAGGTCTATGCTTAGCAGCTGGGGTGTTTCAGCTAGGGGAAGAGGGTAGCCTGTCACTGAAAGTCTTGCAAACATATGAGATTTCAGATAACCACAGTGAAGAACTTGTAGTTGGTAATTTGGGAGAAAAGACTGTAGTTAGGAAAAATGAAGAACACCCAGTGGTTCACCATGATGAGCACCTATAATCCTAATACTTGGTAGATGGAAGCAGGAGGATCAAATATTCAAGACCAGCCTCTGCTATAGAGGGAGTTTGAGGTCAGCCTTAGCTACATGAGACCCCGTCCCCAAATAACAAAGCAAAAAGAACAAAAAACAAACAAAAAATACAAAACATCACTACTACCACCACCACCAACTAAACATCCATATGTTATAGCTTGGGAGAAGTATCTGAAACGAGACCTAGGGTACGACTTCGTGAGTCTCCAAGGATGCAAACACTGTAGGTGGGGTGGCCTTTCCTGCCACTTCCATCTCCAGAAGCCTCTGTGGCTACGGCTGTTTTTCTCCTGGCCACTTCTGCTTCCCCTGTCCCTCTGCAGCTGGGCTGAGTCAGCCCTCCCATCTCTGTCCAGGCAATGTTGGAAGGGATGGTCTGAGGGGAAGGGAGGTTTGGCTAGAATCTCACATCTGAATCTCTGATCCTGGTGCTGAGCACTCTTTGCCAGTCTTGGGAATCCCCAGGGTCCCCTGGGACCTTTGGGGACATCCTTGGGAGGTTAAAGTGGTCCCCTGCCAGATCCCTTCTTAGCAGGAGTAGCAACTGGAATGCCAGTTGCAGCTGCTTCCTGACCCTTCTTGGGAGCTGGGGCTGGCTAGAGTCTCACTGTGTGCCAGTTTACCCATTACTCACACTGACTCTAAGCCTGAGTCCCTTGCCTGAGTTCTCCTCGTGGGCGTGGGGACATCAGGTCTAAGCCACTTTCCCAGTCAGGCCTCTGACTCTGTGTTGTAGGTCTTGAGCCTAGGGAAGAAGGAGACCCCTTCAGATCCACTGAAAACTCTGCAGGCCCTCCTCCCTCAACTTGGTCCTGGACCCAGAATCCAAAGCTCTCTGGTGGCCTTTCTGTCCCTATCCGTCCTTCCTCTGCGCCCCATCACTCCCTTCCTTTGTCCCTGTCCAGTAGCCTGCTGACTCCTGTCCTTTCCTCTTCCCCTGAGCCCTTCCCACTGCTGTGGCTTCCCTGGGGGACAAAAGATGATGACTCAGTTATGAGCAGAAACAACCCTTCTACGGACAGGCCACTCCACCCAGGCCTGGGCAACCAAGACAGGTAGGATCAAGGGCCCCATGAAGAGGTTGACCAGAGAAGTACTGCTAGCAGGAGGATGACTGCCTTGACCCTTTCACTCTTCCCCAGGAAGGGCATCTCGGCTTGGGGACATTGAGGGTGTTGGGAAGATGGCAGCCTGAGACTGCAGGTCCCCTAGCCATGGGAGGGCTCAGAGACCATTGAATTTCCTGAGTGGGAAACAAGAAGGTAGCTAGAGCAAATGTTCTAAAAAATAGCACTGTGGAGAGAGCTGAGGTGTCCCTAGACCACAGCTAAGCGAGGCCAGTCAGCCCTGGTAGAAAGGGCTGTGGGGTCCAGATGCTCACGCGGCACCCGAGGGAGTTTTCAGTTCCATATAAGGAAGAGCTTTATGCCAGTGGAACTTTGCAGAGGAAGGCAGCCATGACAATGACTAAGCCATCTCTAGCAAGTAGTACCCAGCAACCACTTTGGTGTGTGGTCAAGGAGATGCCAACCTCAAATGCTCTCCCATCCCACCACACATGAGCTAATTGGGTCCCTAGCCAACATCCTCCTTAGATGAGGAAACAGGTTCCACCACTGAGCCCTGTCTTTGACACCTGGCATCTTATTCCTCTTCTATAGAGGAGGTTGGGGAATCTTGCCGACCTGCCTTCAGGAATCTCGTTTTACAGATGGACAACAGGGCTTCAACACACGCACTTCCCTGTGATCTCAAGGCAGAGCCATTCAGAGCCAGAATGGGGACATGGAGCATCAACTACCAGTCCCTGGCTCTGAAGGCCAGTCATCCAGAGTATGAGGGGCTAGGAAAAGTCACCTGGCCCCCTCATACAGAAGAAGAAACAAGGCCAGAAACGATAGTTAGGTAGCTCAGGTTATTGGCAAGTGTCCAAGTTGGACTGAGGTCCCTGCAGTGGTGACCCAGGCCCCTGTTTTCTTGGCTGCATTTGGAACTACATTCTCATGCTGGGTGGTGGTGAGAATGTAGGGAGCCTGACCCTGGGACCCCATCATCTATTCATCCCGCCCCTCAATATCCTTCTTACAGGACCCCTCCAAAGCAGGGGTAACCATGAAAAGATAGTAAGTAAAGGGGGCACAAGCAGTTACTATTCCTTAACCTCCCTTTGTTCAAACCCACTGGCAGCACTGGACCTGGAGGTTGGGGTCTCACCACTACATCAGACCCTAAACTCCAACCCTCTCCTCTTCAGTTCTAGAATGTGCCTTGGTCCCCATACCCTGCCTCTCTGCATGTACTACTCTCTCCACAGAATCCCTTCTCTTTTCCCCGGACTCCCTATCTTCTACAGCCCCTTCCAGCAAAGCCTCACCACCTCCTCCAACAGCCCCTCCCACACACCCTGCTGAGGGGAGGCCCTCTACCTCTGGCCCCTGGCCTTACCCTCCTACTGTGTGAGGAGGCACCTGGGCCAGGTGGTAGAGGCCATGGGCTCCATTATTGACCCTGGCCCTGGTCCAGCCTTGCTGAGCTCAGAGTCTGATTAATTCAGTGCTAACAACTTCCTCTTACCTCTGGGGCATTGGGAAGAAGGTAAAAGAAGTTGAATCCATATTACATATGGTCCAAAAGCACAGCTTTGGAGTTTGTCCCCTCCTCTGCCACTGACCATGAACTAGGACCTGTCTGAACCTCTCAGAGTCTCAGATGCCAATTCATAAAAGAGGGTTGGTGACATACTTGTTGAGGGTAGTAAGTGGGATGACAGGGATAAACAGCTTCAAAACAGTGGCCCTCACATTTCTTGCTTAGTGAGAAGCCTACCAGAGCATTCAGTGTGCCAACAGGTAGCAATAAATGGCATGCTTGCTAATCAGAATACAGTGAGGGGAAGGAAGAGGATAGAAAGGATCACAGGCTTCCCACTAGCCTCATGCTGCTTGAGCATCTAGAGATGCCCTTTCTGTGTGCCCATCTCACCCACGTGCTGGATGTCTAGAGGCCTCGGGTTGGGACCTTGTTCTCAACCTATAGCACCTTTTGCTCTCAAAAGTACCCTCGCTCTCACTTTCTCCTGTCCTGGACAGTAAGCCTATCAGGACAGCACTAGGCTCCTCAGCACTACCTATGTTGGCACACATTGGTACCTACTACACAGCCTCTAGCTGCAGGACCTCCTGACAGGATGAAGGAGTGAGCACGGGTTCCTTTGGCCTGGCTGCCCAGCTTCCCCACCTAGCTCACCTGCTTATATTTGTACATGAGAACCAGCAGGAGCAGCAGCAGCAAAGCCATGACAGACATGCAGGCCACCACCACCGGTGTGAACAGGGACTCATCCTGGAGCTGCTTGACCCTTCCTGAAAGACAGGGGCAGAAAGTGAGCAAGTGGTGGGGCCGCCAGTCACACTCCTGAGATCAGCTGCCTAGAACACAGGAGGTGCTTAAATGCTTCTTTTGCCCAGGAGCCCCCTCACCACCAAACCTCCATGAGCCTCCTGGAGATGCTCCCTTATCTAATGGCAGGGAGGACCGCTTGGACAGCCTCTCTTGCAGACATGCCCAACCCTCAGGCCTGCCCAGAATCACAGTGTCCTGTGGCTTGGGGGACCCTTGGAGTCATGCATTCCCATCCCAGGCCAGTACATGAAAGGCCACTGCAATAATCTGGCCTGGTGCCGAGCCACTGTTTGCGTGCATACCCCAGTGGTGGGGCTTTACCACCCTCACCTGTGGACAGGCGGACTTCTGGAGTTTACACCCAAATCTACCTCCTGCTTCCCTGCAGCTTCTCCATGTGTCCTTAGGAATTAAGTGGCCCTTCTGGGAGCCTCACAGTCAGCTTAGGGGCCCTGAGTCTCCTCTGTCCTGACCTCTAACCCTAGCTCTCTTGATGTGGTAGGAAGGACATAATTTCATTCCTGTGCAGTCAGGAGCTTGAGGCTGAGGTCACAGCTCATCTCTGTGCCTTAGGGGATGAGTGACACCGACCTCACCAAGTCTCAGGTTTATCATCTTTCCCAAGCAAAGGAAGATGGGATTTAGCTGCTGGATGGGGGATGAGAGGTCACTGAGCACTGACATACATGGTGCCGGCACCCAACCCAGTGTTAGCTTTATTACTGCAAACTGCCGCCACCAGCAGTGACACAGAACAGCCACAGGCAGCAGGGCAGTGGGCCTGCCAGCAGTTGTTCCAAGGTTAGCAGCTGGAGGATGTGAGTGACAGGATCCCAGAGCCAAGCAGAAGCCAGGGGCCTGCCCTGTTCCCTCTGGACTGAGAGCTTCACCCAGGGCCTGGCACACAGTAGGCACCAAAACCTGGTTGTTTAAGGGCCAGAGGGGGTTGTGGGCTTCTGAGCAAGACTAAGCCCAGGCAGAGCCATAGTTCAATGCAGAGAAAGGCAGCTTGTGTCAGTGCACAGGGCCCTACATCAGCCCTGGGAAGCCCCTCACACAGTGGTCCTGAGTGGGCAGGATGGTCTCAGGGTTGCGGAGGACTTGGAAGGAGATGGGGAAGGCATCTTAACTGGCTCTGAACTTGGGATGAGCTGTATTTCCTTGTTCAACATCTGTTTCCCTCACACTCGCCTCTGAGGGATCACTGTTACCAGTGAATATACTACTCATCCATATGTTTATTTGTTCATTTGTTTGTTTATTTTATTTGGTCTTTTTGAGACAGGGTCTCCCTGTAGCCCTAGCTGGCCTGGAACTCACTATGTAGACCAGGCTGGCCTTGACCTCACAGAGATCCGCCTGCCTCTGCCTCCATCTGTTTCCCTCACACTCGCCTCTGAGGGATCACTGTTACCAGTGAATATACTACTCATCCATATGTTTATTTGTTCATTTGTTTGTTTATTTTATTTGGTCTTTTTGAGACAGGGTCTCCCTGTAGCCCTAGCTGGCCTGGAACTCACTATGTAGACCAGGCTGGCCTTGAACTCACAGAGATCCGCCTGCCTCTGCCTCCCAAGTGCTGGGACTAAAGGTGTGCGCTACCATGCCCCGCACCACTCACATACATGTGAAACCATGCATGATTCAAATTCAGGGACAAGAGCCAAAAGGCCAGGTTGCTTCAGGCCACTGCTCCGTCTCTGGGCCTTGTTCTGTTTTCCCCACTCCCTGCCCTTTCCTCTTTCTTTTCATTCCCAAGGAGGGCTCTGGACCTCTTCTGTGTAGCTGCCTCTGGAACTCTGTGCCTCAGGATTAGCCACAATTGGCCAAGAGGTAGAACTCAGTGTGGCTGGGATCTGCACAAAGCTTACCTCTGGGAGGTAAGCAGTCTCCAGGACAGCCAGATATCCACTCTGATAGGACAAAGAGTGAAGGCTCACCTGTAGAGACAGCCCTGAAAGACTGGGAGCTGTTCCCCAGGCTGTTGTGGGCTCTGCAGGTATAGGTCATGTTGTGTTCAAAGCTCCCAATGACCAGCTGGCTCTGGATGACTACTTTGTGGAAGGGTTCCTGGCTCAGGACCTCAGAGTGTGTGTCCCTCCAAACCTGCAGGGCCTGGGCCTCATTGCACCTAGGAAGAACACACTGCAACTCAGGGCTGTACAGATACCTGCATCAGCATGCCCCTCCTACACATGGGTGCCCACCAGATGTTCAGCCCAGGGAGGGGAGCAGAGCCCACTGACCTATCAGTGTGGCCTCTGCACTGCATCCACATCACATTGGGCTGGGGGTACCCAGAGGCATCACAGAGCAGGACATCAGAGCCATTGATGGGGATCCATGTGACACTGACCTCTGGGTAGTCTGTGGAGGAAAGGAAGGGTAGAAAAGGCAGAGATCAGCCTTAGGGGCTGGTGTCCCTCTTGGCTGCCTACACTAAGCCTACTGCCCTCCTCCTCCCAGTACACCCTGGGCAGCTTCTCCCTGTCACTTACATTGCAGGATGAGTTCAAAGGTCAGATTATTCCAGCCTCCCTCATTCTGAGCTAGGAAGGCGTAGCGGCCAGCCTCAGAGGGCTTCACTCGGGACAGGAAGAGGTCAGATGTGTACCTGCAGGGTAGGCACGAGGCGCTAAGTGAGCCCCAGCATCAGAAGGAATCTTGGCCTGGGAGGTGGCTTTCCTTACGTTGAAGTATCTGTACACAGAGGCCTTAGCTGAGCCAGCTCCTCAGGAGGGTGCCATTGAGACAGGGAAAATCACCCACCCCAGGTCCTTCAATGGTCGGGGAGTGTTCTTTCTATTATTGTTATTATTTTTATTTTATGTGTATGTAAGTGTAATGCCTGCAACCCAGGTCCTCTGCAAGAGTAGTCAGTGCTCCTTACCACTGAGCCATCTCTCCAGCCCCAGGAGTATTCTTTTTCTCCCAGTAGAGACAATGTCTGTGAGGTGTTGGGAGCTACATCACAAGTCCCTTGTTTTTATTACTGTCACTGAACTAAGTTTTCACAAGCATGAAAACCCTACTGAAAATCCCTGAAGTGTAGTCCTGTCATGAAGGACCATCCAGGGACAGGAGGCAGAACTGGTTCTGGACTGTGTAGTTACAGAGACCAGAGGTCAAGTCCTAATGACACTGTTTCTTGGCTATGACTTTTACAGGCACTGAACTGCTCTGGTCCTCTGCTTCTGTGACTGTGAGAGTGATTCTGATGGCTTTTAATTTACACACTTAGTCTGAGGGTTAAAGGGATGTGCATTTAAAGTGCTTGATTATTAAAGACACTCAACTTAGTGGTATCCTTTGTTACAGAGAACTTTGGAAGCAAATGATGACAAAAGTCACCTTTGACTGATTCTACATAATTTTCTGTTCTTTCCTAAGTCTCTATTTTATAATTTTTTCCATAATGAGTTTATGTATTTGTTATTGTTGCTTGAGACAAGGTCTCATGTAGCCCAGGCTGGCCTCAAATTTGCTATGTAGCCATGACTGGCCTTGATCCTCCTGTCTCTGCCTCCCAAGTGCTGGGATAACATGTGCCCCCATAACCCAGCTAATGTTTTATTCAGATAATAAATACATTTAAAAAATTTTTTTAATTGAAATATTTTTTAAAAAATTGTTAATGTTTTGTTTTGTTTATGTGTATGAATGTATTGCCTGCATGTAAGTGAGTGCACCCGTGTCATGCAATGCCGCAGAGGTCAGAAGAGGGCTTCGGATTCCCCTGGAACTAGAGTTAAGGATGGTTTGCAGCCGCCATGAGGGTGCTGGGAATTGAACCTGGGTCCTCTGCAAGAGCAGTCAGTGCTCTTAACCACTGGACTATCTCTCCAGCCCCCTTTCTTAAATTTTTTAGCAATTTCATATGTATGCATATACTGCCTGCATATAGGTAAGTGCACCTCATGCAATGTCCAAGGCGGACAGAAGAGACTGTCGGATCCCCCGAAACTGGAGTTATGGACAGTTGTTAGCTGCCATGTGGGTGCTGGGATTCGAACTTGGGTCTTTTGCAAGAACAGTCAGTGTTCTTAACTGCCAAGCCATCTCTCCAGCCCCATAAATACATTTTTCAATGAGAGCAAAGAACCAGCTCTTGCTTGGACAATGTATGCAGCCACCACTAGACTACAATCCATATGCTGAATAGGCAATCTCAGGCTGGGGTGTTGTAGGGTGCTTGCCTAACAAGTTTGAGATCAGGAAAGTAAACCTCTGAGGACACAGTCCCCTCAGAGGTGGACAGTGGATTTCTACAGTGGTAGGTATATGAGCAACCCAGGCTCTGAGCATGGAAAGGTGCCAGGAAAGTAAGTGTGGAGGGAGTATGCACCGTGAACACATGCCAGAGCCCAGGAGAAGGGCTGCCATGGGGATGACCTCGGGGGTGGCTGGGCCTTTAGAGAATGTGTGATTGAGTCCCTCTAGCTCCCTCCCCATGTGTGTGGCAGGTACCTTGCGTGGGTATTATTACAAGTGCATCTAGGGGTGGAAGTCTTGCTCATTTCCTATATTGGCACTGACCACGAGGAGGACAGGGGATGAGGCTGAGAGATCCTAAAGGGCCTTGAGAACATGCACACTGAGAAACAGTAAGTGGCTGAAGAGAGCACTGGGCTTCCCAAAGACACAGGGCAGAGGAATACGCCAACTTGATCCAACTCTCAGACAACTGAGATTGAGGCTCCCAGAGGCAGGGAAAGTGAGACACAGAAAATGGAGGGTACCCACCCAAGGTCACATAAGAATGGGACAGGACCCAAGCAGTCCTCCTGACTCTAGCACTCCCCCTGCCCCACCGGCCCCATGTAGCTATGAGCTGACAGGTGGTACCTGTATGTGCCCTTATTGGTGACAAAATGAAGCTTGGGTTGGTCCTCAGAGAAAGGCCCCAAGTAGGCCCAGTTAAAACTTTGCAGGCCAGGGTAGGCTTCTGCCTTGACTTTGAGGGTGAGGCTCTCACCCACGGTCACCTCCTGCACAAGGTTCTGCTCAGAGGTCAAGTTCAAGTAGGCACGTTCTGAAAAGTAACACAGATCCGGTGTTAGTGGGGAGAGGCTCGTTCATCAGTTCATTGGACTACCCACCCCGTCACCTGGTGCCCAAGCGAAGCTGTGTGCTGGGCTCTTGGGCACTGGTCCCAGCCAGGACTCACCTCTCTTTCCACTGCCCTCCATCTGTTCACCCATCTGTTCAAAGCCCTTCTCACTGCCTCTGTTACCACTTTGGTCAAGCCTTGTCACCTTGAACTGGTCCATCTCTGTGGAGTCCTAACTTGCTTCCTCGTTCACTCCCTACAGGCATCCTTCACAGAATACCAGAACCCATGCTAATCTGTCACGCCCAAGTCCGACCATGACACTCCTTTGCTTAAACCTTCCAACTCACCCTCTCAAGGGAAAGCCTAGCTTCTTCCATTGGTCCTAGGGCCTCCCTGATTTACCTCTCTCACTGCACCTGGTACCTCTCCCTCACTCCATCCCCCAGCACCTAACTCCTTCTTTGAACACAGCATGCCGTCTTGCCCAAAGTGCTTGTGCTCGCCCTTCCACAAACTTTGGGCCTTCGCCCAAAAGGCAGCACCATGTTTCCACTGCCAAGTGCTGCCGGGCTTGTTTTTCCATTTTATTTGCTCATGGTTTGTCTTCTGCCAGCTAGCATTCATGCTTTCTGAGGCGGGTTTTTCAAATGCCTCACTCTCAGCTGTACAGAACAACATCTGGCCCAAAGTGTGAACGAGCACACACATTTATTAAGTGATGATTGAATGCCTCCAGCTGGATAAAAGGCTGTAACAGGAGGACACGTTTCCTTGCATTTGTTCACCTTTGCCTTTACCTTACAAAGCTCCTGGCTCACGGAGCTCCCTGTGTGTGCTCAAGGCCAGTGATCCATGCTTCCTCTCCTCTTCTCCCCTCTGACTGTCAAATGATTAACACACGGGCCTTTGGCTGGTCATACTAATGACCCCTGAGAACTCTTGCTTAGTTAAGGGGTTCCCAGCCCACGGAATGAATGGCACTGCTCTTCACCCAATCATCAGAGGACAGGAAGGTATCTTACACCTGCCGTTCTTCATCCCGGTGGTTGGTACCCTGGCCACTGTCTGCAGCTCCCCACCACATGTGGTGGTTGTTTCCCAGCCTTCCGCCCAGCACTGGGCTGCACACAGTGTTTCTTTTCACATTGGTAGTGGGGATTTTGCCAGGGCCTCCTCTAAGTTTTATAAATATGCTCAGTTACTATTAATATCACCATTCTGCAGGTAGGGGCCTCGAGGCCCAAAGAGGTTTGTCAACCTCATGTTTGGTGTACCCTTGTTAGGGTGACATCCTGAAGCTGGGTGCTCCAGCTCCAGTGTCAGCCCCGTGTGGAGCGCAGTCCCCTCATCTTTATAACCTCTGTGACCTCTCCACAGGGTGAGGTACAGATTATCCACCCGCTTCATTAAGGCTCCTTTGCCACCTGCCTCATCTCCTCTCCATGCCCCGCACGGCCGCTGCTCTCCCCTCCACACCTCCACTGTTTGCTGCAGCTTTTGGTGTCTCAAAGGCCCTCAGGGCTCTTTGTCTTGTGTCTTGCACATGCTGTTCCCTCCTCCAGAAGGGCTGTTCCCTTTCTTTGTCACCCTGGGGCCCAGCAACTCCACTATTGTTCCTCCTGTCCCAGCTCAGAGGAATCCCCCATATCAGTGCTTCTCCCACAGTCACACCAGGGGAGCATTGTTCATATTTCCGGACTTGCAGAAATAAGAAGGCATGAAGTGCAGCAGCCACTGCTGAGCTCCACCCCAAAGCGCTGGGTAAACGAACCATGTTAAGGGCTCTGGGGAGGGGAGGGTCTAGGACGTCTTCCCGAACATGCCTTGCAGCCAGGCCCAGGACCAGGCCCAAGACCAAGCCACCCTCTTTCTGCCATCAGCTTCATCTCCCAACAGCCACAGGCCTTGCCCGGCACCTGATGCTCACCCACCACCTGGAAGGACATGGAGACAGAATGTGTGTCCCGGGCATTGGTGGCTATGCAGGAATATCTGCCCGCATCTTGGAAGTCCACACTGTTGAGGTTGAGGGTCAGGACTTTTTTGTAATGGTCATCATGGAAGTCAGTATGTTGAGGGATTTGGAGCTGCAGAAGAAGGAATGGAGATGTTTAGGCCTGAATCCAAATCCTCAGCCTATAAGATTATGATACTCTACAAGGACTGAGCTCTGAGCCTCAGTTGCTTTACCTATAAAATGGGCCAAATACTGGTCTCTTGCCCCTGGGTTGGACTAAGGGTGGATAGGCACATAGTGCACATGGGGAATCTCAGAAGCAACTTCTCCATTCCTTCCTGGGGATCCTCCTCCTTCCTCTCACCTAGTCTTTCTGAAATAGCCTTCATGTCCCCGTGCTTCCTCTCTCTGTCAGAAGTAAGTGCCCTATAGGCTAAAGCTTGGGTCAAGAGACTAGATTTCCACCCTCCCCATCCCTAAGACCCAGCAGCCTGAGTAGGCTGCTGCTGGCAGGAAGATCTTGGGCCTGTCCTCCTCCTTTTCCAGGCCACAGCCATGTGCTCAGCCCAGAAATCTGATCTGGGGTGAGGCTGGTGGCTGTGTGCTGGGAGGATGGGCAGACTTCCCCCGGGGACTGACCTGGGTGTCTTCATGTTTGAGGAAGACTTTGAATTCTACGTCCACATTGGTGACTGAGCATATGATCTGGGCAGCCTCCCCACGAATCCGCACCAACTCTGTGGGCTCCAGCATCACATGTGGGGGTCCTGGGAGGACTGAGGTCAGAGACAAAGCCTAGGCTTAAGCTGCCACTCTGCTCAACACCATGGGCCAGGCTACTGCCCAGGGCCCCATCATTCTGCCACCCCAAATCCCAGGAAGCAGCCACAATACCTCAGCTTCTCCCATAAGCAATTCCCAAAGAGACCTTGGAAAGCCCACTTTCTCCAGCACTGCCACCCCAGGCCCACCACCATTCTCTGCCCTGGATTTATGCAACACCCATCCTGAAGGCCTTCTGCCTCCCTCCCACCTGTCTTACAGCAGACAAAGTTGGGTCCGTCTTCTGTGTCCCTAATCTGTGTGAACAACCTCAGAATAAGAGCCAGTGCATTGCAATGCCTGGTGTAGACCCTGCTTGACCTGTCATGCTTTGCACACTGTGCTGCAAACACACTGACCTCCTTGTCATCACAGGGCCTTTGCATTTGCCTTCCTTCCTCAGTACTTTCCCATCTATGCCTTTCAGTAAGATGGCTCTACTTGCCCTGACAATTTGTTTGCAGGGCTGTATATCAAGCCCAGGGTCCTGGGTATGCTGGGCAACTGTTCTTCCACTGAGCTACATCTCCAGTCCTTGCGGTTTTAAAGATTTTTTAAATTAATTAATTACGTCAGCATGATAGCTTTAATCCCAGCACTCAGGAGGCAGAGGCAGGTGGAGCTCTGTGAGTTCAAGGCCAGCCTGATCTACAGAGTAAGTTCTAGGCCAACCAAGAGCCATACAATGAGACTCTGTTTCAAAATAAAACAACAAAAATTAATTGATTGTGTGTACATGTATGTATACCGTAGCTTATGTGTGGAGATCAGAGGACTTCTGTTGGAGTTGGCTCTTTCCTTCCACCATGTAGGTTCCAGGGATTTAACTCAGGTCATCAGACTTGGTGGCAAGCACCTTTACCCACTGAGCCATTTTGCCAGTCCTTTAAAATTTTTTAAATTACATTTATTTATTTATTCATTCATTCACTTATTGTGTGTGTGTGTTTGTTTGTGTGCACTCACTCATGCACACACAGGCACAGGAGCATGTATCCATACATGCCATGGAGTACATGTGGCAGTCAGAGGATGTCTTGTGATAGATGCGTCCTCCTTCACCATGTAGGTCCCAGAGATCTAAGTCAGGTCATCAGGCTTGGTGGCGACTGTCTTAACTCGTTGAGCCATCTCATTGCTCCCTTACATGTTTTGATATAGAGTCTCATTATGTAGTTCAGACTGGCCTGGAACTTGCTACCCTCTGACCTCGGCCTCCGTGACACTAGTACTCCACTGGTCCAGCTCCCACTGTTGATCTTTAACTCAAAGTTCCTCAGAGGCTGTGTGTAGAAACAGCATCCTACCACTTCCCACATCAGCTTTCTCTAGAACCTCCTCTCACTTCTCCCACACAGTCTACATCTACTTTTTAGTCTGAATCTCCAGTAAATAAGGTCCAGTCTAGGTGGGTGACACCCTTCACAACCAACACAGTGCCTGACACACAGAAACCACAAGTCAAACCTCTAAGTCTGTGGCAGTGGTTGAAGTACACTGTAGTCCAGTCTCCTGAGGCCCAAGACAGCCTGGGACAGGACACAGGAGGTCTATCCCATATATTCTTTGGCCAATTGCCCTGGTTAGCTCATTATGGCTGGTCTCATGGTCAGAGTCCCATACAGCACATCTCTCCCCTCTTGCCCTGGAGTGAACTGGGTATCTGTTTCCTCCCAGCAGCCCCAGTCCTCATAGCCACCAGTTCTCCATCCCACTGCCATGCCTGGCCAGTTCTTTTCCACCATGCACACCTTTCTGTACGTTAAGCCGGATGCCAATGGACGTCGATGCCCTACCATGCACCATGGCTTGGCATTGGTAGTCATAGGTATGGATAAGCTTGACCTTGTGGATGGTGAAGCCATGCCAGGGTGAGAAGGAGTAGTTGGTTTTGCGTGGGACAGCCCGGCCCCCAACACGCAGCAATGAGATACCGCCCTGCAGTGCGGGATCGGTGAGCAAGCAGGGCAGCAGGGCGTCCTGGTTCTCGAACACTGTAACCTCTGTTGCTAGCACATTCCAGGGTCGGTCAGGATCTGGGGAAGAGGAGGGCTCAAGGTAACAACTGGACGTTAGTGACAGGAAGGCTCAAGATGCCCTAGTCATACTGTAGTAGGGTCATTCAGGGAGTACTTAGGTGCCCTTAGGGTACTTGATGCTGTGTGACTTCAGGCAAAGGATTCACCCCCTCTGAGCCTCTGAAAAATAGGTATAATCATGGCATCTACCTCACAGGGTTGTTGAAAGGACTACATTAGATTGTAAGCACTGTTACAGGTTCATGGCCAGCACCCAAAAAACTAGACCTGGCTTAGTGTGCCTGGTTATGCCAGGAGCCAGCCCTCCTGCCCAATAGGGGGAGCTCTGAGTCCTCACCTTTGACGTACAGGTGGATGGTGGCGCTGCCCCCCAGGGGGTTTCCGGACTCAGTACACCGATAGGTCCCCGTGTTTTGGAAGGTGGCATTTCTTGTGGTCAGGATGCTGTTGGAGGAATCAGGGTCCAAAGTCCAGTAGGGGGTGATGGGGCCATCCCATTCCACACTGCCATTGCCCACACATCGCAGGGTCACCGTCGTACCCCGCTCCACGACCAACTCTGGACCACTGGGCTCGATGACTGGGGTCCCGTGACCTGGAGGGGCAGACAGAAGTGAGGCCTGGGTGCACCCTTACAGTCCCACAGTTGAGCTGGGATATACCTTGGCAGGGATGGTGCAAGGAGCAGAAGCAAGTGTCAGGTTTGAATGAGTCTATACCACTCAGCCCTTTACTCAACTCCAATTTGCTTGGGGAGGGACTGACATCTGGGAACACCCAGGAGGCCCTCCTCTAAGATTGGGCTGGGAGCTCCTTGGCCTCACACACACCTTCACCATCCCAGGGGGACCCAGTCTCCTGCCTTGATCTTCCTTGGTGGGATGGCATCATTGCAATCACTGGGTATGTCTGTGACCACAACGCCAAGCCCAGGGCTACCTTATTGTGCCAAGCCTGTCTCCAAGCAAAGACTCAATTGCCATGTTTAGGAACGAGGATGCCTGCGGTACACACACACACACACACACACACACACACACACACACACTCCTGTCCCCCATCCCCTTGGCCCTGCTGGGGCCTGTTTGAGCAGCCAATCTCTTTTAAGGAAATTTTGTTTGAAGGAGAAAGGAGAACTTAAAACCCTTGTCAGGCCTTCGGGTAAGAAGGCCAGTTGCATCTGTGGTGTCAGCAGTTTTTCTGGGCCTGAAATAGGGGTGAAGGAGGGAAGTGAGAGCTGATTCACAGCCTCAGGGGGGCTGCCAGGCGCCCCTGGCCTTCATGGGCGGAAACACATTGCTGGCGCCCTGCTGGCCCTGGTTTCCGCCCAGCCTGTGGCCCTTCTACCAGGGGCACGTTCTTACTTCTGCTTCCTGGCCCTCCTGGCCACTGCCCATCTCCACACAGAGAGGGGACATGGTGCAGAGTCTCAGAATGCCCTGTGCTGGGAGGCCTGGCCAGGCCACCATCCTGCTGGTGGATTCCTGCAAGTCCAACATTCCTACCCTCTCTGGTAATACCTGCACAGTGACATGCCAGCCCAAGGGCTTCGGGCTCTCAGGGTAGTCCATTGCTCTCTACAAACCCTCCTCAGTGGGTACCCCTGGCTCCTCTAAGCTTGAGTCCAGAACTGGAAAGTCTCTTCTTTCAAATGATTTCAGCCTGGCTTAATATCTGCTCTGATTTCAAATCCATCGGGAACACGTAGCCTATCTGCCTGAGCTTCAGCTCAGCCAGAGGTGAAAACTGTTGCCACTACTGTGAGGGATGTGGTCCTCCTGTGCAGCGTGACCAGCAGGAAGAGGGACAAACTGTTCCATCTTGGCCAAGCATACCAGGCTCCAGGCTGGGCTCACATCAATTGGGGCTGGGGACCCAGACAGCATTTTGCAGGGGGAAGATGGCTGACCTCTGAGCCTCGAGTGCTCTTCTGTCTAGTAGGGATAATCCCAGAGTCCACCTGGAGGGCAGCAGAGCATGAGAGGGCTCCTTCCCTGGCCTACTGCTCCCATGCCACATTTCTAATATCCACTCTTGGGCCAGGTAGGCTGATATCTGAAGAACTGAATCCTTAAAAGTCATGGGTTGTGACCTTGGGTTCTGTGATTTTGTTCCTGCCTTGTCTGTCTCTTTTTCTCTTCCCTTCCCATAGCCACTCCAATATGCTGCTTTGGCCTCCAGGAAGTATGATGAGGGAAACGCTTCTGTCTTGTTCCATCTTAAGCTGTTGCCCTGGACATTCACAGAAAGCAGGGCTGGCACTCGCGTTCACTGTAGACTTCCTCTGTGGCATGGTTGGGAGGAAGGGGAAGGCTGCTCAGAGACACCTTCCCTGGCTGAGTGCTGATGGCCATGGATCCCTCATGCCTGTCTGTTCTCCTCACTTCTTCCATTTCAAATTTCCTCATGACCCAAACCTCTCTTCCTCCCATGATAGATGTATTCACCATCAGCTCCAGGAGGCACCCCAAGCATTTGCACCCAGGACCACCACTCAAAAAGGAGAGGTGAGCCCATCCCTGTCTATGAGGGCTTCAATACCATTTCCAGCCCCACAGGAGCCCCCACAGCCCCACTCACTCACTGACAGTATACTGGGCTGAAAACTTAAGTTTCCCACCCTGTGTCTCCTTTCTCCTCTTCCCCTCGGAGCTGGACATTGCACAATTCCTTACACACCCCTACATACGCACGCACACACATGCACACAGGTAAGGGTGCATTTGTCAGACATCATTCAACAGTATGATTAAGAAATTGTGCTTTCTAGTGTATATAAGTCACCCCCTAACAGAAAAGTGCCAGCACAAAAGATGGCAACACTGACTAGGCCAGCAAAGGAACTTTGGTGGCCATCATCTCACCAGAGGTCAATTGCACCAATTTCCCATTGACCCTGTGAAAGACCTGACTGAGGCTGCCCTTCTCCCCACCAAGGCCCATTCTCCCTCAAGGCCTCTCCAAATAAGCAGGTGGTGTAGTATAAAATGTGTGTCAGGCCTGCTGGAGCCAAGATGTGCTTGTTGGGTCACTCTGGGCCACTTATTCCAGCCCTCAAAGATGGAAGTTCTGCAGCTGTTGCTGCCTGAGAAGGTGTGTGAGTGTGAGTGTGTGTGGTATGTGTGTGCGGCGGAGGAGGGCCATGGCTGGGGAGCCCCCCTCTTGCCTTCCCCAGGTTCCCTTCTAGCCCTATATTTTTCTCACTGAACTCCCCCACTACTGAGCCCAGAGCTAGAAAGGCCATTCTCTTGTCTCCCACCCTGACCCCTGACCCAAGCCTCCCACTGCGTCTTTGGGCTTTTCTGAGCAAGGCCTTGCTTAACTCCCAGGCTGTCAGAGCTGGTGAGGTCATCAGGGCCTTTTGGCTCAGGTTAGAGCTGCAGGAGCAGCCGCAGCTCCTAGGATCTTCTCAGAAATGCAAATCTCAGTCCTGCCCAAGACCTATCACAATTGGCCTTGTAAGGAGATCCCTAGGTAGCTTCCTATATGCATAGGAACCTTCCGAAAGCATTGTACCAGTCTAGTCCATCAGCATAGCTCTACCCACCTATGATTAAAAGCGGACACAGGCCCTGAGAGCATCAGGGGGCATGCTCAGAATACATGGTAAGTAGCTGGCTAAGCTTCCACAGATTCACAGGCTTGGCGAGGCTGCTTCCACTCCACCCTCACCTTCTTTTCTCTCCAGATAACCACGGCCCCACACTCACGTGCTAGATATATGGAAGCAAAGAGTGGAGTCACCTGGTGAAGGGCGGGAATGCTTCCATGGGTCCTCTCTGTAACCACCCCCACTGACACCCCCAGTTCTGCCCTTACCATGCCAAGCTGTGGCCACCAGCAGGACCAGCAGAGCCCCCAGCTCCATTGGCTCCACCGGGCAGCTCAGGCTGATGCAGGGTTTGAGAGTCAGCTGGGCACAGGCCTCCTGGCTACTGGCTCCTCGGGGTTGGGGACAGCTGGACACGCGCTCCTGCCTGCTGCGCTGGCTGTTGATTTTGTTTTCCTCTTCCTCCTCCTCCTCAGGCTGATCCTCTTCCCCTTTTTTTAGCTAGGCTAAAAGGGAACTACAGAGTTTGGAAATATCGGGTCTCTAGAAGAAAACAAAACATCACCCCAGGGGAAGGAGGCAGAGTCTAGGGCAGGGCCAGACTGATCCTGCAACAGCTTGGTTAAGTTTGAGAAGTTTGTGAAGCCATCTCCCAGGAACCTCAGGAGAAGAATCATGCCCAAGAACAGGCAGCCAGTGAGTCAGAAACAAATGGGCGTCTCCCAGGTGACCAGTGAGCCTTAGGTAATGCGAGGTTGATTGGCCCTAAATTCTCCTGACCTCTCTTCTGCCTTCAAGGCTAAAGAGATCAAGATAAGAGTACCTGAGGACTTGGGCTTTGAGGGAGGCCAGCTCCAGTTTCCTGCAGCAGCACCTGGAAGTCTCTACTCATTGTCATAAACCAGTCACCTTGGGTTCTGGTCTTGCCTTGCAGACAGATCACCCTATGATGAGACTGTCCCCCTAAGTGGGAGCAGTCACCACCCCATGAGAAGAAATTAGATTACCCCTTCTTATTCTTCCATGGGAACTAAATTGTCCCCTCAAGCCATTAGAGCCAGTGGTGACTCTCTGGAGCCAACAGGTAAAACCAGAATTGAGATGCAATCAGTGGAACCACACTTTGACAGGACCTTTTGCCCCCGGCCCCAATTCTTCCTATATTTAAACCTGAAGCTCCTCCTCAAAAGACAGACCTCGGGATGCTTACACCGGCTAAATGCCTTTCACCATTACTTTCCTGTTTGATTTCTGAAGTAAGTGGCCAGACTCTGATTTGTTGGGACTCACCAAATTCATGGTTCGGTGGACTAGGATTTTGGTAATAATATTGTGAAACACATACTTGCCTCTATCCCTGTTTCCTGACAATTTCTAAAATCTTTGGAATCAACAAGGTGGTGTCCTTTTATAAACCAATGAGTTGGAGTGGTAGTTTCAGGATAGAGTTTGCTTAACTGAAAGACCAGGGCAGATTAGGAGTTTGAGATTCAAGTGGAGGTTCTTGGAGAGGGGTGTGACCTCTTGCTGCACCCCCTGCCACCTCTGGCCCTGTCTCTTCATCTCGTGGTCTCCAGTCCTTTGTCCTATCCTGTTTCCCTGAGTTCTGTCAGCTGCTGTACCAAATGACTGAAATCAATGGAGGTTGTGGGGCCCCTAGGCACAAAGTGGGGGATAAAGTGGAGACTGAACCCCTAGCCTATGAATCTGAGCTCTCCCCAGCTGGGTAGATGGTATTAGTGTCCCAAGGACCTAGAAGACACCCAGCTTACGTCTGCTGTAAGACAGATGGCTCGTTTGGTGTTGTTTGGTGTGTGGCGTCATCCCCACCCACCACACACACTTGGTCATAGATGTCCTCTGTGTGGCTAGAGAGGAGGAGAATCCGGGTCTGTGTGCCCCTGTTCTCAGCAGTAGGACTGTTAACACTCTCTATAGCTGGGGAAACTGAAGCTCAGAGAGCTTGTTCACGGTCACACAGCCACAAAACGGTGAGTGTGGACCTGGCTAAGGCAATAATGTAGAACTGTCTTTTGTGGGTTATTTTTGTAAGAAGTCTAATTGTTCTGCTTCCTGCTGGAGAGATGGCTCAGCAATGAGGAGCACTTGCTGCTCTTGCAGAGGACCCAGTTTCAATTCCCATCACCTACATGGCATCTCACAACGATCTTTAACTCTGATTCTAGAGGATGGAAAACTCACTTCTGGCCCCCGTGGGCACTAGGCATTCACATGGTGCACTTTATGCATGCCATCACTCACATATACACATTAAAAAAAAAATCTAAATTAAAAAAAAAAAAAACTTTGCCCTTTCTTTTTTATGTGTGCATGTATGTGCAGTGTTTGTGTGGACATACATATGTGTGTGCACATGTGGAGGCCAGAAGTCAATGTCCTGTGTCTGCCTCAATCCCTCTTCATATTATTTTTTGACAGGGTCTCTCACTGAATCTGGAGCACATCGATTTGATCAGACTACCTGACCAGCCAGCCCCAAGGATCGTCCTATCTCTACCACCCCAGTGCTGAGAATACAGTTGTACATTATTGTGCCTGGCTTTTATGTGGGTCCTGGGGATCCAAGCTCAGGTCTTCATGCTTACATGATAAGCACTTACTGACAGCTTCCTCTCCAGGGCACTCCCACTTTAAAAAAAAAAAAAAAAAACAACCAAAAAATTGCTTTTATGTGTTTTAGTTGATTCTCTTACTGTTTTCCTTCTTGTTTCTAAGTAATATCATTATAAATTTGCATCTTGAAAATAATCTCAATATAACACTAACCCAAGAAAATGATCATTTTTTAAAAAAATTAGCTGTGCTTTTATGTATGTACATTTTTTTTTCCCCAGAGACAGGCAAAGAATTGCAAGAAAAGCAAACTACAAGCTAAGTGTGGTGGCTTATGCCTGTAGTGCCAGCATGTGGAAGGTAGAGGCAGGAGCCTAGCCAGGACTACGTAATGAGACCCCGTCTCAAAACCCAAAATCAAGGAGGGAGGGAAGAAGGGAGGTAGAGAGAGAGAGACAGAGAGAGGGAGAGAGAGAGAGAGCCACAGATTGATGTAGATGCAGGACTATAGATACAAAAATTCTCAACAAAATATTAGCAAACCAAATCCTTTTAGAGTTATACCAATTATACAACAGTCATATACTATACAATTAGACACCATGGCCAAGTGGAGTTATACTGGTTCAGAATATGAAAAATAAATTTTAAGATGAAAACACAACCCCATATGGGCATCCTGATTGGTGCAGAAAAAACCTTGACAAAATCCAACATGCTTTTAAAGTTTTTTTATTTATTCTTTTTATTTTATGTGTATGAGTGTATTGCCTGCATGTGTGTAAGTGCACCAGTGTCATGCAATGTTCATGGAGGTCAGAAGAAGGCGTTAGATCCCCTGGAACTGGAATTACAGACGGTTGTTAGCCATCATGTGGGTGCTGGGAATTGAACCCAGGTCCTCTGCAGGAACAGCCAGTGCTCTTAACCACTGAGCCATCTCTCCAGCCCCCAACATGCTTTTAAAAAACCCAACAAAGATGGACTGAAAGGGAATAGCGACACATGATTTAGCGCTTGCATGTGAAAGCTCAGCTCACCCAGTGGCCACAGGAAGCTACTCAGATCAGGAGCTCCTACTCTTACCACCTGTTAGCCAGAGTGACCGAGAAGAAGAAGAAACAAAAAGACTCTAAATTTAAAAGGAAATAGTAAATTTGTCTGTATTCATAGTTAACATGAGCCTAGATATAGAAAAACACTAGTAAAACCACCAGATAAACTATCAGAGATAATAAATAAATTCAACAGAGTCGCAGAATACAAGATCAACACTCAAAATGTATTTGTCCGTCTGTATACTAGCAATAAACAAAAAAGAAAAAAACAACAATTTTATTTATTATAGCATCAAAAATTAATTGGTAATAAGACCGGTGAGATGGCTCATGGGACCCACATGGTGGAAGGAGAGAACTAATTCCTGAAAGTTGTCCTCTGACTTGCACACTTGTGCGCCCACATAAATACACCCCTCCCACACAGGTAAATAATGGAATTTTAAAAATTAAAGCATTTTACTTTTAACCAAGGAAGTACAGGACTTGTACACCAAATACTATGAAACATGCCTGGACGAAATTAAGACTTTAATGAAAAGATTGGATTGGAAGATTTCAGAGTGTCAAGACAGCAGTACTCCCCGAAAGGATTCATATATTCAATGCAATTCCTACCCAAATCCTGCCAGTCTTTTTTTTTTCTGAAATAGAAAGGTTGACTCTGACACTCACAGAATTTCAAGGGACATTGAGTAATCAAAACCATCTTGAAAAGAAAACAAAATTGGAAGAGTCATGCCTCTAAGTTTCAAAACTTACTACAAAGCTACAGGAACCAAACAAGTGTGGTATGACATGAGAACAGATATATACAACAGAACAAAGCCAGGAATCAAGATGTAAACCCTTGTAACTGTGGTCAGAGGATATTCAACACGAATGGCAAGACTGTGCAATGGGGAAAAGAGGGTTTCTTCCAACAAATCATATGAAACAAGCTGGATATCCACAGTCCAGGGAGCCAACTTGGACCCTTACTTTACACCATATGCAAAAACTAACTGAAGGTAAGAAAGTCAAAATATAAAATCTCAGAAAAAACCATCAGGGTAATATTCATCACCAAACTAAGAAATGATTTCCTAGCTATGTTATCAAAAAGTAGGCAACCAAAGAAAAATTATATAAACTGAACATTATCAAAATTGAACATTTTGTGCATCAAAGGACACTGTCAAGAGAATGAAAAGATAACATGAAAAATAGAGAAAATATTTGCAAATAATCCATTTCATGAGGCTATGCATCCAGAGAAGATATAAATATATACATGAATGGAGGTTGTAGCACCCCCTATAACTCAACAACAAAAAGACAACTTCAAAATGTGCAGAAAAACTTCTCAAGAGAACATATATAAAGGACCAATGATCACATGGAAAGATACTCAGTATCATTAGTCATTAGGGAAGTGTAAACTAATACCACGATGAGATGATGTGTCACATCTGCTAGACTGACCATCATTTTTTTTTAATTGGAAAGTAGCCAAGCGTGGTAGCACATGCTTGTGATCCCAACATTCAGGAGGCAGAGGCAGGAGGAGCTCTGTGAGTTCAAGGTCAGCCTGGTCTACATAGCAAGTTCCAGGCCAGCCAGGGCTACACAGTGAGACCCTGTCTTAACAAAACAAAAATCAGAAAGTAACAAATATTGATGCAGATGGAATATTACTCAGTTATAAAGGTAATGAAGTATTGATAGTTCAAGACGAGTGAACCTCTGCTGGAGAGATGGCTCAGCTGGTAAAGATGCTTGCCACCAAGCCTGACAACCTGAGTTTGATCCCCAGGACCCACATGGTGAAAAGATAAATTTCTACATGTAGTCCTCCGACTTCCACACACACACAATAAATAAATATACAGAAAAAATTAAGAAG